CTCAGCCCTGCGGAGTTGTCATGGAGCCCGGTCTGCACTGACCTCTCTCTCCTGGCTCGGACTCTTTCCTCTTCATACCTGAAAGACAGCAGAGGGCGTAGAACTCAGTCCTGTGGCCCGGGGCTCACAGAGATCCTCCTGCCTCAGCCTCCCCAGCCACTTTTGTGTTCTGTGTATTTTACCAAAGTTTGAAAACAGGAAACAGGGTAGGATGGTGCTGGAGACGGCTCCAGTCCCACCCCAGGCTCACGGTGGACCCCTCTGGAGGTCTGGGGTGCAGAGCATACACCGCGCTGCTCATTGGTGGCCTTGGCAGTGGGGACCCGGGGCGTCTGGGCGGGGATCGCCCTGCCACTCACAGGAGGACACAGTCCGGGATCTGCACATGCTCCATGGGGATGAGCTGCTCCAGCTCCTCCAGGCTGTGCACGTACTGGATCTTATTGATGAACTTGACACTGGTGGGAGGAGAGGTGTGAGGGCAGCCTCCGTGCAGCCTCGGCAACACCCACAGGCCCACACTCCCTCAGAGGCCAGCACCTGAGCTCAGCCTCACGCCTTGCCCTGGGAAGAAGGCGTATAACCCTTCCGTGCTTGGTGACAGGGACGGTTTTGGATTATTCCTGTCACTGCTCATCTGCTTTCTGTGGTACTGGGGATGCAAGCCGGGGTCCCTGCATATTGCTGGGCTCTATCCCTGAGTGACACCCCCACAGCACTTTTTAATTTCTTATTTTGAGACAACGTCTTCCTAAATTTCTCCAACCTGAGATTCTCCTGCCTCAGCCTCCCAGAGTGCTGGGATGCCATGTGTGTGTCACCACACAGCTAGGACCTAGGGCTCCCTTCTCTCTCTCCCTCCTCTTCCAGTCCAATCAGGATCTTAACTCTAGAATAAACCATAACAGAGTGCATCACAGCATTTTCAAGTCCTATGAATCACTGAACCTGAAGGTGGCCCTGGGGACGCCTGGGTCACACATGTGCTGGGTCTCAAAGAAGACTTGTGGTTTTGGAGCATTTTGCATTCCCAGATCGCTGCCACTCAGCACACATAACATTTTAGATGGCTTGAGGCAGTAATGCCTCTGGGTGCCAGAGAAGCTGCCAGTGCATCGAAACACACCCAGGTCCACACCACAGCCTCATGGGACCAGCATGGCCCCAGCTCCTCGGCTCACCTGATGAAGGGCCGGGAGATGGCCAGCACGGTCCGGATGAACCAGGATGGGTGAACGATGATCAGGGACTTCAGATTTTTCCGCAGTCTGCATAGGACACAGAGGGAACAGGATGACCTTCTGGGGCGGGCCTCAGGGAGGGGGAGCCCAGGAGGCACAGAGCCACGCACCACTCTCTGCCCCTCACACCTGCATCTCCAGCCCCTTTAACCATTTTTTAATTCTCGCTAGGTTGCTAAGCTTCCCAGGCGGGCTCAAATGTGTGATTCTTCTGCCTCAGCCTCCCAGAGTCAAATCTCTACCCCATTCCAGGGGTTGTGGGTCCCATGGGGGACACAGACACAGCCCTTGTGTCCCTAAGAGTCCACAGTGGGTGGGGAGGGAAAGATCCCTACAGGGCAGAGCAGAATGATCAGGTGGTCAGTGTTTAAAGCAGCTACGATCATGTGGTCACTCTAGCGCAAAAAAAGGGGCCAAAATGGCCTTTGAGTTTCTCCGCTGACCCAAGTGCATGGACATGCTGCCTGGACCAATTTTAAAATCATTCCGAAGTTACTGATGATAATCAAGAGGTGGACACAGGCCGGTGCCCACTGACAGGAGAATGGACACATACAAGGTCAGGTCCATCTAATGGCTGGAATATTATTCAGCCAGGAAAAGGAAGGCAACTCCACACCTGCCACAGCACGATGGACCTCGAGGCCTGCTGCTCAGGGAACCGAGTCACAAAAGGACACACGCTGCAGGGTCCCCCTCCCAGGACAGACCCGGTGTCATTAGAGGATGTGGTTCCAGGTTGGGGAAGGCATAGAGGCTCAGTGTCAGGGGGAATGGAACACCTGGAGGTGGGTAGAGGGGAGGGTGAGAGGCGATCATATGAACATCTCTGACGGGGCGGTAATAGCCTGTGACCTGACCTGGAAACAGGGAAACCCAACTTGTCATAAATCGAGTTAGAGGAAAAAATGGTCCCTTCATCAGATCCTAAAAAGGGACATTTGGATTCAGACAGCCACGTGGTGAGATGGCCCTGTGACAACTGGAGGCAGAAGGCTGGGTGACAATTTGACAAGCTGAAGCCACCGAGGACTACAGCCGCCACCAGACTCAGGACCAGACTCAGGACCCCACGGCTTCTCCCCGGTGGCCCGGCAGGAGCCTGAGGCAGGAGGATCTCTGTGAGTTTGAGGCTGCCAATCAGTGTGGTGGCCCCGCTTGTGGGCTCAGGGTCGCTCGGCCTGGGTGAATTCACTTTCAGTTTTGTCCTGGGGGGTTTTGAGACAAGGTGTCCCTATGCAGGGCAGGCCGGCCTCCAGCTCACCAGGGCGCCCAGGCGCCCCTCCTGACTCAGCCTCGGGGCGGGTAACAGGCGAGCCGCTCTCTGCCCGAGGCCCGGGTCCTCCCCCGCCTCACCTCCGGTCGATCATCTGGTAACACTTCTTCAGCCAGCCGAGGCCCGGCATCCGCCGCCGCGGGGTGGCGCCGTTCAGGTACACGATCATGTAGTCCTCGGCCACCAGCAGCTCCAGGCTGCTGATCACGTACCTGGCCGGGAGGCGGGCGAGCGGGGTCGGGACGCGGCCGGCGCTGCCCGGAACGCGGGGTGCAGACCAGGCGCCCGGCTCCTTCCAAGCCTCGCACCCCAAGGGTGCAGGGTCAGCCCAACGCAGGCTGGGAGCGGGCGCCCCAGGGGTGGGGCCGGGCGTTGCGGCCCGCCTCTCCCTGGGGACCAGCAAGCCGCCTTTCCCGCCATGCCCGCCTTTTTTTTTTTTTGAGGCAGGGGCGTGTGGGGTAGCTCAGGCTGGCCTAGAATTCGTGATGCTGATGGTGGTCACAATACAGTGACCCTCATAAAACAGGCTGCTATGTGGGCGCGGTGATGCACCCCTACAGTGCCAGCACTGGAGGCCGAGGCAGGAGGATCAGCACAAGCTCCGGGCCAGCCTGGGCTGCAGACTAGTGACACCTGCTTCCAAAAAAAATACAAAACCAGACAAACTAACATACAGCCGGCTGCTGGCGCCTAGGCGGTGTGCTCACGCCCTGCCTTCCCTGGCCCCGGGCGGCACCCCTGAGCCCCAGCGAGGCCCCCAGCCCTGGCCCCGCCGCCCCGGGACTCACAGGAACAGGTTCTCCATGATGTAGTGGTAGTCGGGGGCGCCGCTGTCCGGGAGGAAGCAGGCGGCAAAGACGATGATGGCGTTGAGGCCTTCCCCGTAGTACCCTGCGGAGGGGGGCGGCTGAGCGCGCTGCGGGGCCGGGCCGCCTCCCCGGGCCCCCGCGGGCCTCACCTCCGTGGGTGACCACCTTCATGTAGGGCCGGATCATGTGCAGGTCGATGCGGTGCTCCTGCTCCCCGATGATCACCGTGCGCCACAGCCGCCCGTTGGCCGCGCCGCCCTCCTCTGTGGCGCCGTCTCCGAACAGGTCTGCGCTGTTCCCCGGCATGTTCTTGGCGGTGGCCACAGGGGTGTCATCTGGGGGAGGTGGGCGGAGGGGACTTGGAGTCGGATGTCACCCTAACCCCGGCCCGGGCACCTTCCTCTCCTGATTCCTGCTGGTGCAAACACCGCCACCTCCAGGAAGCCCCCAGGACTGCGCTTCAGGCGGCAGGCGTCCTGCACCCCCTGCGCCTTCCCCACCGTTGTCCTCTGGACGGTCACTTCCCCGGCCACCTTCCTTCCCACAATGTGCGCATCGGAGCCTGAGGACCCGGAGGAGCGGCCCGGGGCCCTCTGTGTCAGCGCCCACCCATCTGCTGGCCTTTTGCTCTGTTCTCTCCCTCCTGGCCCCGGGTCAGAGCTCTTCCCCTGTATTTTGCTGACTGACTGCATCAGGGCGGTTGGTTGGGAGAAAAATCATGGCTGGGAGTTCAGAAAAAACACACCCGAGCCGGGGGCAGTGATGGATGTCTGCTATTCCAGCTACTGGGGAGGCTGAGGCAGGAGGGTTTTGGGTTCGAGGCCAACCTAGGCAAATTAGCCAGACTCTGTCTCAATCTAAAAAATAAAAAGGGCCTGGGGTGTGGCTTGAGAGTGAGACCTTCCCTAGCATGTGTGAGGCCCTGGTGGCTCCGGGACGTCAGCCCGACTCCTCCTGGGGACCTCGGAGTCCCACGGAAGCTGTGTCCCTCCCCATCTCTGCCTGGCTCCCTGACCCAGGCCCATCACACAGGACCTCAGCTCCAGTGACAGCGCCCAGCTGGCCTGGCCGCCTTGGAGACCAGACCCGGCTCGGGGAGCCTCAGCCAGGCCTCTGCTCATGGCCCTGGGGACACTGAGGCCAGGTTCCCTGTGGGGCATCCTGGGCACTGCAGGGTGCTGAGCAGCGTCCTTGGCCCCCACTCACTCCAGCCATGGACAGCCACGTGTGTCCCCAGACGGGGCTTCTTCTTCCCCTGTCACCCAGGCCAGTGCCCTGTGTGTGCAGGTTTCCTCAGTCACCCCCTGTCACTGGCAGGGTCTGTGTCTGTCAGTCATTTGGTCCCCGTGACCCCAGTGCCACAGTCAGGACTGGTCCAGGGGACCTCGTGTTCCCCACGACACTCACAAGGGCACAGGAAAACAGTGAGCCAGCAGGGCGCGCCTGTCCTCCCAGCACTCGGGAGGCTGAGGCAGGAGGATCTCTGAGTCGGAGCTCAGCCTGGGCTTCCTCTCAAACCAGGCTTCCCACAAAAACAAGAACACAGGAAAACAGGCAACTGCAGGACGACGACCTTCCCACAGGAGCTCTGGGCCCCGAGGGAGAGCCTGGGCCCCTGGACGGTTCCGGATGTGGGCAGGGGCGCCCCGAGGAGCCCCTCAACCTTCACCTTCCCACTCCAGGTCGTTCCCATTTCCCAGGAACTCCAGCGAGTCGGTCTCATCCGGGGTTTCGATGTCGTCCACGTTGATGTCCAGGTCATCGGGGGTGTCCAGGAAGTCATCGGACAGCAGGGAGCCTTCGCTCTGGTCCAGGGAGATGTTGATCTCGGGGGCCACCAGCGTCTTCCTCTTCCGATGGGCTCCACCGAAGTTCAGCACGCTGGGCGGGGCTGCGGGCCCGGGAAGGCACAGGGCTGACCCTCCTGCCTCAGCCTCCCGAGTGCTGGGCCGCCCGGCACCCACCGCCGCGCCTAACCTGTCCCCTCTGAAAGCAGTTTCCCTCTTCCCGGGGTTAAGCCAAGCCGAGATCAGGCTGAGCAGAGCTGGTCCTGGGAAGTGAGCCCGGGGGCAAAGCCACCCCGTGTCCCCAAGGCAAAGTCCAAAACAGAGATGGACTTTCCGGGGGACCCTGGCCGCGTCCCCTGGCCTCGCTTCATGGACCTCTTGGATCTCTTCCCCTCAGCTGGGAGCTGAGCTTCAGGAGGAATTGGCGCCACATTTTCCCCAGAGCCCGTCACCCCAGCCTCCCCAGAGGCTGAGGCAGGAGCATTTCCAGTTTGAGTCTCCGGGGCCCCCTACCTTCTTCATGGGAAGTGGGGCTCAGGAGGTGAATTTACTGAATTTGGTAAAAAATTTGCTCTCAGCCAAGCGTGGCGGCTCACACCTGTCATCCCAGCACTGGGAGGCTGAGGCAGGAGGATTGTTGTGAGTTCGAGACCAGCCTGGGCTACAAAGTGAGCTCAAGGCCGGCCTGAGCTGCATAGCGAGACCCTGTCTCAAAAAGATTAAAAACAAAACATAACAAATTGTGCTCTCTCCTCCCACAGGGGTAAAACTGCAGGCCACAGTGCAGGACAGGCTGCGGGTGTGTGGACGTGACACTGGTCACTAGCAGGGACAGCATGAAGCAGGGAGGCGGTGACGGCAGCAGCACGTGGCCCTCAGGGCTGAGACTGGAGCCAAAGAGGATTATTCTCAAGCCCTGAAAGCGAGTGGAATTTGGCCTTAATTAAAAAAAAAAAGGCAAAAACAAAAACATCAATGGAATTTGCCCTAAATACAAAGAAGCAGGAGGTGTGGGGCGCAGGGCTGCTCTCCAGGCACCCCAGCACTCGGCACTCGGGAAGCTGAGGCAGGAGGATCCCAGTGAGCTCAAAGCCAGCCGGGCTGCAGTGAGAGCCGGTCTCAAACACCAGGAAACAAACGAACCAGTCCATCGAGCGGGTTTGTCACAGATGGAACAGGGCGGGTCCTAGCATGTCCAGTGACTGCTGTCCCATTGAAGGGAAGGTTAGGACAGACAGACATGTGGGGAGAAGAGGCCGTGACCACCGAGGCAGAGATCGGGGTGACCCTCCCACGGCTCAGTCTCCTGGTCTTCACAGGCTGGTGGCTCAGTGGTGAGCACTTGCCTGGCAGGTGCAAAGGCCCTGAGTTCTGCCTTCTGCACCAACTAAGAACAACTAAGCCCCACTCCTCCGATCTTTCCCAACTGCAAAGGAACCTTGGCTGGTTTCTGAGGAGCACAGATTTGGGGCTTATTGGGGCTCCGCATGCAGGAAGCAGGCACTGTTATTGGTGTGTGATCCCCCAGGGTCCCCAGGTCCACGCCCTGCTGGAGGCCCACGGTGGAGTCCACACAGCAAGGTCCCCACACAGCTTGGCCTCCTGGCTCGGCAGGGTGCAGGGCGGGGTGCTGTGTGGCCTCAGGCCAGGCGCACCCCTTTCTGGTGGGCCAAGACCCTGGAGTTGGGCTCTGTCCCAGGTGGGGCGGGCCCCCGGCCCCCCAGCCACCACGCCCACCTCTGGGTGTAGACTTACAGGACGCCTCTTCCCCGGGGCTCCCCAGCAACTCCATGCCGGCCTCCTCTGGGAGTGGCCTGCGACCCCAACGAGCAGACAGCGACATCCAGGCGGCAGGTGTGACACGGTCAGGGCAGCAGACAGAGCAAGAGGTCAACAAAACAGTCAGATGTGGGACCTCCTGGGAAGTCACAACATCCGTGCTCGGGGACCCCTTTCTAATCGTCAGATTAACCGGATGCTTCTCAGGACTCTTTGCTTCTTAAACTTGTATTTGTATTTTTAATTTGTCAGAACTGGGGGTAGAACCCAGGGTCTCACAAGTTGCCCAGGCTTGAACTTGAGATCCTCCTGCCTCAGCCTCCCAGAGTGCCAGGATCACCGGCTTGGCTTACACCACTGCGCCTGGCTTAGAGGGAGTCTCGGACAGAGCAAGCTGAGGCCCCGCCAGAACAAGGACTTTGTCTCCCACTGTGCTGTGACTCTGTCCCCTCTGAAATGTAAATCGAATTCTCCATGAGGTGACCCAGTGGATGCCACCTCTGACAAGCTGGGATCCGTGTGGCAGGCAAATACATTAAAAAGTACCGTGGCTGATGGCACATGACTGTTTTTTTAAAGTCCATTTTATTTTGGGGACAAAAAGAAAAAAGAAACAAATTTCAACAAAATTATCTCAATGATTCGGGAGGCTGGGGCAGAAGCATCTCAAATGGAAACCCAGTCTGGGCGACTTAGCGAGAACTTTTCTCAAAGATTAAAAAATACAGCCAGAGGTCCTGCTGCCCGCCTGTAATCCCAGCACTCAAGATGCTGAGGCAGGAGAATCTCTGCAAGTTGAAGCCCTGCCTGAGCTCCAGAGAGATACCGTCTCACAAAAAGACCAAGAGAAAAAAAATTTCTCAAAAGAATTAAGAGACACCAAGGGCTGGGACTGCGGCCCCGAGTTTCACACTCAGTTCTTTGATTTTAATCTGTACTGGGCCTAGTTTTTTCCTACCTACATAGCATTTTTAAAATATGAAAATGTATTATTAATGTCTTTTCATTAGCATGTTTATTTATTTGTCTTTTTGAGACAGGGTCTCACCGGGCAGCTCAGGCTGGCCCTGAGCTCACTTTGGAGCCCAGGCTGGTCTCAAACTCCCAGCGATCCTCCTGTCTCAGCCTCCCGAGTGCTGGATGAGGACGTGCCTGGCTTTGTGGGTATGTTTCTGCATTGTGTGAATTAACACTTAGTTATTCAGTCAAGTTTTCACTGAGAATCTGGGGGGTCTGTAGCTTCAGGGACTCCCCAGCTGAAGACCCAAAAGGCAAACACCGAGGAAGGGGGGACTCTGTGATCAAACCCGAATCTTCCCTTGTGGGGCCCACGGCTGTGCAGCCCAAGGCATCGGTAAGTCATGGGCGCCGAGGAGGCCCTAAGCAAAGGAGTGTGTGGTGCGCTGCCCGGCATGCCCTGGGAGGCTGAGGCAGGAGGACTGTGAGTCTGAGCCCAGCCTGGGCAACTGAGTGACTTCACGACCTTGACTCAAGACAAAAAAAATGGAAAGGGCTGGGAGCACAGGCCAGCACTGCCTGGAGCCCACGGCCCTGTGTGGCCGCCGCTGGGCTCGCCTTGAGGAGCTGTGCTCATTCCTCCCCGAGGGACGAGAGACGGGAGGCAGAGGACTCACGGGCCTCACGGGCGCAGCTCCAGCTGGCAGCGTCACAGGGCATGGTGTGCACAGGAGCCCACTGTCCTGCCGGGGACCCTGCAGCTGGGGGACTCACTGGAAAGACACCCTGGCTCCCGCTCAGCTGGCCTGGTCCCCATTTACAGCTGCATTCAGCCCTGTTCCATCCCCAGCAGGCTTGGGGAGACAGCTTTTATTTATTTTTCTAAATTTTTAAATTTTTTTCAAGTCACTAGGGTTGAGCCCAGGACATTTGCACGGAGCTTTGGGTGTGTGTGTGTGGGGGGGGGGTTCTGTTTGGTGGGAAGAGAGGGACAGACCAGATAACCACACAAAGTGTCCAGCACAGGCGATGGTTGAGTTTGTCCCCCCAGACGTGTAGGTGTTGGCAGCTTGGTTCTTGGGACACGCTGACACCTTTAAGAGGCGGAGCCTAAGGGGAGGCCTTTTGGTCACTGGGGGCGTGGCCTCTGAAGGCCCCAAGAGAGTTCTCGGGGCACTCTGATTGGCTGTTCAGAGTGTCCTAAGAAATCCGTTAAAGTGCCCAGCACCCGCCCCTTGTGGCTTCCTCCTCCTCCTCTTTCTGCTCCCATTTCTGGCTCCTAGAACCTCTTTTCTTTATCAAGCGAGCTGCCTCTGCCAAATCATCATAGGAACAGAAAGGACTCACACACAGCACAGCTTCTGTGACAGATCCCCACAGACCCAGCCCCCCAAAACCTCCTACGACTCAGCTTCGTAATTCCAGAGGCGGGAAGCGAATCCAAAATCAGCCTTGCTGAGCTGCAGTGCAGCTAGGGGACCCTGCAGAGCCTGGGGGGAATTGGCACCCACCTGTCCCAGCCGTTTTATTTTTAAATTTTATTTTATTTTTATTTTTGTAGTACTGAGACCCAAGCCCTGGGCCCTGGCACTCAGCTGTATCCCCAGCCCTTTAATACATTTTGCTTCCAATCAAGGTCTCACTAAGTTGCTAAGTGGAACTTGTGGCCTTCCTGCTCAGCCTCCCAAGAAGCTGAGGTGACAGGCGTGCACCGCTAGCACCTTGATGGCACGAGAGGCTCTCAACGACGCTGGCAGCACCTCCCTTGGGCCACCCCCTCCCCGGGTGCTGGGCCATGCGTGGCCCAGCCCCACCCCCATCCTACCTGGGAAGATCCTCGTCCTGCCATTCGTCCCGCACATCCACGTTCTCCATCCGGAGCGTGGCCTCCGTGGTCCCCATGGGAGCCGGAGAGAGGGGCTGGTTGAGGCAGGAAGCACCCTGAAGGACGAATGGGTTTCACTGGCAAGGATGGCAGGAACCACCCCTCCCTCTGTCTGCAGCATCGGGGGAAGGGGGTGGATCTGCAGGGAGTTTGTGCGTCATCTCATTGAGTCATTGCCTGTATCCTCGTGTCACAGATGAAGCAATAGGCAGAGAGGGGCTGAGGGCTTCCGGGTGGGTATGGAGTTTGAACCCAGGTTAGGACCTCAGCCTCCTGCTACCAACTCCTCTTCACTGAGACCTCTGAAGCTCACTCTCCCCAGAACAAGCAATTATCAAAACAGATTCACTCTTGCTCTCTTACTTTGGCCCTCACCCAAGAAACAATGAAATCAACAACAACAGTAATTTAGACTAAAGTGTGAATGACTGCTATGGTCGGTTCATTTTCCCAGTACGTACTGACACTTTCAAAAAGCACTTGGCCCACTCCAACTCTCTTCTCCCTGCCCCAGGTCATCTGCCCTGCCCTGTATTCTTTCATAAATCTTGACAACCTGCAGATGCTGGGGCTAAGAAAGCGATGTGGAAAGAGCTTGGGCCTTCCAAGTCAGATTAAAATCATTATCAAGCATACAACGCAGGCTTGGTTTTTATTGTGCTGAGCCTCTGCCCGGGGTAGGCACTGGGTCCTGGCTTCAGCACCCTGCTGGCTTGTGACAGAATCAGAGCAGGCAAGGGAAATTGGCTTTATATCTACCTCAAGGAATGACAGACTCCCAAACCCTTCACCTCTGTGCCTCAGTTTCCCTGTCTGTAATGAGACCGTTGAATGGGAGAGGACCCCTCTGAGACGCTCCAGGTATCACATTCCAGGATATTGGGCCCCCTCCTTTCAGTTCACATCTGGGGACCCACCTCCCCTCACCCCCTGGAGGCACTCAGTGTGCACAGGGGTTTGGAGTTGCATTCCCGGGCAGAGGTCAGGGAAGCTTCTCCGCTTCCCATAATGCCCTGAGAATGACCTGACCTCAAGGCTGGGCAAAGCTGTTAGGAAAGGAAGCAGAGTCAGGCTGGTGACGGGCACCCGTCACACCAGCATGAGGGAGGCTGAGGCAGGAGGGCCAGCCCGGGTGACATAGTGAGACCCGGCCTCAGAAAAGCAAAATCAAAGGCCCAGGATGCAGCTCAGCAGCCCAGCGCCTGCCTGGCAAACGCAAGTCCCTAAGTTTGATGCCTGGTGTCAGTAAAAGGGAAAAACAAAACAAAACAAAAACACAAAGGAAGGGAAAGGGAAGAGCCCTGTCTGGGCTCCGTCACTGTGACTAGCTCCTCCCACCGCCAGTAGCCCATCTGTGACCTGCCTGAGGTCCCAGCAGTGGCTGGGTGTGTCCCTCCAGCCCGAGACCACAGGGGGACCCCTCGGAGGCCGAGGACCAGGGCACGGCAGGCTGTCCCCAGTTCCGGTGAATGGCTCCCCCCCTCTCATGGTCAATGTCGTCACTCATTGATGGAGGAGGGATGCTGACACGCAGTATGAGAGAAAAAATCCCTTCCGGAGGCGCCCTGTCCTCTCTGGCCGGCCGAGGCCCGGCTCCCCGCTGCAGCAGGGTCCCCGCCAGGCCTTAGCCGGCCTGGAGCGGGGTGTGAGCTGACCTTCGGGGACCTGCGTCTCCCCCGCCTCCAGCCCCGGCCCTGGGCAGCGGTCCCCAGCGCGGCCCGCACACCCCTGTTCCTGCCAGGTACCAGCCAAGACGGCGACATCACGGGACGACCCTGCAGGGCTCGCCACAGCCCCGGGGCCGAATTCTTGGCGCACTGCACAGAAATCCAGAAAAACACGCCGGGCGTGGTGGCGCCCCTCACCCAGCAGCCGGAGGCTGAGGCAGGAGGGTTGCAGGGAGGAGAGGGCGGCTGTGCTCTTCGGGCGTCCTTCCGCCCTGCTCCGGGATGCAAACCTTCACCCACACGTTTATGTAAATTTCCCGTCCACACCCGCAGCCGCCCGGTCCCCCGGGTGTCACAAACGGGGGGCCAGCAGGCTTGCCGCGCCCGAGCCCCAGCGCGTTCTGCACCGAGCACCCGGCCCCTGCCCCTTCCCCGCGCCGCACCCGGGAAGCCCTCACCTCCGCGTCACTGGCGGACAAAGGCGCGCAGCCCTCGCGGTCCCCGGGCCACGGCCACGCAGGACGCTCGCGGGGGCATCCGAGCAAGGTCACCCGGCCCCGCGGGCCGCCTGCTGCAGGCCTGGGTGGGGGGCAGGGCCGATGCGGTCAGCGGGGGGCTCCGGGTGCCCCAGCAGTCGCCCTGCCCCTTGGCATCGCGGTCCCGGAGCCGTCTGCTCCTCCTCCTCGTCCCGCGGCCCTGCGAGCCTTTGTGCACCGCGGGTGGGAGCGGGCGGGGGCGGGAGGAGGGAGGCCCCGCCTCCTGTCAGCATCCGCGCCTCGCCATTGGCTGAGCGGGATGCCACTCTGCCGGCCGCCGGGAGAGGAGGGAGGGAGCAGGGGAGGGGGAGGGGCAAGCGCAGGAGCGGTTTTCTGATGGCGCATCTTGAATGTAAACGCCAAACAGGGCACAGACACAGAAATCCAAGCCGGAGGAGGGAGCCTCGCTCCTTACAGGGTGCGGGGAGGGGCGGCATTTTTTTTCTTTTTTAAAAAAGACCGAGGAGCGGGGTGTACTAGCGCTGGCCTGTAACCCCAGCATTTGGGAAGCTGAGGCAGGAGGATCACTGGCAGTTGGGTGCGGGGAGGGGCCAACCTGGGCTACAAAAGAAGTTCAGGGCTGGCCTGGATTACGTAAAGAGACGCTGTCTGTTGAGGCTGAGGCGGAGGATCGCTGGGAGTTCGAGACCAGCCTGTGGGCTACCACGGGAGCGCCAGGCCAGCCTGCACTGCACAGCGAGACCCTGCCTCCAAAACAAACAAACAAACAAACACCAAACGAAAATGAGGGCTCCGCTCCTGGTCCGCAGCCGCCCACCAGCGGGGCACCCTGGGAGGAGCGACCTTGCCAGGTCCCAGCTTTGCTCAGAGGCCTCCGGGCGTGGCGAAGGCTCTGCCAACCTCTCTGGCATTGCTGGCTTTATTTCCTGACCCCGCCGCGGCCGGACGGTTACCTCGCCCTCAAACACCCGGCCTCAGCTCAGCCTGCGGCCTGTCCCTGTGACCCGATTTGGAAGAAGGGTTTCTGCAAAGGCGATGGGGCTAAGGATCCGGGAGGTCTTCTTAGGTTAGGCGGGTGCTCAACCTAACCTGGGGCCCCCCACCCACCCAGGAGAGAGTTCTCCTTTGGGTTCCAGAAGGAGCCAATTCCTCCTGACAGCTTGACTTCACATTCTGGACCCCAAGGGTGAGTGAACAGGTACCTATTGTTTTTAAGTCTCCTTTTGTGGCTGTTTGTTAGTCAGTCGGGAAAGAAGGACTTGATTCCAACTGACAAGAATGTGTGCTGGGCCCTTACGGAGATTTGTTGGTATAGGGCAGGAGCGTGGGCAATGTGAGCTGGGTTCCAAGGCGACAGTAGGAGTTCAATGGATGAAGGAGAAAGCGTTCAGGGGTTCAGAAGGAGTCCAGAAGCGGCGTGCAGCTTCGCAGCCCGCCTCTCCCTCCGCAGCCCTGGGCGCTGTCCCTGGTCCTGACCGTCGTGTGGCTCTTGCTTGGCTCCTCGGCTTTCTGTCCTGCTTTGCTTTTAAACGTGTTCACACAAAACTGACTTTTAAACCGATTCCAAATGCACAGTTCAGAGGCACTGAGCGCAAGGGGAGCCTCTGCCCCTTCCAGTCCCGGCGCTACCGTCCTCTTTCCTGTCTCCCCGAGAGTGAGCCCTGTCGTAGATGTTCTGTGGTGGCTGCCTTCCCTCGCTTTCCTTCGTGTCTTCCGGGGCCATCTGTGCTGTGTCTGAATCTCCTTTTATTGGCTGAGTAATATTCTACTGGGTATATAAAGCCTCTGGTTGCGAATTCAATGTCAGAGAACCCAGAGTGTGTGTTAAATAGTGAGCGTCTACACACAGACAGACAGCAGACAGACAGACACTGAGGCTGTGTGTTGATCGATTGATGGAAATATTGTACCCAGAAGTTGGCGGGAGGCTAACCTTGCGTTTCCCTTGGGAGTCGTGGTCAGGACACTAATTCAGTGTTCATGGTGGCTTTATAGAACTAAAGCGGTGAGGGCCAGCTGGATTGCAAGGACCAGCTAAGACCAGCGACTGTTTCTCACGTTGTTTGTTGCAGATAATAGGAGGCGAGATCGAGGGCCTGCAGGGGAAGCCCAGAAACGTCCACCCTCCTGAAGGGGCGCGGCCTTAATCATCCAATCAGAGCCATGCTGGACGTGGGCCAGGGCATGGAGAGAGCCGCGCTTGCCAGGCCATTTCTAGTGCCACACGTGGTCACGGAGGCACCTGCCATCCCCGAGACGGCTGGCACATTCCCTTTGGCACGGGGCTGCGGCCGTGTGCGTCCAAGGATTAAGTGGCCTGGCGCCTGCAAAGGAACCCCACCTTGCCACAGTCAACTAATTTGGCTTTTTATTCCAAGCTTTTTGTAATATTCCAAAATCCAAAAGCCAAGTGATTTAGGAACACACCTGTCATCCTGGCGTTTGGGGAGGCTGAGGCAGGAGGGTCACGAGTTCAAGCCCAGGCTGGGTAACTGGGCACTTGTCTAAAATTTAAAAATAAAAAGGGCTATGAGGTAGCCCAATGCTACAGCACCCCTGGGTTGGAGCCCCAGTGCCTCACCCCACACATACCGACACAAAAAGCAGCATGATTTGATTTAAGAGGGGCTCCAAGTAACAGGTGGGTTTGCGGTAAGGGGCAGGGCTTGAGCTGAGACCCTCACATCTGATTGGTTAAAGGAAGTCGGGGCGGAGTTTATGGTAGGGGCGGGGCTTGAACAGTCTTTCGCGGCCAAGCAAAGACAAAGATTCAGAGTATGGGGCGGAGTTCGTGATAAGGGGTGGAACTTGAACACAGACCTCATTTGGTTGAAAGGATGGAGGGGCTCCACAAGGGGTGGGGCATACAACAGGGCGAGGTTTGATTGGTTAAAGGCAAGACGGGCCTCCAATAAGAGGTGGGGCATGGGGCAGGGCGAGACCTGAACCAGGAACCTGAGTGGTTGAAAGAAAGGAAGGCGGGACTCGATTAAGGGGCGGGGCTCCAGTAGGGCGGGGCGGCTGGTAGACGCCCACATCTGAGTGGCTGGAGGGAAGGCGGGCTCCACAGGGGTGGGGCCGGGGGCGGGGCCGGAGCCGCCCTCGGAGGCGGGGCCGGTGACGTCATCGGCTGCCCGTTTGGGGAAGACGCCAAGATGGCGGCGAGCAGGTCTTCCGGCTCCGCGCAGTCCAGGTAACGGCTCGCGCCTCCTCTCGCCGCGCGGAGCCCAGGCCCGGGGAAAGCCGCGCGCTGCGGAGCTGGCGGAGCGGCGGCGTGGTCGGAACCGGCCGGAACGCGAGTCGGGGCGGGGTGGGGCGGGAGACGCTGGCGCCGGTTGCCATGGCCACAGAGCCGCGCGTGCGTCGGGCAGGGGTCGCGAGGAGGCCGATCAGGCCGGGGGATGGGGTCGGGAGTGGGCGCCCCGAGAGGGAGCTGGCGAGCCGGAGGGCGGGAACCTGGACCCTGATTGGGGGCAGGGAAGTCGGCAGGGAGACGTCGGAGGCCCGGGAGGGGCCGCAGAGACCTGACTGGGGGAAGGGCAGGGAGTTGGGGCGCAGGCTTGACCTGGGGGTGGCGAGACCTGAGGCCCAGGAGGAGGGTGGGCTCCTGGGGAGACGGAGGGGTGGGGCAGCGACCTTGAGATGGAGTGGGGGCCTGTTGGGGTATTTAGAGCCACCCAGAGCAGGACTGAGAGGGGAGGGAGGGAAGACGCCACGGTGGGGACACTCAGGGTCCAGAGCACGCACCCTGCATGGTTCTCCAAGGCCACAGCTCCCTTGAGGGTCAGGGCCCGCCGTTCTTCTGGAGCGTCTTTCCGCCGGTGTGTAGCTGGTGGCCTGGGGCAGACTCTGCACGGTTCAGGGTGATACGCTCTGTACCCTTGGAACCTCAGAGACAAGTGTCCCAGCGCTGGGGCCTTTGCACACATTTATGGACTCTCGAAGTGGACAGTAGGTGCTGAAGCCGGGGTTTGGGGTTCAGCCCAGTGTCTGTGCTGTTGCATGGCTCCTTCTAGGGCAGCCCGTGGAAACCGGAAGTGTGGGAGACAGGCGGGCTCCTGATGGACACCCTCAATGGTCTTTCGGATGTTGGCCAGCTATGGGTGTCCTGTGAAGGCGAGAAAGCTCAGCAGCCCTTGGCCCGGACAGAGTAAATCACATCATTTTTATTTCCTGTTCCCATCCTCCTGGGTGACATCGGGATGGCCTGGACCGGGTACAGATGTGGGCTCTGCTGGCGGCGACGCACTGCCCCCTGCCGGCCCACTGCGCGCCCTTTCCTTTCCGCCTCCAGGGCCTGTGCAGTTCCCTGTGAACCAACCCTTGAAAGTTAGGCCATCAGCGTTCCCTTCCGTTCCAGCGCAGTGGTGCACGCCTGCTACTGCAGCTGTCCAAGAGGCCAAATCAGGAACATCGAAAGTTCAAAGCCAGCCTGGACAGGTTAGCAAGGCCCTGTCTCAAAAAGTGAAGAGGGCCGCGGGTCTGAAGGTGGAACCAGGGCCTCAGGCATGCCAGGCAAGCGCTCCCCACTGAGCTACACCCCCACTCTTGTCATTTTTTAAACAGAGCCTTGCCAGTGGCCCAGGCCTGGCTTGAATTTAGGGTCTTTCTTCCTCAGTGGCCAGAGTAGTTAGGGTGGCAGGTGTGAGCCACCGTGCCTGGCAACGTGGCCGTTTCAAGTTGATTTTCTCGACTTGTGAAATTGATCACCACTGCCCCAGGTGAAATGTCCCTTTCTTGGTCCTATCAAAATAGAGTTGGGGTCACTACAGGACTTTTGTTTGTTCGGTGCTGAGTATGGAACCCAGGACCTCACACACCCCAGGCAATCACCCCACCACTGAGTGACATCCCCGGCCTTTTTTATTTTTTGTTTTGAGATAAGATCTTGTTTAGCTGCCCAGCCTGGCCTCAAACTTTCCATCCTCCTGCCCCCCGTCTTTTAATTGTTGATCACTAAGACTTGTGTGGTTATATAGATTTATTTTTCTTTTCTGTATTTGGTTTGCTTTTTTTTTTTTCCTGGAGACAGGGTCTCACTATGCAGTTCAGGGTGGCCTCTAACTCGCTCACTGTGTGGCCCAGGCTGAACTCACAGCGATCCTCCTGCCTCAGCCTCCCGAGTGCTAGGAGCACAAGTGTGCGCCCTCACACCTGGCCGGTCATATACTCTTGAAGGCTGAAAAAAAGTGCACAACTCCCTGATGATAATGTGGGTTATCATTTATTTTCTTCACGTGCTATAGTGAATCTCATAATCCTTTCCTGAGTGGTGCAGGTATTCAGAATTCAGGACTAATCCGCCTGGAAAATTGACCCTGGAAGAACGGAAGGTGGATTTTGGCTGAGAGGCCGACAGGCTCTGAGGACGTGGGGTGTGTGGCTGTGGCAGGCGCCTGTGTCTGGGTGCGTGTGTCTCTTGGGAGAATTGTTCCTACCAGGATGACATATTTGACCACCTTTGTCTCTACTTTTTTTTCTTCTGTGAACCACAGGCCCACAGCACTGAGCTCCATCCCCAGCCTTGTTTTTATTTTTTATTTTTTATTCTTTTTTGTCTTTTTCTTTTTTCTTGGTACCGGGGATCAAACTCACGACTGCCTGCTTGCAAGGCAGGTGCTTACGCCGCTGATAAACAGATTCTGAAATCCCTGACCCCTATTTATGCTTTTGATAAAGCATCTCTTAGAGTCACTATGTAGCTCAGGCTGGTCTTGTTCACAAGGAAATCCTCCTGCCTCAGCCTTCCAAGAGCTGAGATTACGGCGTGGGCCACTACACATATTTTCAAATGACTTTTGCAGATGCCTTGCCACCGTAGGTGTTGTTGGGGTTCTTCTTGAGCACAGAGGTGAGGGGGGACAGCGACCCTCGATCTGGATAAGCACCCCGTGGACCTGGCAGGAGGAGGAAGGTGCGGGAGGGGCATCCCTCGGCTTTTGGCGCGTTCTCTTCGGGTAATTTGGGATTGAGACTGAGACGCCCATGCCAGGCTGCAGGTGTCCGCAAGGTAGCCCATCCCTCCTCCCGTCATCCCCAGATGGGGCGGGAGCCCAGGCAGCAGGGCGTCCCCACTTCTGGGAGCCCCCAGCCCTTGCAGGACTAAAGCCTCTGGTGGTAACAGCAGCCCAGAGCCTGTGGGGCAGCGCAGGGAGGTGACAGGGCGGCCCCTTGTGGTCATTTAAGGAACCGCACAGTGCTGCGTTACAGGAAGCGCCCGTTTGTCCTCCAGCCTTGGTCACCTTGGAGAGGTCTCAGGTCCTGTGTCCCATTTTCAGTGTCCATCGTAGCTTTGGGTTGTACAGGGGGCAAGGAGGGCTTGTCACCCGGCCGAGTGACCCCAGCTAACTCAGACTGCAGGCAGGGTGCGAACCTGTGATCCTCCTGCCTCAGCTTCCCGAGTAGCGGGGACAACAGTGTGCCACCAGTCCACTTCCCCTTTTTGTGTTCCTTTGGGACTTTTGGGGGATACTGAGGACTGAACCCAGAGCCTTCCCAGTGAACTCCATCCCCAGCCGTTCTCAGTTTTTCTTTTGAGGCAGGATCACCAAGTCACTCAGTGGCCCAGGCTGGCCTTGAACTTGGGATCCTCCTGCCTCAGCCTCCCAGAGTGCTGGAATGACAGGCAGACACCGCTGTGCCCAGCTGCCAGTGGCTTCTTCAGCCCGAATGTCACATCTGGGGCCAGCGGGTTTGTGTCTGTTGAACCTGCTCTCGAGAACCCTGTGCCCGGGACCCTGTTTCCTTTTCCTGTCGACCCTGTTGCCTGGGCCTGCGTGGACCCAGCGTTCCCGCCCCTGGAGTCAGGAGGCGAGGGCTGGGCCTCTGGGCCGGAGCCCGTCTTGCCCGAGCTGCTGTACCATCCAGCCGATGCCTGGCAGCTGTCCCGCGGGGCCACCTTGGAGCCACCCCCTCTCTGTTGCACGGTACAGCAGGGAAGCTCAGCAGCCCAGTGATGGTGACATTGGTACCATGATGGAGTGCCCCCTGCCCCCAGCCGGCCACCGGGCTGTGTCCCCAGGAAGTCTAGGGTAGCGGTGGCCTTCGACTGGCCTTGAAGAAGCTGCCAACTCTTCCCAGAGCCCCTGGACCTAGGCGGGGCCCCCTCTGCAGTGGGGTTCCGGGGGACCCCACCTGTACGGGGATCTCACCAGACGCGCTGGAGGTGAAGGCGGAGAAGAATCACCAGGAGACTCGGGCTCTGTGAGGGGCGCCTGCACCCCGGAAAAAATGTGTGAAGGGCTGCAGATGCGAACCTCGGGGATGGAGGCCCCATGCCGGCCCCACCCGGTGCACATCCCCCACGGGACTGAATCGGGATTTCCTGTCAATAAAGCAGCGTGGACACCGCCTCCCAGATGAGTGTTTTTTGTGGCCTGTACTTGGCCATTGGGTTCCTGGGTATCAGCACTGCGCCCCTGGGCCCCCACTGTCACCTTGATTTCCAGGGTCAGAACGTGGGCACAGCCATAAAGACAGGCGACCTTCCTGTTATTTGGGTTTTTGAGATGGTGTCACTGCGTAGCCCGGGCTGGCCTCAAACTTGTGGGGAATCCTCCTGCCTCAGCCTCCCACGCACCTGGGATTTAGGCACAGTGACCCCATCGTCTCTCATCCTGATGGTCTGTAGGGCATTTTATCCCCTGCCTGTCCCAGTAGGTCACACGGATGTCCTTAGGAGTATGCTCCCAGGGCTGGGGATTTAGCTCAGCAGCTAAAGTGCCTGCCTTTCAAGCGCATGGTTGTGGTGAGTTCGATCCCTGGTACCAATTAAAAAAAAAAAAAAGACTACATCAAGGAGTATGCTCCCATGTTCCGATCTGTCCCTTGGAAGCAAGTGAGCGAGCCCAGGGGCTCGGGACTTTCCCAATGAGAACTTTCCATCCCGTGGGCCGGGATAGCCCCAGAAGCTCAGTGACCACATGAACAAATTGGATCAGGGAGTCTTGCTGCTTTTTGGTACTCAGATCTAATCTAAAAGATGCGCACTCCAGAGGCTGAGGCAGGAGGATCACCAGGAGTAGGAGACCCTGTGTCAAAAAAAGCCAATAATAAATAATCAGGGCTGGGCATGATGGCACACGCCTGTCATCACAGCCCTCTGGAGATGCTGCAGGAGGGTCACAAGTTGAAGCCCAGCCCGAGCCATTTAAAACACAAACAAAGAAAACCCGGCAGGGTTCAGCGGGAACCCTGATTCTTGGCACGGCCATGTGACACTGGCTGCAGCCCTGCCCGTGAACGGGCTGAGGAGGAGTCCGTGGCCCACCCAGGCCTGAGGCAGCCCTGGCCCAGGCAGCTCCCCCAGGTCCTGACCTGGAGACTGTCCCTGCTGGAGATGCCGGGTCCTCCCAGCTCTCTGTCCCTTTCTGCTCTCGGGACTACACCTGCAGGGTGCCAGTGGGCAACTCAGAGACTTAATAAGACTTTGTCTCCAAGAGAAAAATAGAAGAATCAGGGGTGTGGCCCGCTGAAAAGGCCCGGGGCTCTGTCCCCAGGGCCACAGAAATAAATGAGGGTCCGGCAGGGCAGGCTCTTCCTCCCTCCGTGGCTGTCCCTGCCTGGGTGGCCCCCTGGCTGCGGTCTCTGTCCCCTTTCACTGCTTGCTGCCTTCTGACCTCCTGGCCCCGGATGACTGGGGATAACTTCCTGTCCCAGGATCTGTCACAGGAGGATCGCTGCGAGTCCGAGACCAGCCTGGGCTATAAAGTGAGCCCAAGGCCAGCCTGAGCTGCACAGCGAGACCCTGTCTCAAAAGACCAAAAATAGGGGCTGGAGGTTTAGCTCAGCAGCATAAGCGCCTGCCTTGCAAACAGGCAGTCGTGAGTTCAATCCCTGGTACCAATAAAAACGAAAAAGACAAAAAAAAAAAAAAGCAAAAATAAATACTTTCTGAGATGGGATCTCTGCAAGTTGCCCAGGCTGGGTTACAGCCTACGATCCTCCTGCCTCAGCCTCCCAGGCTGCTGAGATGAAAAGCGTCTGTCCCCTGCTTGGTTAAATGTCCCAGTTTCTCTGCATTCACACCAGCCTGGAGCAGTTACCTCTGCCCACTCTGTCCCCTCCCGGTCTCCTTGTGTCCTCTGCACCCTAGCTTCCACCCTTCCATCCCCCTGGAGGGCGCCAGAGTCCCCTCTCTGCCCTCAGGGCAGTCGGCAGCCCAGTGATGGCTGTCCCCCTGGCCCAAGGCCCCTGTTGCCGTAGGCCTCTCTCCCGTTGCTGGCCAGGCCATCAGCTACGGTTCCTCTTTGTGTGTGTGTGTGTGTGTGTGTGACCCTGGGGACTGAACCCGGGCCCCTTGCCCTGAGCTACACCCTTGTATTTAGAAAAAAATAATTTTTTTTGCTAGTGTGGTACATACCTGTCATCTAGGTGCTCAGGAGGCTGAGGCAGGAGGATCTCAGCTTGAGGCCAGCCTGGAGCAGGGTGAGACACTGTCAATTTTTTTTTTCTTTTTAAAATTTGAAGCGGGATCCTACTAAGTAGCCCACGCTGGACTCGATCACTCAGACCTCTCAGCCCCGTGATGGGGGGAGGAGAGGCCTGCGTCCTGGTACCCGGCTTCTGCCACCTTTCCCTGCTGGCCTTCCGAGCAGGGCCTCAGCTAGTCGCAGAATTCAGGCTGCCACCCTGCGAAAGCTCCCATGCTGCGAGATTCCATGGAGACAGCAGGCTGAAAACAGACCCTCGGAGTGGGAAACGGATTCCTGGTCGCCGGGGGCTGGGAAGGGGAGATGATGGAACCTCCGAGCTGTCTGGGAAAAGGGAGCAGCAGCGAGGGTTCCAGGACAGCAGCCAGCCAGGCCGGCAGCGAGCTGGGACGCCCCCAGAGCGCAGAGGCGCCTCGAGGAGGCCGCGTGACACAGGACACCGCGGGTGGGGAGACGCCCAGAACGAGCGACTGCAGGCGCCGGAAGTGGAAGTGGACCCAGGGGATGGGGCGGGCGGGGCCTGCTTAGGGGGAGGGAATGTTCTGAAGCTAGTTAGAGGCGGTGACTGCGAAATGGAGTGAGGCACCGAAACCCACTCAGCTGTGCGCACTGAAGTACCATTCCATGGCCTGGTGGCGCACACCTGCCACCCCAGCACTCGGGAGGCTGAGGCAGGAGGATCTTTGCGAATTTGAGACCAGTTTGAGCTACAAAGTGAGCCCAAGGCCAGCCTGAGCTGCACAGCGAGACCCTGTCTCAGAAAAACAAAGGACCAGAGTGCAGCTTGGTAGTGAGTGCGTGCCTCGTGCGTGGGGGTCGCTGGGTTCCACCCCCGGCCTGCAGGTGGGTAGGGAGCGGGCCTCAGAGAAGTGTCCTCCGGATAAATCGGGGTGATCTTCCTGCTCCAGGGAGCTGCTGTTTCTTCCTCTGCATCCCCCGCCTCTTTTTTGGAAACGGAGTTTGGCTAAATCACCTTGGGTGGGCTCGAACTTGTCCTCCTCCTGCCACAGCCTACGGGAGTGCTGGGGCCACAGGTGTGTGCCGCCATGGCCAGCACCCCCTTTTTCTCTAAGTCCTTGCCCGGCAAAGGACTCTTCGGCCCGTAGTTTAGAGATTCTGGCCGCACGCTGGTGACCTGGAACCTGAAGCAGGGCAGCGCGGGTGGGACGCACCGGAGAGGGCGGGCCCGCCCAGGCCACGCCCCGCGACTGACTCCGCCCAGGCCCCGCCCCTCAAAGGTCCAGCCACCTCCCAGGAGCACCGCCCTAGGATGGAGCCTTCAACACACAGACTTCGAGGAACCCTCCCTCCAAATGGAAGCAACAGCGGATGGAACCGCTGCTCCTCCTTCCCCAGGGCCTGGCCTCTCAGCTGCAGTCCCCTCCCTGGGGACCACGGGGCCTCCTGGGCACTGCAGGGTGCTGAGCCGCGTCCCTGGCCTCTGTCATCTATTCCAGGCCAGGAGCTCCCCAGTCGCAGCAGCCAAGGATGTCCCCAGCCACGGCCCAGGATCCCCACTCGAGACGCCCTGCTCCGGGCTCCCCATGTTTGGCACCACAAGGTCCCCTCTCTTCTTGGGGCTCCGGCCAGGCTGACCTGCGGGAGGAGGAAGCCCCCACCTAGCCCGGCCTGCAGAGTCCCCTGATGGCAGGACACACGGACTTTGCCCAAACCTGCCTGCAGACCCCGGAGACCACCAAGGCAGTGACCGGGCCACTGAATGCCAATAAAACTTTATTTTGGACGTGCAACGTGAAGTTCATGTCATTTTCGTGCGCTGTGGAAATATGGCCCTTGAACCTCTTAAAAATGTAAAACCTAGCAGGAAATGGGGTACAGCCTGTCATCCCGCCCTCAGGAGGCTGAGGCAGGAGGATCCTTGCAAGTTCGAGGCCTGCCTGAAGTGCATAGTGAAACTGCCTCAAAAAGACAAAAATTAATAAAAGGCAGGGCTTTTATGCAGACTACGGAATGACGAGGAGAGCGAGCAGGGAGGTGGACAGGGGTGACCACTCTGCTGCCAGTGTTAGACTAAATCCCTCCCTGCCCACGCCCACTGTGGGCCCCGTGTGCCTCGCCTTCACGGAGAAGGCCGTGCGTGCCAGAGGGACACGCAGTGTCCTGGCTGGAGATGAACCCTGTGTGCCACTTTCCCAAGCCCAGCTCACGGCCATCACCTCCCACCAGTGCCCCCTGCTCACTGTGCACGTGCGCTGGACACAGTACTGGGGTTCAAACTCAGGAGCACCCCACTACTGAGCCATGCCTCAGTCCTTTTTCATTTCTTTATAAAAATTTGATACTGGAACCAGGCGTGGTGGCGCGTGCTTACCATCCCAGACCTCGGGAGGCTGAGACAGGAGGGTCTCCGTGAGTTCAAGGCCAGCCTGAATCATAAAACAAAATGAACTGTCCCTCTGCCACCCAGAGCAAGCCCTGGAGTCACATGCAGCTGGTGGCCCCACGCAGGCCACCTTAACCCCAAGTGTGAGGTGTGGGGCAGCTGGGTGCAGAGGAGGAGGCGCTCGGGGGAGCAGGGCGGCAGCGTTGCTGAGGACAGCTCGGGGACACGGCAGGTGCAGCAGAGCCTGGGGAAGGAAACTGCGCTTTGCACTCGGAGGCCCTGGGAAACAGGGAGGGACGTGCTGCTTCGGGAAAGGCAGGAAACTGCTGACTGAAGCTGGGTGCGGCGAGCGCGTGCGTGCCTGTAACCCCAGCTGCTAAGAAGGCTGAGGTAGGAGGGCGGCAAATTTGAGGCAAGCTTGGGCCACTGTAAAATCTTGTCTCAGAAACAAAGAAATAGGATTTGCACCGCTGTGTACTGAGAACGTTTCTGGCAGCCAGGAGACGCGGCAGGGCAGAGGAAGCCAATGATATTCAACTTAAGATTTTCAATTTGGGCCAGGTGCGGTGGTGCACGCCTGTCATCCCAGCACTCAGAAGGCTGAGGCAGGAAGATCGCTGTGAGTTTGAGGCCAGTCTGGGCTGCATAGTTCAAGGCCAATCTGAACTACATATCAAAGTACTGTCTCAAAAAAACCAAAATTAAAAAAAAAAAAAAAAAAAAAGATTTTCAGTGTAGAGTGGTTTTGTCCAGACGGGCCCCATGGTGCACGGCACGCTGTTACAGTTCCACCTTCCTGAGGTTTCTCTTTTTCTTTTTTTAATTTGAGAGAAGGTCTCACTGTGGATCCCAGGCTAGCCTAGAACTCACAGGGATCCTCCTGCCTCAGCCTCCTGAGTGCTGGGGTGACAGATGAGCGTCCCCACTCCCAGCTGATCTGGAAGAACCTTGGGGAGATGTCAGACTTGCCCGAGTTATTGCTGGAGAAGCAGTTGGATGGGTTTATATCTGGATGTGGCCCCACACTGTGCCTCAGTTTCCCTGTCTATAAGCCACGCCCTGTGATATCCCCCCGACCTTCACCTGGATGGTGTTCATTCATGAAAGCCTTTGAAACTGCCAGGTCCCCAAAGAAGGACACAGCTCGTGTGCCCAGGCTTAGGAGCTGGCTGTTGTGTTAAGGTCGCCATGTGGATGATGTCCCCTAGGTGCTGGGGGACCACACCTCCTTCAGCTCGCTGACACTTTTGTGTCTGTTTGTGGTTCCAGCGTGAAGTCTCCCTCAGCCATTCTCCCCCAGGCATCTGAGGCCACCTACACCACTCCCCGGGAGAACCGTCCTGCTCGGCCACCAGACGCCAGAGCCCGGACCTCCCAGGTACCGGCCTCCGCGACATGTTGATGGGGCTGCAGGGGCAGGTGCAGGGTGGGGGCTTCCCTCTGTGCCCCTGCTCATGGTCCTCACACCTTGTGTCCCTGGGGTCACAGCCCAGCTCAGTGTGCACGCTTGCCACCCGAGCTGGTGCCTCAGGAGGCTGAGGCAGGAGGATGGCAAGTCCAAGACCAGCCGGAGCCACTTAGCAAGGCTCTACCTCCAAATTTTAAATGGGTGGCTCGGGGCCCACAGACCTGCCCTCTGTGTGTCCCCTGAGGGCTACTTGGACACCATTACCACCCCACCTCTGGCCACTCACACCTCAGATCCGGCCCAGTGTGGTGACCACTCAGTGACCCAAGCCCAGCGCCCACGGGAACCCACCCTCCTCCTCCCTCTTTCTATTCTGTGTTTTGTGTTTTTGAGACAGGGTCTCGCTCCCTAGCCCAGGCTGGCCTCAAACTCATGGGGATCCTCCTGCCTCAGCCTCCCAAGCACTGGGATGGCAGGCTGTGAGCATCACTATGCCCGGCTGGCTAGCCCTCTCCACTCCTCGCCCAGGCCCCGGGATGTGTCCCAGCCAGGGTCTCCTGGGAATTAACACCAGGCGCGCTGTGGCCACCTGGCTTCTCACTGTGTCCCCGTCCAGGGCCTCTCACGGAGCAGGGGACCCGGGCCAGCGTGTGTGAGCATGTCTGTGTCACCCCGTGTCCCTGAGCTGCCTTCCCCTCCCTGTCTCTGTCCCGTGGAAACCCACTGCAGGGCAGCCACAGCCACAGATGGTCGCCGGCCAGCAGCTCCCCGGACAGACAGGACTCGAACTGCCGGCCAGGTGAGTGTCCGCAGGTGTGAGACAGGAGGTCACTGGAGTCACCCCTGCAGAGCGGGGTGTGGCAGCGCACACCTGTCATTCCAGCCATCCCGGAGGGAGGCTGAGGCAGGAGGAGCCCCCGGCTCCACAATTTAGCAACTTAGCGAGACCCTGTTTCAAAACCAAACACAGAAAAAGGCTAGGGATGGAGCTTAGCGCAAAGGCCCAGTGTCACTGTCCCCGCAGCCACCGAGGTGGGGTGAGTGACGCTTCCTCTTCCATTTTTCTCTCCCTCTTAGGACCCAGCTCCCCAGGCTATGACATGGCTGTGTCCTCCGCGGCCAGGTGTCCCGGGCGGCCACCGAAGCCCAAGGTGGGCCCCAAGCAATCCCAGCTTCACTACTGCCAAGTGTGCAACGTCAGCTGTGCGGGGTTACAGGTCAGAGCCCTCTGCACCCCACCCGTGGGTCCCTACAGCTGTCACTGGGCTGGGGCCCGGCACGGCGCCTGGGCCAGGGGCGGGGCTACGTAGTGTAAGGGGGCGGGGCAAGAGCCTGAGGAGCGGAGGCGGGGCCGGACCGGGGGCGGGGCCACCGAGTCTAAGGGGGCGGGGCACGGAGCCAAAGAGGAGCGGGGGGCGGGGCCGGGGCCTCAGAGCCTAAGTGGGGCAGGTGCGCTGTCACAAAACTCAGCAGAAACCCAGGAGACCGCAGGGCATTTCCTGGACAGATATTATCAGAGCTTTGTTTTGCCAAAATACAAGTCTAGAGTTACATCCCCCGCCCAGCTCTGAGGGTCTAACTCCAATCCAGGGCCTTTGCGGTGAGCCACATCCCCAGCCCTCTTTGTGTTTTTTAATTTAAGACAAGGTCTTGCTGAGTTGCTAAGTTACCTAGGCTGGGCTGGAACCTGAGATCCTCCTGCCTCAGCCTCCTGGGTAGCTGGAACAGGCCCTCACCCCTGTCACCACCGCAGGGCAGGCTTCAGCCCTCTCCACCCCGAGGGGCGCATGCCCGAGAGGGCACTGCTGCGGCTCTCCAGGTCTCCAACAAAGTGGGATTTGCAAAGTCAAAATCAATCCCGTTTCTCCCGGCGCTGTCCTAGCAGAGGACATAACAGCCACCTCCCTGGAGCAGGTGCAGGCTGCAAGGCCCGGGCAGGGCGAGTCCCTGGCACTGAGTTAGAATGGGCGGTGAAGGCAGGGCGCAGGGATCCACGGTTATCACTTACCTACTCGGGAGGCTGAGGCAGGAGGAGCTCGAGTTCCAGCCCAGCGTGGGCAATTTAGCAAGATCCTGTCTCAAAAATTAAAACATCTGAGCACGAGTAGCTCAGTGGTTAGTGCTCTCCTATGGGGGGGGGGGCTGGATTCCATCCCCAGTACTGGAGATAAAAAGAAGGGAAAAACGAAATGGCGCCACACATGGTAGACCTCGGTCTGGTAAGAACAGCAAGGAGGGGGGGCGCCTTAGCCAAGTCCTTCCACCCAGAAATAGCTGCCTGGCAGCGCCGTGGTTCGGAGACTTCCGGGCTGTCTCCCCAGCTGTTTTCCTAACTGCTGCCTAAGTAATAACCTGGCTTGTAAGGTTCAAGATTGCAAAATATTCTAGAATATACGGCAGCAGGGGGCCTCCCACCCTATGTCGCTGCCTCTTTTTATTTTTTCATTTTGAGACAGGGTCTCCCTAAATTGCTAAGTTTCTCTGACCACACTGGCACTGGAGACCCTCCTGTCTCAGCCTCCCAGAGTGATGGGTCTGCCGCCCATTTTTTTTCTCCCTTCTAGGAGAGCCATGGTGTAGATTTCCTGTCTGTATTCATTCGAGGCCTGGTCAGAGGGGTTTAGGGGACCCACACAGAAATCGTGCGTCGAAGTTGCCCAGTGCTGAGGCTTCCGAGAACCTGGCGGGGATTCCGAGGGACACCCCGCAGGCGGGTACTTGGGGCCACAATCCCGTATGTGTCCTGTAGTCTGTGCGTCAGGACCCTGGCTCTTGTGGCTTGGAGCCGCTGAGCTTAACAGTTTTCTGAAAAGTAAGGGTGATGCGCTCAGGCAGTTTAGATGTGGAGGAGCACCTCGGAATGCCAGGGTTTCCTGTAGCCCAGCTTACGCCCGCGACTAACCGCATTATCCTCAGAGGGAATTTCGTAAGAAACCGGCTTATTTTTAGAAAAAAGAAACTTTATTGATGACTTTCAGTGTGAGTTTGTGGTTTTTCCCCCCTCAAGGCCTTTGTATTGAGCTAGACCTCCATTCCATGTATTTATTTTGGTCTTGCTGAGACAGGGTCTGGCTATGCAGGTCAGCCTGGCCTGGAGCTCACTTTGGAGCCCGCGCTGGGCTCGAACTTGCAGCGATCTTCCTGCCTCAGCCTCCCCAGTGCTGGGATGACAGGCGTGTGCCACCACTCCCAGTTCCTGGCCTTTATTTAATCTCGAGACATAATTTTGTTAAGTTTCAAAGTTGTCCAGGCTGAGCTGGACCTTGAGACCCTCCTGCCTCAGCTTCCCGAGTAGGTGAGCGAGGGTCACAGGCTGGCCTCTGAGTCTGCTGGGTTTGATGAAGCACACAGGACCCCAGCGGGCAGAGGGTGGGGACGGCCGGGCCAGCTGAGCCCGCGGCTGCGGGAGGGGAACCGGACCGAGCCCGACGGGTGACCGGCTCCGGCTCCGGCTTCGGTCCGGCTGCAGACCTACCAGGAGCACCTGGAAGGGCAGAAGCACCGGAAGAAGGAGGCGGCTCAGAGGCCCGACCGCGGCTGGCTGTACTGCAACGTGTGCTCGGTGTCCTGCACCGGCGAGGACGCCTACGACGCGCACATCCGGGGAGCCCGGCACCAGAAGGTTCGACCCGGCCGGGCCGCCCGCGGGGTGCGCTGCGGGCCCCCAGGGCAGCCCTGACCCCGGCAGCGGCGTCCGTTCCAGGTGCTCAAGCTGCACGCCCGGCTGGGGAAGCCGATTCCCCCCGCGGAGCCGGCGCCCAGCAGCGGCCAGCGCGCCCCGCCCCGCGCCGCCGCCCGCGAGGACTCGGGGGGCTCCGGCGTGCGCGCCCCCTACGGGCCCGCGCCGGCCTGCAGACGGCTGGCCTCCACCGTGCGGATCGCGGGTGCGTGCGCGCGCCTGCGGGGCGGGGCCTGCGCGGGGCGGGCCTGCGTGCGCGTGCCCGTCTGCGTGCGCGCCGGGCGGTGGATTTGCGAGCGCGCGTGGGAGCGGGGACGGGCGGGACCTACAAGCTGGAGCTCCGCGTGCCCATGATTCTGCGGGCCCCGGCTGGGGACCCAGCGTGGGGACAGGCTGCTGTCCCCGGGTGCCCTCGCCCAGGGCAGAAGGCCGGGCTGCCACCCTGCACCCTGACTCCCTGGGGCACTGGACCCCCGTCCCAGGGTGCAGGCGGAGAAGCCCAGGCCGCCCGCCAGGGGTGGAGGTGGAATTCCGAAGCCAGCTGTCTCCCTCGGCCACCTCTGCTCCGGAGAGCCCTGTTCTGTGCGGGCTTGGAGAGGCTCGTCATATTTTTGGCCTCCACAGCATGATTTGTTGAATAGTAACATAATTTTTTTAAAAAAACTGTTATTTTTTGAGACAAGGTCTCTATAGATTCCAAACTGGCTTCAAACTCACAGGGATCCTCCTGCCTCAGCCTCCCGAGCGCTGCGATTACAGGCATCTGCCACCACACCCGGCCATGTAACCCTTTTAAAAATTTTATTTATTTATTTATTTGCCTTTTTCGTTTTTATCGGTACCGGTGATCGAACTCACGACTGCCTGCTTGCAAGGCTGGCGCTTATTCCGCTGAGCTAAATCCCCAGCCCCCTAAAAAATTTATTTTAATTGTTTGCCATGCTGGGGTTGAATCCAGGGCCTCCCAACTGCTATGCAAGCACTCATCCCTGAGCTACACCCAGCCCACACCATGAATTTGAGGATAAGACCAAGGAATTCTAATAATAGACTTCCTCTGCTGAGGTGCCACACATTTGCCCAGTTAAGGAGCTAAAATAAAACCTTTGGCCCACCCACTGTTGGATAGTTGATTGACTATAGATTTTTGGGAACCCAAAACCAGACCTTCTGCATCAGGAATTCAAATCTGTTTCTTTGGTTTCGCAGATGCCAAGCAGGCTGGGAGGAAAAATCTGTACCACAGTCAAACAGAAATAGAGGCAAATGGCCAATAAAGAAATCCATATTTGGGAAAAGCACAACAAATTAAGATTGGTACCAGGCCACACACAGAGCACAGGAGAGGTCGAGGGCCTCATCCAGACCAAGGAAGCTTTCTTTGCAAGTTATTTTTGAAAGAAAGAGCCAAGCACTGTGGCACACACCTGTCATCCTGGCGACTTTGGAGGCTGAGGCAGGAGGATCACGAGTTTCAGCCCGGCCTGGGCAACTCAGCAAGACCCTGTCTGACACTAAAATAGGGCTCGAGATGGAGCTCGGGGAGGGCAAAGGCCCTCAGCCAGGGCGGCAGCCTCCACGTGACGCAGGTCCAGGGCCAGTGACAAAGGCCAGGCCGAGTGTCCCCTTGCCTGAGGCCTGCGGGACAGTGTGACACACAGCGGCTCTTTCATAAGCCGCCGTGTCTGTGTGACAGTCCCCGCTGACAGGCAGATCCTGCCCCGGAGTCCTCCCTCCCGCCCTCCCCCGGGTGTCAGCCTTTGACACCTGTGACCCCATCTCCGATTTGACGGCTGTCACTGGAGAGTGAGGCCAGCCATCAGGTGGCTTCTGTGGCCGCCACAGGGCAGAAGGGACAAGGACAGGCCTGAGGGCTGGGTTTGTGGCTGGCCGAGGCTTCTGGCCAGAGCCGTAACACAGCGGCTCCCCTCCAGGGCCTCTGGAGCCCCTGACTGCACACAGCAGGCCCCGGGAGGGGTCACCAGCAAGGTCCAAGCCAGAGCGACCCGGAGAGACGGCTGCCTGCACGGCTTCGGGGGAAGCCTCCGCGGGGGCCTGGGTCGCGGATCCTGTGGGGCCGGAGTTCGTGGAGGAGGTAGGTGGAGGCTGTGGAGGCCATGAACGAGGGGCACTGCAGAGAGCCAGGCAAGGGCCAGCACTGAACCCCACCCTCAGCCTTTTATGCCAGGCTGGAATTCGCGACCCTCCTGCCTCAGCCTCCCCAGCAGCTGGAGTGGCAGGCACGCACCACTGGGCCCTGCCGAGGCTTCTCTCTCGCTCTGTGTTTGTCCTTTTGAGACAGAGCTTCACCATACTGTTCAGGCTGGGCTTGAGCTGTGTAGCCCAGGCTGGTCTCCAACTCACCACGACCCTCCTGCCTCAGCCTCCCGAGTGCTGGGTGACAGGCGTGCGCCACCACGCCCGGCCTCAGGCTTCTCTAATCACACAGCCTCGTCTCTCCCTTTCGATTCCTGCTTTCCTGCCCGGTTCCCGAGGCCCCAGCCGTAGGCCGAATGTGACCCACACAGATGTGCGAAGCGATCTACCAAGCTGGCCATGGTGGCGCACACTTGTCATCGCGGCCACTAGCAGGCCGAGGCAGGAGGATCTCTGATTTGATCCAGGCTGGGCAACTGAGTGGAGGCCGTGTCTCAGAATAAAAACGGAGCGCTCAGGGAGGTCCCTCAGCGTGCCCCGGGAGCCCTGCCCCTGGGCAGCCGTGCTCTGTGTGGCAGGTGTTAGGCGACCAAGGGAAGGTGATTCGCTACCGCTGCAGACTCTGCCAGTGTGACTTCAACGACCGCAACGCCCGGGACCTGCACTTGCGGGGGCGGCGGCACCGGCTGCAGTACCGGGTGCGTCCGGCAGGGGGAGCCAGGACCCCACCCCACCGCCACGATGGATGGATGCATGGATGGATGGATGGATGGATGGGTGGATGGGTGGATGGATGGATGGGTGAGTGGATGGGTGGATGGATGGGTGGGTGGATGGGTCGGTGGATGGATGGATGGATGGATGGATGGATGGATGGATGGATGGGTGGATGGATGGATGGGTGGATGGATGGATGGGTGTATGGATGGATGCATGGATGGATGGATGGGTGGATGAATGGATGGGTGGATGGATGGATGGATGGATGAATGGGTGAATGGATGGGTGGGTGGATGGGTGGATGGATGGATGCATGGATGGATGGATGGATGGATGGGTGGATGGGTGGATGGGTGGATGGATGGATGCATGGATGGATGGATGGATGGATGGATGGATGGGTGGATGGGTGGATGGATGGATGCATGGATGGATGCATGGATGGATGGATGGTTGGAGTGCGAAGTTTGAAGACCGAAAATGCCTATGTGTCTTCTGCTGGGCTGCCTCTTCCACTGGTGACCCCGCCCTCCCCCGCAGAGGAAAGTGGACCCCCACCTACCCTTGGTCACGGCGCCCGGCCGGCTCAGGAAGCTGCAGGAGGAGCAGGCTCGCAAGCACCGGCAGCTGGTGCAGCGGCAGCTGGAGGAAACGCGGCAGCGCTGGCGGGAGGAGCTGAGGTGGCCCCACCCTATGCGCCCCCAAGGGACAGGGGCCATCTGTGCTGCTTCACGCAGGGATTCGGGCTGTGCACACTGGGCTGGGGGTGGGCGCAGGGTCACCCCTGTGCCCTAGGGGTGGCAGTGCCAGGGAGGTGGCCTGCTTGGAGCAGAAGCCCGGAGTCCTGTGGCCCCCTACCTTGGTGTCCCTGGACCACTGGACTCTTGTGTCCTCCGGTTTCTGGCATCTCCTGTGTCCCTCAATCTTTCTTGTCCCCTGACCTCCCAATAGGGGACACACTTGGTCATCTCCTCTGCACCCCAGCATCTTCCTACCCGGTGCTGATTATAAAGTGTCCCGGGGGAGTAAACCCGAGCGGGGAGGGAGCTGGAACCCTTCCCTGGGGGGCCGCTCAGCCCCTGTCATCCGGTCCCCAGGCACCAGGAGGCACAGTGCAGGAACCAGAAGACGGAGCCGCAGCCCCAGAACCAGGAGCGGTCACTGCCGTCCCCCACCTGGGCCCTGCCGTCCCCTGTGGACAGGTCGGGGACATCTGCTGCCCAAGCCCAGGTGGGTGCCACCTCCCCACAGCTCAGCCTTCCGTGGCTCTGGGGCTGTCCCATCAGGGGGACCCCATCTCACACCCACCTGTCCCCACCCAAGGCCATCCTGAGCCCTCTGTCCCTCCTGTGGGCTGAGCCCAGGCTGGACTCCAGCCTTCGCCCTGGCTCTGCCCCTGACCTGAAGTCCCTGGCCCTGTCTTCTGCTGCCCACGAGGCCCCCGCCCTGCCCCTCGGTCCCTGTCCCCCCCTTTCTCCCCACAGGCCAAGCGGCGGCCGGAGACCAGCGATGACCGTCACGTCATGTTCAAGCACGCGGTCATCTACCCCACGGAGGCGGAGCTGCAGGCCATCCAGAAGACCGTGTCGCATGCCGAGCGGGCCCTCAGGCTGGTGTCCGACCTGATGGCCGAGGAGGACTCGGAGAGCTTGGGAGAGGAGGGAGGCCAGAGCAGGTAACGGGCCACCTCTGTCCCCAAAGCCCTGCGCCCCTCGGCTGAGGGCCAGGCAGGGAACCAAGGGTGGCTCTGTGTGAAGGTCACAGTCCTCAGAGGAGACAGTCCCCAGGCGGGCATGGCGGGCGGTGCACAGCTGTCTCCCAGCACTCGGGAGGCTGAGGCAGGAGGATCGTTGCGAGTTCGAGACCGGCCTGGGCTACAAAGTGAGCTCAAGGCCAGACTGAGCTGCACAGGGAGACCCCATCTCAGAAAGACCAAAAAATAAAAATGAAGGGTGGCGGTGATGCTGGGGTCACAGCTCAGGACCTCGACAGGGGCTCAGTCCCCGTTGCCACCTTCTTCTGCCAAAAGAAGACAGAAAACAAAAGATTAAGTGAGGCACAGGGGCACTCAGGGTGTGGCAGGGTCCCCGTCCCTTCCCTGACATCCGTGTCTCGCTCTGTGCTTGCAGCGTGGCGTCCCCGCCGCGGATCCTGAAGGGCGTCATGCGCGTGGGCATCCTGGCCAAGGGCCTGGTCCTGCGCGGCGAGAGGAACGTGCGGCTGACCCTGCTCTGCTCCCAGAAGCCCACGCGCGCTCTGCTGCGCAGAATCGAGGCGCAGCTGCCCCAGCAGCTCCTGGTAAGCCGCGTGTGCGCCTGCACGCGAGCCCTGCTCCCCCGTGTTAGGACCCAACCCGAGGCCGCTGCGTGTACCTTAGCAAGTGCTCACCACTGAGCTGCACTCCCAGCCCGTTTGATTTTAGTTTGAGATGGGGCCTCTCTCTTTAAATCGCCCATCTGAACATCAATTTGCCATCCTCCTGCCTCACCCTCACAAAGGGCTGGGGTGACACACCCCTGGCCACGGTTCAGATTTATAAATTGCTACAAAGAGACAGCGTTGGAAACTTCAGGGTCCCCTATGTAAAGCAGTCAGGGTACAACTGAGAAGCGGTCCAGATGTCCCTCCGCGGGGACAGCAGTGTGTGCCACCCTCCCCCTCCAGAATGACAGCCACCCTCCCCTAGGTTAAACCATGATGAAAAGCTCTGCAGGAGGCAGGGAGGCCTGGATCAAGCCGGACCTGAAGGCCATGGGAGGGGTGGGTTTCAGAGAGACAGGGAGACTGCAGGGTCAAGAGTCGGAGAGCGATTTGCTCCGGCCTCCAGGGCCTCGGGATATAATCTCACATCCCTGAAGCACCTGCAGGGCACCGTGGGGGCGGCAAAGACAGCCCAGATGTGGGTGCTGCTTTGTAGAAGGTGACAGTCCAGTGGCGTAGAGAAGGGCGTGGCCGTGGCTGCAGGGTGGCTGCCGTTTCCCCGCCCACACTGCAGAGGCGACTCCCCAGGGGAGCCCTGCTGGGCAAAGGCAGATTTGGAAAGGAGGGCGGGCTTAGGTGTGGTGGCAGGCAGCAGGGCAGGGTGACCACAGGTGACCGCAGACGGGCAGGCTGGACTGCCATGCAGGCCTCCTGTCCTTGTGCATCCAGGAGACAGCGGCCTCTGGCCGTCCTGTTGTTTTATTTTAATTCACTGTGTTGTGTTACTGGGACTCGAACCCAGGGCCTTCGCTCTGAGCTCCGTGCCCAGCCTTTCTTATTTTTTTATTTGCACCAAGGTCTTGCTAACTGGCTCTAGTCACCCAGGCTGGGCTCGAACTTGCAATCCTCCTGCCTCAGCCTCCCAGAATGCAAGGATGACAGGCGTGTGCCACCGTGCCCAGCTCCGAGATAGTATTTTTTTTGTTTTTTGAGACAGAGTCTCACTCTGTAGGTCAGGCTGGCCTTGAGCTCACAGCAACCCTCCTGCCTCAGCCTCCCAAGTGCTGGGACTGCAGGCCTGCGCAACCCCACCTGTCTCTCCATGATAGTTCTGATTGGCTTTCTGGGACCACAGGGATAACTCTCATCGCTGTGGTTTCTTTTTGGTGCCTCACTTCCCCATGCACCCCCACCCTTGTTGGAATGCATGTCTTCTTTTTGACTTCTGGGGGTCCTTTGCATAGTGAGGACCCCTTAGAGCACACAAGTCCACACGCATGCAGCCCTGCGGGATTGCACGGTTGACCCCGCACGCGCCCACCACCGCCTTCCCCACGGCCTCAAGCCTCGGCCGGAGCGCTGGGCCTCACGTGGCATCCGCACCTCCCAGGCGGTGACCGACGACAAGTACGAAGTGTCCTCTGACCCCGAAGCCAGCATCGTCATCTCCTCCTGCGAGGAGCCCAGGATGCAGGTCACCGTGGCCATCACCTCGCCCCTGATGCGGCAGGACCCCCCTGCGGACCCAGGTACGGCTGGGCCCTTCCGTCCCTCACTTCCAAGATGCCACTCACACCCGTCCCTGGGCCACAGCCACAGCCTCTGCCCTCTCTCCTACCCACTGGTGCCACTGAGTGCACAAGAGCTGAGTCAGAGCCTTCCTCCTCCTCCTCCTCCTCTGTTTCTTTTTCTTTTGGATTAATATCTAGTGAGAATTGCAAAAAAAAAGTATAAAATATGAATTAAACTTGATATTTGCAAATAACATCTCGGGTTCATTCTATAAATCTTTTACTAGGCTGCGTTTATATACCTAAGCATAAACAATAAGTAGCCAAGATTGTTCCTGTTCAGGAAAATAACTCAGATTAAAGCAGGTGTTAGCTGATGAAAAAAAAAAAAAAAACCCAGGAAGGCTGTGCCAGCCCAGTGCTGGGCTCCTGTGGCCCCTGCCCAGGTGAGGGCAGGCAGAAGCGCTGGGAGCCGGCAGACCTGAGCAGTCCTGGGGTCACCAGGACTGGGGTCACATCTGCGCACCCTCGACTCAGCTCAAAAGCTTCTAGAACAGTCTCGAGGCCGGTTTTCCAGACCACAGCCGTCCTCCTCCCTCTGTCCCTCTCTCCCTCGGTCTCCCTGTCTCCTCTTCAGGGCTGGGCATGGAACCAGGGCCTCCCCACTGAGCTCCAGGCCCAGCACCTTTTATTTGGAGGCGCAGTCTCCCTAAGGTCCCCAGCCTGGGCTCAAACTGGAGACCCTCCTGCCTCTGCCTCCCAAGACTAACTGGAGTGACAGACACGGGCCACCACAGCCCTAGGCCCCCGCTCAGGATGCCTTTGGAAGTTTCTGGAATGCAGGCCTAATCTGTACTTTCACGTCTTGGAGCTAAGGGGCTCGGCCATCGTGAGGGGCAGGACCCAGCCCGAGAACCCCCTTTCCGGCCGCCTCAGGGAGGAGGCTCTGGGGAAGTGGTTCACAGACCTGGAAGATACAGCCAGGGAGGCCCATAGCAGCCAGCCCTGCAGCGGCCGGAGCACAGCCCTGGGCTCTCTGCACTCTTCCTTGCAGAGGGCAGAGAGGCCGCACAGCCCGACCCAGACATCCTGAACCCCGACAAGTGCCTGGAGTCCCTGGCCGCCCTTCGCCACGCCAAGTGGTTCCAGGTCAGGGGTGTGCGGGTGGGGACAGGGACGGTGGGCCACGTCGGGAGCAGGCTCCTAACGGTGGGTGTTGCTGGGTGCAACTCCGGGAGGCTGAGGCAGGAGGATCCCCAGTCAGAGGAGCCCAGCCAGGGCAACATCGCTGGACCCCATCTCGTAATCAAATAAAAGCCCTCGCAGCGGAGCCCCAAGCGCTAACCCCTGCTCCCTCCCAAAGGCCAGAGCCAGCAACCTGCAGCCCTGTGCCATCGTCATCAGGGTTCTGCGTGACCTCCGCCGAAGAGTGCCTACGTGGGGCGCCCTGCCAGCCTGGGTAAGGCAGCACGAGGCACCTGGGGCCCCCAAAACACGCCAGGAGTCAGATTTCAGCACCCAAGCAAAAGCATCTCTTAGTCGGGCTCAATGGTGCAGGCACCCAGCAACTCTGGGAGGCTGAGGCAGGAGGGTCCCAAGTTCCAGCTCAGGCTGGGCCACTTAGTGACTTAGTGAGACCGGGTCTCAAAATAAAAAAGAGACTAGAAGGCGGGGATGGTGCAGCGTGCAGGCCCCGGCTTCCAGCCCCAGGACAGAAAAGGAACAGGTGCAACCAGCCTCTTCCGGCCCCTCAGGGCTCAAGGAAGGGACCTCCTGAGCCAGGCAGGTGGATAAGGGGGGGGTCCCTAAGGCCTTGGCTGGGCTGCCACAGGGGACGGGTGATGGCCACACCCTCATTTGACAGGTGGGAGGGGCGGCAGGAAGCTGGGCCCCATCCTAACTCCAGGCTCCCCCAGCTCTGATGGCCCCCAGCAGGGCCCAGCCCAGGTCCAGCCAGATGGAGCTGCTTTAGGTGGGCGGGGGCCGACTGGGGTCCCCCAGAGCACGGGTCCCCTCTCGTGTCCCCTTTGTCCCCAGGCCATGGAGCTGCTGGTGGAGAAGGCGCTGAGTAGCGCTGCCCGGCCCCTGAGCCCCGGGGACGCCGTGCGGCGGGTCCTGGAGTGCGTGGCCACCGGCATGCTCCTCGCAGGTCAGTCTGCAAACGCCCGGACCGTGCGCATGCGTACTTCAGCACAGGCAGGCAGGAGGGTGGCCGCAGCAGGCCGGGGTCATGGAGCCGCTCAGCACAACCAGGGGACAGAGAACTTCGCACAGGACCAGGAGGGGGCCACCCTTGGGATCTTCCACATCACCAGGCCAGCTGATACCTGATTCAAGTTTATTTGAATGAATATGTTATTTATCTGAGAGAAACACGCAGAAATCAGATTCCTGCCCAACTCTCAGCACACCGCCCAGGTTGGCTGGGAACAGGACACTGCAAAGGGGACCCCCAGGAGCTTTTGGTGATGCGGGATGGGAGAGGAAGATGACAGATCTATCATCCCAGCACCCTGGGAAGCTGAGGCAGGAGTTGAAGCCCAGCGCGGGCCATTGAGCAATCGAGTGAGGCCCAGCCTCAAAACACAAAGCATAAAGAGGACCAGGGCTGAGGCCTGGTGAGAGAGCTCAGCGGGCCTGGCAGGCCCGTGTCATGGGCAGCCCCTCTCAGGGTGACCTGGTTTCTTTGCTGTCCCTGCCTCCCCCTGGCAAAGATGGGCCCGGGATCCAGGATCCCTGCGAGAAAGACCGGGTGGACGTGCTGGAATCCATGACCCTGCAGGAGCGGGAGGACGTGACGGCCAGTGCCCAGGTAGGGGCTGGCCCAGCAGCGTCTCCTGCAGACACTCTGGGCACAGGCGGGCAACTGGGGACCCAGGACTGCTTAGGGGTCACAGTCAGCAGAGAACCGTGGCTGCCAAGGAGACGAGGCCCAGATTCCAGGGTCCTGCTGGCCACGGCTGTGCTGGGCACCCAATCGACAGCACACTCTATAAACACCCAGCCCCAGCCAAGATTTCCTCACTTAGAAAGCTTTTTATAAGAAGAAAATCTGGGGCCGGGGATTTAGCGCAGCGGCATAAGTGCCTGCCTTGCAAGCGGGCAGTCGTGAGTTCGATCCCTGGTACCGATAAAAAAAAAAATCTGAGCTGGGCACGGTGGCATGTGCCTGGGGGCAGCACTATGGGAGGCTGAGGCAGGAAGATCTTGAGTCTGAGACCAGCCTGGGTCCAAAGCTGCCTAAATAAGTAAATAAATGAATGAAAAGGTTGGTGGCCCCAGTATAAAGGCCCTGAGTTCAATCCCCAGGGCGGGAAAAAAAACATCATGCAGGGTCTCACTTTCATGGGAGAAGCTGAGTGAATAGGGCTCCTTTAGTGGGGCAGGAAGAGCCTGGATTCCGGGGCTCCCAGGAGAGACCCCATCATCCTCCACAGCCCGCCACGGCCCGGCCTTCCCCTGGCCTTGGCTGGCATTCAGCAGTTCAAGCAAGCACAGATCCGGGGTTTGTCCCTGGGCGCAAACGTAGGCCCCGCAGGCCTCAGGGCGCTATCTGTGGGCATCCGGGGAACAGGACCCCGAAAGGCCTCCTGATGTCACCCACAGCACGCCCTGCGCATGGTGGCCTTCAGGCAGATCCACAAGGTCCTCGGCATCGACCCCCTGCCGCCCCGGCTCCGCTTCCGGAAGAGGCCGCGTGAGATCAAGGCGGAGGAGGGAGCGTGGGACAGAAAGCGGGGCCGGAGGGGTGCAGAGGGGCTGGCGTGAACCCCGCCCCTTGCAGGGTGGGCCCTGCACTCTGCAGCCTGGGCGGGGTCTGAACCGTGGGCGGAGCCTGTTGCCTGGGCGGGGCCCGACATGTGGGCGGAGCTTGATGCCTGGGCGGGGCCTGACACCTGGAGCCTCGCCTTTGCCGGCTGCTGGTTGCTGGCGTGGGTGCCTGTGCACAGAGACCAGTGTCCCTCGCACGGGACAGGGACATTTGCCTTTTTTCAGTCATGTTCTGTCCCTTTCCAAATGTCTGAGAAGTCACACGGGGCGCAGCAAGAGCACCTCCCTCTTCCTGTCCCCCCCTGGTCTTTCTTGGTGGCTTTAAACGCCCCCGTTGTGTGTACCCTTGAAATAAAGTAGGAGGCCAGTCCTGGGTCCCCTGTGTCGATGTCGGGTGGCTGGCTCTGATGATTCCAGACAGGACCCCTGGGTGGGTCCCCATGGTGTGGGCAGGATCCATGGACCCCCAGTCCCAAAGCTGCCCTGCTCTGACCAGGCCCCAGCTCTGGGGTCTGCAGCGCCCGAGCCGGGCTCACCCCAGAACACCTGCGGTCCCCAGTCCTATCCTGACCCTGGACACATTGCAGCCCCGCGCGTACCCCCAACGCTGTGTCTCACTCGGGCACGTGCGCTTTCGTCCTGTGGACACTGGATGGCCGATGCTTCCCGTGTCCGGCCCCACCCCGTTTTTGCCCCCTCATGCCTCAAGCGGGAAAGACCCATCCCGAATGGGGGATCCCGCGCCTGTGTATTAAAGGGAGGCCGCCCTCAGGCTGCGCCCACACAACCTCGGGGTACACATCCTGGACCGCGGCTACCGGCCCAGAGGCTTGAGGCTTCCTGGAGGAGGCGGAGCCTGAGCTGAGCTTGGAGAGATGGCTGTGCCCCCAGAGAGCATCCCGTCCGTGCCCTGGGGCCCTCGTCACAACCCCAGAGGGCAGGAGGATGCTGGTCCAGGCTTGGGGATGGGTGCACCGGAAGGTCCCCCCTCCTTCCTCTCAGGCCCTCGCTCCTCCACACCCACTTGGCTGGCCAGGAGATCCCTCCGCCAGGGAGCCCTCCTGGATTCCTTTGGCTTGTGGGCCAACCCGCCAGGAAATCCAACGCTTTTCACCTCTGATCGCTCCATCAGGGTAGCAACTGCTGCTTCTGCCATCAAGGAAAGCCCCCCACACACAATCAAGATTAAACCCCAGATTCAAACAAACCCCCCCCATGACCTGCCACCCTGTCCCCAGGTCACTCCATCTCGGACCCACGTTCTCTGTAGATTCTCAGAAGAACCAGGCTGGGTCCTGCCCCAGGGCCTTGGCACATGCCACCCCCATTGCCTAGTGATGCTCCCTCCCTTCACTTCTTCAGGGGCCTGGTCCAATGTCACCGGCTCAGGGAGGCCTCCCTGTCATGCAGCCCCATCCGGTCTGCTTCCACGCCAGGATGACCCTCACCACAGCAGCTTTATGGGAAGAACCCCCTTCGGGCTGCTGTGAGCCCCAGGCGGCGCCCCAGCGTTTTCCCTCCTCCCTGGCTCTCTCCCCGCTTCCTTCGTTGCTTCCCTCAATCCCCACCGCTGGCTCCCCGGAAAACCGGTGGCGGCAAAACCGGCCTTGCAGGGAAGGGGTTAAGCGGGCCTCCTAGCAACTCGAGCCCGGAGCTGGCAGCGGCGGCAACAGCAAATCCGAGCAGCTGGTGAGCGAAGTTCGGGCCAGACGGCCGCGCCGTGTGCGTGTGCGTGTGCGCGGCGGCACCCGCACCAGGCCCAGCTAGCGGGGACTTCGAACCTCTCCTCCCCTGCGCACCCCAGGCCCGGGGCACCAGGCAGGAGACCCCAGCGCGCAGACCGCTGGGCGCCGGGACAGCGACGACTGCGGCCCGAAGTCCGAGGCCCGGGCGCCCCCCACCCTGGAGCAGGGCGAGGCAGTCCGGGCTGCGGACGGCGGCGCGGCGTTGCTAGGAGACGCCGGTGAGTGGGCGGGGTGACGCGCGGGGGCGGGGCCGCGGCGCTGCGGGCGGGCGGGGCGCCAGGGGCGGGACCCGAGGGGCGGGGTTAGCGAGCCCAGGGGCCGCACCTGCAGGATTGGGGAGCTGGAGAGCGGCAGTCTCCGCCGCGTGTCCAGGGAGCCGGTAACTGCGGCTGTGGCTGGCCACTCCGCGCTTTGGCTTCTAGGGCCAGGCAGCTGCTTTGGGAACGCAGAGGGGGGCGCTGCCTGAGTGGGGGACCAGCGTCTCCCATCCAGGTGAAGGAGGCGTCCTGGGGAAGTGCTTACGCACACTTGCCCAGTTCTGAAAATCAACACCTTCCAAAGCCATAGTCAGCAAAAAAAGAAAGAAAAGAAAAAGAAAAATGAAAATCAACACCTGAAAGGCCCTGTGCGTGGCGGCACAGGCATTCGCAGCAAGCATGACCACGAGTGTCCATCAGGGAATGGAGAGATAAACACTGTGGCCTGGGCATTGTGGAATATTACATAGCTATGAAAAGGAGGTGATTTGATTTTTGAATAAATTGCCATTAAACTCTCACCAGCTCTTTTGAAAAACATGCTGTGGGTTACAGATGGGCCATTTGTACTACTTTGATTTCAGCTTTTTCCCCCATGGAGCATTATAGAACTGTGATATATCCTCTGATCCTTATGTGCTGTATGTATACAACTTAACTTAATTCTGATGGTTTTATGAGACATGCCTCTTCAGTGCTGGAGATGGAACTCAGGGCTTCGGTCATGCTAGGAAATTCCTCTACCTCAGAGCCGTACCTCTAGCCCTTTTGCTTATTTTATTTTGAGACAAGAGCCTGGCTAAATTGCCCAGGCTGACCTCAAGCCTCGCATCCTCCTGCCTCAGCCTCCGGAGTAGATGAGGTTCTAGGGGTGTGCCATTGCACTGACCATAGCTGTATTTTAAGTGCAGAGAAAGATAAAATTCACCTCGTCTGCCATTTCAAACTACCAGTTAATGGCATTCAGGACACTCGTAATGTCGTATAACCACTAGCTCTGTGTAGTTCCCAAACACCCTGTCACCCCGGAAACACTGTCCCACCCCAGGTCCAGCCCCCACAGTCCACTTCCTGCCTCTGGGTTTACCTGACCCAGTTGTTTCCTGTCCGTGGAGCCCATGCTATGTGTGCTGTGTGCCTGGAGACTCACTGAGCAGTGTCCCCAAAGCTTGTGCTGTATCATCCCTTTCTCAGCTGAGTAATATTCCAGGGAGAGGATGGGCCTGGCTGTGTCTGTCTGTCTGTCTGTGTGTCCATCCATAGATATTTGGGCTGTTTTTGCCTTTTGGTGGCTGTGAACAGATATCTAGTTTTTCATAGCTCCATAAAATTCCTTGAGTGCAGTGTACTGGTCAGCGAGTGCTTGCCTCCTACACAGGGACTCTGGTGTCCACCCCATCACCACAAAATAATAATACAAAGAAATAAAGAAGAGTGATTTTTAAAAAAAAACTGAAAAGAAGCCGGGTGTGGTGGCTCAGGCCTGTCATCCCAGCACTCGGGAGGCTGAGGCGGGAGGATCAGGAGTGTGAGCCCAGCCTGGGCAACTTAGCAATGTAGTGAGACCCTGTCTCAAAATAAAAAGGCAAACGTGTAGCTAGGTGAGAAGGCTGTAGGTTTCAGCCCCGTCTAACCATAAAAGAAAAACCCACTTCCTCTGAGCTCTAATGCACCTGGTCTATCTGTAGCTACCATCAAAGACCCCAGGCACATTCTTGGCGTCAGCAGCTCAGGGTGTGATCTGAAAGCTACAGACCAGGCAAAGGTTGCCTTTATTTGTGGTTTATTGTGAAATTCTGCAAGAGGCGAGCATGCCAGGAGGTTTCCAGAACAATCCTAGCTGTTTCAACTCAAGATGGCTACGATCCTGTCAGGCTGGGCCCCTGCAACCACTTACGCAGGAAACGCTGTCTCTGGAGGCCAGGGAGTTGTACATTCCTCAAAAATGTGAGCAAACCAAGGGGAGGAGCCACATGGCAGGCTCCCTGTGTGCTAAGGAAAATAGAAGCCAGGACCCCCGCTGGGCAGCAGTCACAGGAGAAGCTGCAAGGTTACTGGAGAGGCTGTGGGAGAATGTGATTTCCAGACACAAAACCAAGGCAACCACTAACTCCAGGAAAACAGAAAAGCAAGTCCTGGAAAAGTAATACTCCCAGTATGTGCTTCTCCAATGTGACCAATATTTTCACATGACAACGTAAGCCTGAATATTGATTCGACTAAACAGTGTGACTGAACCACGTGGGGGAACCAGTTCTGCCAGCGCACATCTGTGGTCCCAGATCCAGGAGGCTGAAGCAGGAGGGTCTCTATCAGTTTGCAGCCAGCTCGGGCTACATAGTGAATTAAAGACCAGCTTGAACTATATCACAAGATGCTGTCTCAAAAACCCATAAAAGTGAGCCGGGCGTGGTGGCGCACGCCTAGTCATGCCAGCACTCGGGAGGCTGAGGCAGGAGGATCCTTGTGAGTTCGAGACCAGCCTGGGCTACAAAGGGAGCTCAAGGCCAGCCTGAGCTGCACAGCGAGACCCTGCCTCAAAAAAAAAAAAAAAAAAAAGTAAAAATTTAAAAATACTAATTGAGGAGAAGTGTGCTCCCAGAAGCTAGGTAAGTCTCAACCTTCAGGAATTATTGCTAGACAATGTTCAGCTGAACGTGAAACTATTTGGAAAGATGGAGGTAAACGCAGAGGAACAGAAACAGATGGTCAGGGGAGCGGTCCGTACACTGCTTTGACCGGCGCAGCCCCCCAATGGGACAGAGGATGCTCTTGTGGGTAACAGGAACTGCGGCTTTATTTACGCGGGCTCTGGTTTATATATTCGGCCGTGACCAATCACAGGCTGCCACGAGGAAGCAGGGAGGGAATGGGACGCAGGCTCTGGCTAATATATCCAGCTGTGGCCAATCAGGGGTTGCCACAGAGTCCGCACCTGGCGAATAGGGAGTGGGCACGAGGTGCGCACGGGTTGGCTAATTTAGAGAGGGACGTAACGCATTGCGGAAGCTGACGTGGTCTTATCGTCCCGAGCGGGTGTGTTGAGCGCCTGCGCCCGACACTGCTTATTTGTTTATTTATTTGCAGTAGAGGATGGAACGCAGGCCTTCACACCAAGCTCCATTATTTTTTAAATTTTGAGACGGGTTCTAAGTTACTAAGCTGCCCAGGATGGACTTGAACTTGCAATCCTCCTGCCTCAGCCCCTGGAGCCCTGGGAGGCCAGACCTGGCCACCAGACCCAGCCCATGGGAGGAGGGATTTGGGGCACAGCGGGGAGAGCGCACAGCCTCCCATCCAGGCACCCCAAAAAGCAGGGCGCGTGGAGAGATCCAGGGGAGGGAGCAGGCTGGGCAGCCTGAGGCTAGTGTCGCCAAGCAAGAGGTGATGTTTTCCTAGAAAGAGCCAGCGAGCGCCCTTGATTCCTGGAGTCCCCAGGCGGGGAGAGAAAAGCTAAATTTAAAGGCACGCTAATTGGGGCAGTGCGATCCGAAGCTCTAGGGCAGAGGACAGAGTGGGCGCGGACTGTCGAGGCCACGCCCACGCCACAAGACCACACCTCCTGCGCATGCGTCCTAGGCGTGTCACTCCTGAGACGACCCCACCCCCACAGTGCTCAACCCCGCCCCTTCCTGAGTCTCAGGCCCAGAGCCTGAATTTTCCTGTCTGCAAAATGGGGACAACAGCCCGCTGTGGTGGCGCATATCTGTAATCCTTGCACTCGAGAGGCTGAGGTAAGCAGCTCACTGCGAGTTCAAGGCCAGTCTGGGCTGCATAGTGAGGTCAAAGCCAGCCTGGACTACAGAATGAGACCCTATGTCAAAAAAAAAGTACAACTAACGCCCACCTCTGGGGTGACAGATACTGCTCCTTAACTCCCCTGGATATTTACTGGCTTTAACGATCTGTTTTGAAACTGTCCATGGTGGCATTCACCTGTCATTCCAGCATGCCGGGAGGCTGAGGCAGGAGGGTCTCGCTTCAAAACCAGCCTGAGGCAGTTGAGCCCCTTCTTGGGAGCGTAGCTCACTAAGATACGCTCAGTGCAAAGGGCCTGGGTTCCACCTCAGGTCCGCTCTGAGGACCTGCTGTGTACTGGCCAGGCACTGTGCTCACAGCAGAGTGGCCAGGTCCAAGTCCCCTGCCCTGGGGAAATGACATTCAGGAAAGGATGAAGCCAGAAAACAGCTCCCCCTCCTCCCTGGCCTCCAGTCCGTAATTCTGTCCCAGGTCCTCCTGCTCCTGGTCTTGTGACCACATTCCTCACACTGTGATGAAGGCACACATCATATGATCTCTCAGAAAGAGTCCTTAAAAGGAAGAGCTGCCCCTTCTCTGCCCCTTCCTCTTTCCTACTGACTGGGAAAGTAAAATGCAATGGGTGGAGCTGGAGCAGCCACTATAGGGTTGGAAATGTGCACGCTAAGAGATGGCACAGATAGGGGCTGGGGATTTAGCTCAGTGGCATAAGCTCCTGCCTTACAAGCAGGCAGTCGTGAGTTCGATCCCCGGTACCCATAAAAAGGAAAAAAAAAAAAAAAAAAGCGATGGCACAGATCTGGTTTTCTGACCCTGCCTGGAATTGCCTCCCTCAGTAGTGATTCATTTCCATCTAACTCAAGCAGGCAGCATTTCGGATTTCCTGAGCCACACAAGCCCGGATAATCTTAAAGGACGCACTGTGTAATATACCTCACCTTCGGCTCCTTTTTTGCTACACCTTATCAGCTGTGTGATCTCGGGCAAATGTCCTCACCTCTCTGGGCCTCCAGGCCTCAAATGAAAAATTTGGCTCCAATGACCGTTGCAAATTGCATCAGTCCAGGAGAGGACGTGGGAGATGAGTGTGACCCGGATGTGGGAGGGAGGAGCCCGAGGCAGGGGCTCCGGCAGGCAGTAGGAGAAGAGAGAGGAGAATCCTGGATACGGCACGGAGCTGGCTGGGCTCCATCCCACAGGTACGAGGGAGAACCCGGGGCACATTACACTCCTTGGGTACGCAATGGAGGGCGAGTGACAGCAAGGTCAGAAGACGGGGTGGACTGCCTGGTCACCGGCCTGCTGAGGACCAGAACTCACCAGAAGTCCAGTCTCCAGGTGCAGCCCAGGTAGACAGGGGTGACAGCTAGGCGACTTGAAGCAGGATAAATGGGTTGCCACCTCTGGGGACTCGAAGAGCCATGGGATCTCAGAGATTCAAAGTGGCCGGCTCTTGGTTGCCTCCCTGGATGAGGAGCTCACTCCCTTTCACCCAGATAAATCACAGCCTGGAGTCTGTTTTACTCAAATGAGGCACGGAGCAGTGCCTGGTGTGCATGCTCAGCGTGGGGCAGCTTTGGTGTCCCAGGCCAGCCCGTGGAGGTGTAGGAGCCCAACACTAGGACCCTGGATTCCTCTGATCGTGGCTTCAGGGCGGGACGGGCCAATGTGGAGGCCTGGCGGGGGTGCAACTCCGGCATCAACTAAATCCATTTGCAGTCTGCTGTGGGGGCCCACATCTATCATCCCAGCACTCAGGAGGCTAAGTCAGGGAGATCACTATATCTCTCTGGTGTGTTCAGGAAGCCTCTCCACCGGGTCCCGGGGTGACCTGAGCGCCCCTTGGATGCAGCTCAGACTCCTGTGAGCAGAGGGGGGCGCCCCGTGGAACGCCGCGTGGCCACACCCACATCAGACTTCAGGGCTGGGTTTCCCGCTGATTTTCTTTTATTTCCTCTCAATCTCTCAGTGGAAAAAAACAAACAAACAAAACAAAAAACCCCACAACACACCATTAGAGAACTATGTGCTCACCGCTCCGACCACTGCTACGGGTGGCAGTGTCGCTTTGAGGGCGTCTCCCCCCCCCCCCCCGCCTGATTCGTGGTTAACGCTATGGGGATCAGGGTGTTGCATTAGCCCAACACACAGTTTTTTGGGCCCTAGTGCATAATATTCCATAGCCCGGTGCTCTGCAGATCTACGATCCGACCTCTTTTCCCAGACTTCAGGGGCAGGCGGAGTCAGCGGTGCTAGCGTCATGGGGAAGGGGACTTAAAAACACAGGCAACCGGCATGATGGTGCATGCCTGAGCCCCGCCTACTCAGGAAGCTGAGGCAGGAGAATCTCAGTCAAAGCCCGGGTTGGACAACTTAGTGAACTTTGAAAAGGGTGGGGGATGAAAAAAAAAAAGTAAAAACAAGGGGCTGGGGATTTAACTCAGCGGCATAAGCGCCTGCCTTGCAAGTGTGCAATCCTGAGTTCAATCCCTGGTACCGATAAATTCAAAAAAGACAAAAAAAAAAAAAAAAAAAGAAAAAGAAAAGGGCGGGGTGGAGCTCAGTGCAAAGGCCCCAGGTTCCCTTCCCAGCCCCAGGATTAAAAATCAATAAAACGGTGCAGGCCCCCCGGGGCCCTGGGCCCCTGCCACCCTCTGTGCGCCCCGCTGTGTCCCTGAGGTTCCCTCCCTGACCCCACGAGCTGCAGCTGGCTGAGGGCAGGGCCTTGGGCCATCGCTGCGGCCAGGCCCAAGGCGGCGTCCGGCAAAGTACAGTGAACTCTGCCCCATTTGCCGTTCCTGGTGATGGGGATACCTGTGGGAGTCAGCATTTTGGGGCGCTAATATTCTGTGCCAGGGACCCGCAGATCTCTGCCGCAGATCCTAAAAGGAGTGAGGCCGACGCGTGAGAGCCGCAGAGTGGCACCGGTCCTCTGGCTCTGCGGGTTGCTTACCTCCCCGGACGGGCAGCTCACCCCTCCCTCTAGCCCGCCCGTGCGCGCGCACCCGAGCGCGCACTCGTGCGCCACCTGCTCCGCCATCCAACACCACCCCCGCCCAGCTCCCCGCAGTGGATGCCTGTGCGCATCTTGCGTCGCCAAGGTCAGGGACCCCAAGGCTTCCCGGGGACCCCACCTGGCCCGCGCAGCAGGCGCCGGGGCTCGGGGGGCGGGGCGGGGCGGGGAGGGGCCGGCGACGGCAGCGGCGGCGGCGCGCGGAGCGGAGCGGACCGCAGTGCGGCCGGCGCTAGGACCCGCCAGGGCTCCGAGGCCGCAGCGCCTCCGGCGGCCCCCCCGCCCTGTCGCCACCCCCCCAAAATGAGGAAACGCGGCGACAACTTGGTCCAAGTTGTGCAACCCGGGCCGCCTCGGGGTGCACGGCCGGCTGGCGGGGTCCCCTCCTGGGGGCGGTCGCGGGGCTCGGCCCGGAGGCGCCTCCTGAGCAGGTGAGCGCGCGCCTGGCTGGGAGGAGACGCCCCGCAGCGGTGGGGACTCCGGGGGCTCGGAGTGGGTGGGGGACCCCACCGGGCCGGGAGCGCGATCCTGCTCCCCGGCGCGTGCACCTGGGTTGCTCGCGCCCGGCCGGGTGGGGCGCGCGCGCCAGGTGTTGGAGCGCGCGGCCCCTGGTGTGGGCGGGCTGCGAGAACGCGCACCTGTCTCCAGGTGGCTTCCCGGGCACGCGCGCAGGGAGCCGGGTGTGCTCTGCGGGCGCGCGCGTGTGTACGCGCATCGGTATGCATGAGGACGCGCGGTCCGGGCTGCTTTAGGGGCGCCGCCGAGGGGAGGTCAGGGATGGGACTCTGCCTCCTCACCTGGTCACTGCCCCGGGGACCTGGAGAAGCAGCCGGGGCCCCCAGCCCCGCCGAGGAGGACCTCGGTGCCTCCGCCCTGGGCAGGGCAGGGGGAGTCACAGGGGTCCTCTGGGGCCCACAGGGGCGCGGAGGCTGGATGGCTGCCTCCAGCGCCCACACACCACCCCAGGGCCAGAGGAGTGACCTTGATTCATCCCTGTCCCCACCGAGCCCTCGCCGCAGACCGAGAAGGAGAGGAGTCAGGCTCGGTCAGGTGGCACCTGGCTCCCCACGCTGCTGGTGGTGGCCCTGGGCCAGCCGTTCCCCCCAGCCCCACCCCAGCGTGGGACCACTGCCTCGGCGCCCCTCTGGTGCCTCAGTTTCCCTTTGGGGCGATGGCAGGGTGGGCACCGTGGCTCTCTGGTTGGCGTGCATTTTACGTCTGTGGCTGGCCAAGGGACTTTCCTGGGTAAGGTCACTTCCTCCGAGGAGGAGAGGCCTGTCTTCCCCCGGCTGTCACCCAGAGACCTCGCCGCCGGCTGGATGCAGGAACCCCCCACCCCCAGCCCTACCTACGCCCCGCATCCTGTGACTCTGACCCCTCCCCAGGTGAACTCTCACTTCCCGGCGCCTGGCGCCTCTGTCCACCGCAGCCAGGATGCCGACGGTGAGTGTCCCCGGCGTGGGCACCCGGGTCCCCACCCCTGCAGGCCGCGGGACCCACAGACCCGGCCCCGCCCCAGGGTGGGCTGCGCGCCGCTCACCAGCGCACCACCCCTCCTGATCTCGGCCCAGCCCCGGGTGCTGGGCCTTGGCGCTGCTAGGTCGCTGCCTCGCGCCCTAACCCTGCACGTGCCTATCCGCTGTGTCCCCCGCTCCTGATGTTCCCACTGCACCCCCAGAGGCGCTGGGCCCCCGGCACCCAGTGCATCACCAAGTGCGAGCACTCGCGCCCCAAGCCCGGGGAGCTGGCCTTCCGCAAGGGCGACGTGGTCACCATCCTGGAGGCCTGCGAGGTGAGGACGCGCCGGTGCCGAGGCAGGGGGTGGGGGGGCCACGCCAGGACCCCGAGCTGACTCCGGCCGCGGCCCCGTGTCCCCTCCGCGCAGAACAAGAGCTGGTACCGTGCCAAGCACCACGGGAGTGGCCAGGAGGGGCTGCTGGCGGCGGGCGCGCTGCGGGAGCGCGAGGCCCTCTCCGCGGACCCCAAGCTCAGCCTCATGCCGTGAGCCTCTGGGGCGGGGACGGGGACCCGGGCAGGGGATCGGGGGTGTCCCCAGCGCGGCCCACGCGTCCTCCTCGTGCGCCGCAGGTGGTTCCACGGGAAGATCTCGGGCCAGGAGGCCGTGCAGCAGCTGCAGCCGCCCGAGGACGGGCTGTTCCTGGTGCGCGAATCTGCGCGACACCCGGGCGACTACGTGCTCTGCGTCAGCTTCGGCCACGACGTCATCCACTACCGCGTGCTGCATCGCGACGGCCACCTGACCATCGACGAGGCCGTGTGCTTCTGCAACCTCATGGACATGGTGGAGGTGCCCGGGACGGTGGGGACCCACCCCGGAGACCGCCTGCCCCAGCCGGCCACCCTGACTCTGCCTCGAGGGCCTCTGGGGACCCTCGTGGGCCTCTGATTGACACCACTCCAGCCCCTAGAATCCTCCCGCACCCCTTCCTGTTCCCATGGGAACCAGCCTATCCCAGCAGGGACCCCCACGCGCTCCCCAGAGCCGCACCCCCCCAAGGGATGGGTGCCCCTCAGGCTCACAGCCGCCCCTGCCCTGCCCCCAGCACTACAGCAAGGATAAGGGACCCATCTGCACCAAGCTGGTGAAGCCCAAGAGGAAGCAGGGGACCAAGTCGGCGGAAGAGGAGCTGGCCAAGGGTAACGGTCACCCGGGGCAGCCGGGCCTCTGCACCAGGGCTCCAAGACATCTTTTGACCGTGAAAACCCATCCATGTGATGCCCGTGCTTGGAATTTCACAGCTGCTACATTTCTGAGCTCCTCTCTGTCCAGTCCCTGCTCCATGCCCTCTCCCCATTTCCCGAATGCCTCTCGGTCATCCTGTGTTCTGTTCCCTTCCCCTGAAATGCTTTTCCAGCCCCTGAGTTTTGCAGTGCTCACTATTCAAGACCAAAGCAAGTGCCTGCCCTTCAGTCCCTGGTCATACCGGCCTTTGCAGGCTGAGGATGTGTCCCTGAGTCTTGTCTTTCCCAGGAAGGTCTGGGTCCAACAGTAACTAGGGGAGCCCAGTGTGTGCCCTGCCTGACCACAGCCTCGGAAGCTGGGTTTTGGGAGAAAAAGGAGGACCCTGCAGAAGCTGCTGTGGGGAAGGAGGGTGCTGGGAGAGGACAGAAAGGCCAGACCTGGAGGGCCCCAGGTCCCCAGGCAGCCGTGTGACCCACTGACCCGCTCTGCACCGCAGCTGGCTGGCTCCTGGACCTGCAGCACCTGACACTGGGCGGCCCCATCGGAGAGGGGGAGTTTGGAGGTGAGGACGTGGGCCAGGAGAGGGGCTGGGGGACCCAGGCTGAATTCAGACCCATCTGCATGGCTGAGAACTCCTGCCTCAGCCTCCCAGAGGTCCCCCACCATGCCTAGCTCTGAATGCTTTTAAAACGCACAGCTCTCTGGGAGGCTGAGGCAGGACGATCTCAAAGTGGAGGCCACCCTGAGCGATTTAGCAACTTAGTGAGATCCCGCCTCAAGTCAAGATTTTTAAAAAGCCCCTGAGTGGGAGAGGGGACGAGAAGCTTTGCAGACAGCAGCCAGAGGCTCCATGGGCCTTGGGGCTGTCTCCGGGTCCCAGCCCGCAGCTGCAGTGCAGTGCGGCGGTCGGTCTGGGGATGTGTCTGGTGTCCGGGGTGCCGTGGTCCTGACCTCTGTCCCCCTCCACTCCCAGCCGTCCTGCAGGGCGAGTACCTGGGGCAGAAGGTGGCCGTGAAGAACATCAAGTGCGACGTGACGGCCCAGGCCTTCCTGGACGAGACGGCGGTGATGACGTGCGTGCTGGGCAGTCAGGGCTGGGGCCGGGGTCTGGGCCGGCCTCACCCCTCCTCCGCTGTGCTCCCCTCCCCCCAGGAAGCTGCAGCACCGGAACCTGGTGCGGCTGCTGGGCGTCATCCTGCACCAGGGCCTGTACATCGTCATGGAGAACGTGACCAAGGTGCGGGCGGGCCGCTGGGCGCGGGCGGGCGGGGCGGGGGGCCCATGGCGAACCTCCAAAATCCCGCAGGGCAACCTGGTGAACTTCCTGCGCACGCGGGGCCGCGCCCTGGTCCCCGCCACTCAGCTGCTGCAGTTTTCGCTGTGAGTGGGGGAGGGGCTCCCGCTGGGGAGGTGAGGGGGAAACTGAGGCACGGGGCCGGGCGGAGCCGGGAGCTTCCCAGAACCCCTCCCCAGGCACGTGGCTGAGGGGATGGAGTATCTGGAGAGCAAGAAGCTGGTCCACCGCGACCTGGCCGCTCGCAACATCCTGGTGTCCGAGGACCTGGTGGCCAAGGTCAGCGACTTCGGCCTGGCCAAAGCCGAGCGCAAGGGCCTGGACGCGAGCCGGCTGCCGGTCAAGTGGACGGCGCCCGAGGCGCTCAAGCACGGGGTGAGAACCCCGCCATCCTCCACCGCCCGCCCCCAAGGTCTCGGGGTCCCGCAGAGCTGGATGGGGGGGCCCCAGCCCTGTTGCCTGACGGGGCCGGGGGATCTTGGGCCTCAGTTTCTCCATCTCTGAAATGGCCAGGGCCTCCGCTCTACAGTGTGAGCTCCACCCAGCTGTGGGAGGCCTGAGGGGCCGAGTCTGATGGGAGGAGCTCAGAAAGGGGGGTCAGCCCAGGGGGGCTCCGGGAGGAAGCGAGGCTGGCCAGAAACCTCGGTCCGGTGCCCACGGCTGTGCTCTCGGCACTCCGGGAGGCCGAGGCAGGAGGGCCTCCAGTTGGAGCCCAGCCTGGTGACTTAGCGACTTAGGGAGTCTCGGTCTCCCAGTCCTCCAAAAAAAAGAAAAACGAAAGAGGAATTCGGGGGGCCCCACCTCAGCTGGCTCTCCGCCCCACAGAAGTTCTCCAGCAAGTCAGACGTCTGGAGTTTCGGGGTGCTCCTGTGGGAAGTCTTCTCCTACGGAAGGGCCCCGTACCCCAAGATGGTGAGTGGGCCGGGCTGGGGAGGCTGGGCTCTCGGGCTGGAGCCGCCGCCCACGGCCCCCTGCCTGTGTCCGCAGTCGCTGAAGGAGGTGTCGGAGGCGGTGGAGCAGGGCTACCGCATGGAGCCCCCCGAGGGCTGCCCGGGCCCGGTGCTGGCGCTCATGGGCAGCTGCTGGGAGGCGGAGCCCGCGCGCCGGCCGCCCTTCCGCAAGGTGGCGGAGAAGCTGGCGCGGGAGGTGCGCAGCGCGGCCACCTCGGCCCCCGGCGGGGCCCAGGACGGCGACGGCTCGTGCTCGCCCCGGAGCCAGGAGCCCTGAGCCCGGCCGGCCGGCGGCGACCACGGCCCGAGGACCAGGACCAGGACCGAGACCGAGCGCAGGCCGGCCGCAGGGCGACCACCGCGGAAAGCTGCGGCTCGGTGACCCCGGCGCGCCCCCACCCGGGGACCTCGCGCCCCGCGCGTTGGTGGCCGCTGTCCTGGGTCCCCTCCGGGCCGAGGCCACGGCGCCTCTCCAGCCGGCGGGCAGGGACTGTGGGTCTCGGGTCCCCTCCGGCCCGCACCCCCGTGTGGCCCACACTGGGCCCCCAGCACAGCGCCTGACCTGGAAGCCACCCAGCGCCACCGTGCAGACGCCGTGCCCTGGGGGTTCCTGGGGACCCCAACAGGGCTGGCCATTCGATGGGAGTCGAGTACCCCAACTCACCCAGCCCCCGCAATGTGCCCCCCACCTGTCCCCTCCGCCCCTCACCCGTCCTCCTTGCTCATCCCTACTGAGCATGCAGTGTGTGTCTGGCCCTTCTGGGTGCCGGGCACCCCGAAACCCTGGTGGTACAGCCCATAGGTGACACTGTGCTTGGACTGAGGCCGAATGTCCAGGGATGAAGCACCTGCCCGGTGACTCTGGGGACACACGGGTCGGGCCCCAGCAGGGGCACCCAAGCCTCCATCCTGAGCCTCCGGCCGTGAGGGCTTTGCTGGCTGCAGGACTGCACTGCTCAGGGCAGAGGCCCCACGGGGCACCACTGGGCCCGACACCCCTGCTGGCACTCGGCAGCCCCAGAGGTCCAAAAGGCCCTTCCCAAGGGTGTGACCGGCCGGGCCAGCCGCAGCGGTCTCAGCCTGGTCTGTCACTGTAACAGCCCCCAAGGCAGCCAGGAAACAACTGCCCACAGGGCTCCAGGATGGAGAGCAGGACGCCAGTCGGTGGGGGAGGGGGATGATCAGAGGGGTGCGCTGGCGGTGGGGGCACAAGGGGCCAGCCCTGGTGGCCCCAGCTGTGATCCCAGCACTCGGGAGGCTGAGGCAGGACCACTGGGAGTTTGAGACCAGCCTGGGCTGCAAAGTGAGCTCAAGGCCAGCCTGAGCCGTACAGAGAGACCCTGCCTCAAAAAGACAAAAACAAAACAAAGATTTCCCAGTTGCACTGACCTCCCACGTACCCTCTGGGAGCCCCATCCATCCTCTAGCCTCAGTTTCCCCACCAGCACCCAGAAGGATCTACTGGTTCTCTGGGAAGGGTCAGAGGGGCTGTGTAGCCTGGCTTCACCCCCAGTCCCCACTTAAGCTGACCCACCAGGGAAGGGCAGCCCTGTGGCCTGCGGCCAGAGTTGCCCCAATATTTGCAAGACTTTGGGGACCACCTCTCCCGCGCCCAGCCTCTACCCTGCACTGCACAGAGCCTGGGGGGCCCTCAGGTACTGCCGCAGCCAGGGAAGGAGGCGGCCCCAGCCCCTGGCTCCGCCTCCCCAGGAGCCCTGCTCCCCCGGCATCCCCAGCTGCTGTCCCCAGCAGGCGTGGGCCCGGGACCCCAGCTCGCCAGGGAGGCTGAGGCCGAGGGTTCCCCGTCCCAGCCCAGCCTGCGCAATCAGTGACTGAGAGCCTTCTCAGACTCAGAAGGCGCCCTGGGTGGAGCTGGGGGGGGTGGAGCCCCTGGGTCCCACCCCGAGTGCTGGGAGAAAGGAAACAGGAAGCAGGGAGGGAAGGCGGAAAGAACAAACAGGGGGGGGAAAGACAGGAAAGCAACTCTGCGGCCCGGCTCCTGAGCTTGCGTTTTGCATCCGACATGGTCTTCATCTTAACTTCACCCTGGCTGTCCCACCTGGCCCCAGAGGGCCTGCCCTGCGGCTTTGGTCTGTTTTGTTCACTGTTGTGAATGGTACCTGGAAAGCCAGTACTCAATAAATGTTTACTGAGCAAATGAGTGCATGAATAGTGAACTTCTATTCATACCTCAAGACCCTGAACAAATGTCCCTTTGTGCTTGTCCCGGCCTGAGTCCTGAGGAGCCAAGTGGTTTTTTTGAGACAAGATCTCACTGTGTAGTTCAGGCTGCCCTCGAGCACATGGTGATCCTCCTGCTTCAGCGTCCTGAGCTCTGAGATTAAATGTGTGAGCTGCCTGCATGCTGTGCTCACTGAGAAACCAAGATTCTCCCCAGAGGGGCCGGGGATGTAGCTCAGTGGGTCAGCGCCTGCCTGGCAAGCACAAGTCCTGATACCAAAAAAAACAAATTCTCAGGGAACAGGTCCTAGTGTCACGGTTCAGAGCAAGGAAACAGACCCAGGGTGGGCGCCCCAGTGTCCCACCAGGACGGCAGTGTCCTAGCCCCTCACTTAACCACCCACAGCGAACCCTGGCCCCCCGCCAGGATCCTGACTGGGTGGGGGGCTGTGGGCATGAGCTGAGGCTTCACGTTTGAGTAGGAATTCACTGGCTGGAGGCGCTTTCTGGGAGCCTTGTGGGAGCCGGGTGGATGGAGCCCTAGAGAGCTTGGGAGGCCTTCCACGGGAGCAGAGGACCCGCCAAGGGACACCCTGAGAGCCCCAGAGCCGGGCAGCCCGAGGCTCCCTGAGGCCTCAGCGCTGTGTTCCCCCTCCGGCTGCACAGCTGTCCCTGGAGCCCAGGCTGGGCCTGGGTCTGCACACGTCCTGGCCCCCAGTCCCCCAGCCCGTTTTCACTCTGGCCTTGGTGGACAGCTTGGCCCCGGGGGAGCCGCCCCTCAGCTGCCAGCCCAGCAGCAGGTGCGGCTGCGCACGGGACCTGCCCCGGGGCTCTGCAGGGCAGGCATCTCTCCTGGCCCCCAGGGCTTCTCACCCTCACCCCATGACAGACGCACGCCAGCCCGCCCCTCACCACCCCACTGCACGAGGCAAACTGAGGCCCCAGATGCAGGGAGACGGCTGCACGGCCTGAGTGGGCCTCTGTCCCGCCACAGAGGAGGACCCCGCCTGTCCCACCAGCCACACTCCCAGGCCTCAGGGACGGTCACCCTCTGGGGGCAGGGACAAGGCGGCTGCTACCAGGTGGAAGCCAGGAACACAGGCAGCAGAGGCGACAGTGCCAGCCCCACCCCAGCCAGGGCCCCGCCGCGGGACACCCCAGGCCCCATACCCAGACCCTCTCTCCCAACTCTGCCTGCCCATCCCCCAACTGCCCGTCTGTCCATCCATTCTCCATCTGTATCACTTGAGCCAAAGCAAAGCAGGAAAGACCGGACACCAGAAGGAGGCTGGAGGGCGCTCCGGCAGCTTTGTGGCTGTGCAAAGGCCCTGTGGCAGGAGTGAATCAAGCCAGTGACTCCCTTGTTGCAGGCAGGGCTGGTGGCCCAGGTCCCACGGGTGTTTATCCTGGGGAACAGCTTGAGCTTAAGCAGGTGCACAGTTCCCTTCAGGAATGCTGCTGTCACTTCCCTAGAATGTGACAGACTGAGGGACCCGGAGCTAGAGGGCCTAGCTGTCCTACAATGTGGCTCAGCATCCTCCCTAGAGGCCCCTGTTGCTAACTGGACACCTCCAACCCTCAGGCTTGAGCCTGACCCCCAGGACTGGACTCCAGGGTTCCCCAGTGAGGGCTGCAGGGCAGGGCCAGGTCCCGGAGTGCCTGAGGCCCCTACAGCTCTGGACGAAAAGGGCGGCTCCTCCCCCAGCTCTGCTCTCTGAGTCCTGAGGCCCCGACATGACACCGGGCGGCTCTCCCCTCCCGGGGGGCTGCAGGCGGACCCACAGGCCGGAGGGGCCCCACTCCCTGCCGCAGTCTGGAGCCCAGACCACACCGAGGCAGCCGGGGTTGTTTCTTTTACCTTTATATTGGGGCGCGAGGACGGAACCGAGGCCCCTCTGGTTTCTGACACAGGCTCCTGCCAAGCTGCTGAGTCGCCCGGGCTGGGCTCGAATTTACAGTGCTCCTACCTCGGCCTCGGCCTCAGGAGTGCGCCACTGTGCCAGGCCCTGGGCCTGGACCTCCTGCAATCCGGGCAAGGTCCATTCTCTCCCTGGAAAGAGTCCCTGGGTGGGGGACGAGGGTTCACCTCACCCTCTGGCCCACTAGAACTTCTTGTTCTTGTTCAGCCGATTGTCCCGCCAAATGTTCTGTTTCCGAAGCAGTCGCCAGTACTCTCGGGTGTCAGGGTCCAGCTCCTCCAGCTTCTTTGGGGGGCCTACATTCATCTGGAACAGCCTGACAGGAAGAGGGGGTCAGTCTGAGCACCCTGGGGCAGACATGGTGACGGCTTCCCCACCACTCTCCTGCGACAGGTTCAGTTCTGCCCCAGGGCCTTTGCACAAGCAGCACCCACCCTGGTCCTGGCTCAGGTGTCCCCTCCCCAGGCTCCCTACCAAGAAAAAGGATGCCTGCCTCATTTCAGGGGCTTCGTATGTGTCCAGCCTCATCCTCTGGGTCCCTATGGATGGTCAGAACAGCAGGATGGCACTTCCTCCCTGGACAGGAGGGAGGGGGCGCTCACCACTCAGGGTATTCGGCATCCGGCTTCAGGACCACATCCTGCCCCTCCTTGTAGATGTTCACACCCATGGCATGCGTGGTGAGCTGGACAGGATCTGTGCACACATCTGGGTCCTTCAGGGCATCACTGCTCACAGCACCCTTGGCTCCCTTCGCCCCCTTCATGACTGCAGGGAGGAGACCAAGGGACCTTGCAGCCTGGTTCCACCCCCAGAAGGCCACTTGCTCTGCTGTCCCTCTCCCGGGTGTCCTTGGGCCTCAGCCTGCCCACCCTCCACAGAGTGACCATGTGCGAAAAGACCCAGCATCAGACTCCCTCCTTAAAACCTCTGGCGCTGAGACCGTCTCACTGCGTATTCCAGACTGGCTAGATCCTCCTGCCTCAGCCTCTCAAAGTGCTGGGCTGGGATTACAGCTATTCACCACCATGCCCGGCTTTCGATTCTATTTATACTGAATAGTATTTTTAAAAATTTTTATCTTTTTGTTGCTGTTAGGGAGAAAGTTTCCATTGGCTCAGGTGTTTTTTAACGTTTGCCTTTTTTCCTCCTTCCAACAAAGTAGCTCGGGTGAGGCCTGAATCCAGCTAAAAATTGTGTAACTAACGTTGATTATTTCGACCTGGCGTGGCAGTGCACAGCTGTAATCTCAGCACGACGAGGCTGAGGCAGGAGGATCGCCTTGATATCGCTTCTAAACCAATCTGGACTACACAGCAAGTTCAAGACCGGGCTGAATTAAGCTTTTAAAAAACTTTAAAGGGTCCCCCTGCTCCTCAATTCCTGGGTCACGCAGCGATTTGGAGGCAGGGACGGTAACGGAACCTAAATTCATAATTTTGCTCGCCCTCAAAAAGTCTTCAAACCTGCGCCTGCGCAGTGGAACGCGTTTGCGGCGCTAAACGCGAGCAGAGTCAGGTCCGCTGGAGTTCAACCTGGCGCATGCGCGCTGATGCTCCCCAGGCCGCTCCGAGGCAGGCGCCTGCGCAGTAACCCTAAATCCCACGCCCTCAACCAGCGCCTGCGCACTACCAATCTCAAGCTGTCCACCCTTCCCCATCCTTGGTCCCGCTTAACGCAGCTCACCTGGCTTCTTGGCATAATCTCGAACCAACAGTCTTCCAAAGGCGGCGCGGGTTGGGAGCTCCTGGGATCTCCAGGCAGCCCACGTACAGGTAGGTATGAAAAGGCGTCTGGCCGCCATGACGTACGCCGACTGCTTGCACGCGCACGTTTCCGGGACAGAGACGTAAGCAGCCCAGGGTGGAATGGGGTGCTTTGGGAGTTGTAGGCTCCCACGGACTTCTGGGAAGTGTAGTCTTCCTAGCCTTAGGCATTATATTTGATTTCATTAAACTTTTGTAGAGTTTTCTTTTTCTTTGGGTTTTTTGAGGCAGCAGGGTTTTTTTTTTTTCTTTTGTCTTTTTTGAGACAGTCTGTCTATGCAGTTCAGACTGGCCTTAAACTCACTTTGTAGCCCAGGCTTGTCTTGAACTCCCAACGATCCTCCTGCCTCAGCCTCCTGAGTGCTGGGATTACAAGCATGAGCCACCACTCCCGGCGAAGCAGTGGTTTTAGGCTGGTCTTGAACTCACTATGCAGTCCCGGTTTGCTTCCAACTCGTGGCGATCCTCCCGCCTCAGCCTACCTAATGCTGTAATTACAGATATGCACCATCGCGCCTGGCTTCATTAAACTTTGGTACACATGCTCAATTCCTGTAGGCTATCTCCTGTGTGATATTCAAAGTATATTCCGTTGGCTTTTTGGACTTTTTCAATTATTAATTTGCTTAAAATATCACACTAGTAGGGTGTCCCAAAGAACCCACTTTTCGCTGTTCTTTACTATTTCCTAGGCCTTCTTCTTCACTTGTCTCATCACTGCAATAAGAAACAGGCAGCAGGCTGGGGATTTATTTCTGCGGCGTGAGCTCCTCCCTGGCAAGCGCGGTCATGAGTTCGATCCCCATACCAAAAAAGAAAAGAAAAAAAAAAGCAACAGGCAGTGATCAGTGACCCCATTTTGCAGAAGTGGGGCAATCTGAGCTCCTCTGCAGGGTTGAGTGTACAGGATTCGAACACGCTGCTTTGGGACCCGGCACAGCCCTAGCGCCGTCGTGTGGAAAGACTGGCTGAGAGGACTACATTTCCCAGAAGACACCGCGAGCCCGCGCATGCCCAGAGTCGGGGAACCGCGGGAACTGCTCAGGGGACGGAACTAGACGAGCTACCGCTGCTTGACAGCGCCGTCCGGGAAATGCCAGGGCTGGGCCAGGGACTCGGGGTCCTTGGGACCGCGCGGGGTGGAGGTGACCTCGGTTTAGAAAGTGAGTATGGAAGTGGGGACTCTAGGGCCGGCGCCGTAGTCTGGGATCCGAGGCCGTAGTAGTTTGGTGTGATCGGAAAGTTTAGAGACTGGGGTGCGCCTTTATTTTATTTTTTATTCCCCCCATACTGGGGGTTAAACCCTGGGGATTCACGCTGAGCTCCACCCACAGCTCTTTTTATTTTTTATTTTCAGACAGGCTCTCTTAAGTTGCTCAGGCCGGGTTTGAACTTTGGATCCTCCTGTCTCAGCCTCTCAGAGCACTGGGGTGACAGGCGGGAGCCACCGCGCTCCAATGCTGAGTTTTGGATCTGAAGTCTTGCTTTGGTGCTTGGGCATTAGGTTCGGGGTCACCAAACTAGGGAATCTTGAGTCTGGGGACCTGGAACCCACATCCGGGTCTGTAGGAACCAGGTGCCCAGCCTGGGTTCCACGTTTCAGGGCTAGCGGACTTGGGGGAGCCACGGCTGGAGTGAACAAAGCCCACCTAGGGAGAAGAATTGAGAGTGACAGGTACAAGGGACAGCCTGGGGTTCGCAGCCTGCCCGCCACAGTCTCTCCTCCATCCCCATTCTGTGCCTCAGTGTGCTCGTCTGTAAAATAGAGCCATAAGCCACGCATGGCCGTGTACACCTGTAATCCCAGCACTCGGGAGGCTGAGGCAGGAGGAATGCATGCAGTTCAGTGTGAAGGCCCTGGTTCTATCCCAGTCCTGCAAAAAAAGGATTGGGAGGTGGCATAGCATCTGTGCAGAGCACCCCGGGAATTAAACGCCAGCTTAATGGACACGGCAGCAGCCGCCTTTACCTGGTCTCCGTCTTTCAGCCCTGAGATGACGGCCTGAGCTCGGGTTCCAGGCATGGAGTTCCGCACAGCCCCCCAGCCCGCCTCAGGGCCTCCAGCCATGGACTTGGAGGCTCTTGAGCCCCCTGAGGACGCCAGCCCTGACCCCCCGTGGGACCCACTCTCTGGAGGACCCGGCAGCCTGAGTGAGATGGAACTTGATGGATCCAGCGTCCAGGACTTGGTGCAGCAGTTCGAGGCTCTGCCAGGGGACCTGGTGGGCCTGTCCCCAGACAGCACCCCCTGCCCACTGCATATCGCTACTGGCCGTGGCTTGGCGCCCCAGGAAGTGACCGCTGTCCCTGGGCTGCTGTCCTCGGAGGCTGGCGGGGATGCCCTGCTGAGCCTGCTGCGGTGTGAGGAGTGCCCTGCTCCCGAGCCCTGCCCCCACCGGCCCCTGGAGCCCGCGCCCCGCCTGCTGCAGCCCCCTGAGGACCCTGATGTGGAGGCTGCACCCCCCGACTGGGCGGAGCAGGGCTCTGCTGAGCAGGGCTACAGCAGGAGCTCAAGCAGCTCCCCTGAGCCGTGGCCAGAGATGACACCTCTGGTGACACCCGAAAAGCCACCACCGGCTGGGGTCCAGGTAGCACCTGCCTCCTCCAGGGGTCCCCTGCAGCCCAGAGCCCGGCAGGAGGACTCAGCCCAGCCCCTCTTCTGTCTTCTAGAACCCCGAGACCTTGGCTTCGTGCCCTGCCCTGCAGGAAGGTGAGTCCCTCCCCCCCAACTGGGCCTGGGACTCGGGGTCTGGTCAGCCACAGAGGGCACCCGAGTCCAGCACCCAATGAGAGCGAGGTTTGAGAGGCTCAGGGTGGTGTCAGGCCATTGCCACATGGCCTACAAGCAGAGATGCCCCCGAGAACCCTCTGCCATGAGGCAGGAGTCGGGCACGGCCCTTGACAGCACTGGGTGGAGAGCACAGATCTTCTGCAGGTCAGATCCACCCCGCTGTCGCAGCAGCCTCAGGAGCTGCAGTGCCCCACGCCCCAAATCCCAGCCCTCGGGAGGCTGAGGCAGGAGGGTCACAAGTTCAGGCCTGGATGACTTGGCAGGACCCTCTCAAGATAAAAAATACAAAGGCCCCAGGCGTCGCTCAGTGCCGAATGCTTGCCAGCCTGCTGGAGACCCTGGTTCTGCCCCTCGCTCTGCACAAAGAGAAAAGGAAAATAGTATTTTGCGAAGGTTGAAAATGGCGTGTGATTTCCGTGGTTGTTAATAAAGTTTTATTGAGACTCAGCCTCAAACCCTGCTCTGGCTGCTGAAGAAGCTGGGTCCAGTCTGTGAGCTCCGGTTTACTCAGAGCTTCCTGTCCTTAGGGCCAGGAAAATGAGAATATCAGCCACTGGGACCTTTATAGAAAAGGCTGTGTGTTTGCTCTCTAAAGGCACAGGAAGAACTAGCTCTGGCCATCTGGAATGTTCTGGAATGTTCTGGAATTGGGTTAAATCAGTTATTAAGTTCTGAGGGGGAGATGAGGGTCCTGTGCCCCTGAGAAGGTTCTAGAATCATGAGTGGCGCTGTGATTCTCCTAGACAGATCCAGAGTTTCCTGTGTTGCTTGTGGTTCTAGATTTTGTTTTGTGTTGGTTTGGTTTGGTTTGGTTTGGTTTTCTGAGACAGGATTTCACTCTGTAGTTCAGGCTGGCCTTGAATTTGAGGGGATCCTCCTGCCTCAGCCTCCCGAGTGCTGGGATGACAGGCGTGAGCCACCACACATGGCCATTTGTGGTCCTAGATTCAAGGGCCTCGGGCTGATGACACTGCCTGGTTCCAGTCGGACCAGAGAATTCTAGATGGTGGAGCAAGCAGTTTATCTGCTGTTCTAGAACCCAGAACCCGGGACAGAGCTGTCCTGTTCCCGCGCGGTCACCAAGTTCCGCAGCAGAACTAGACAGGAGAAATGCAATAGGCGCTTGTGTGATACTAACTTTTTTAGATAGCCATATCAAAAGCACTTTAAGATGAGAGGCCCACACCTGTCACCCCAGCGCCTGGGAGGCTGAGGCAGGAGGCTCGATGGGAGTTTGCGGCAGCCTGGGCGACTCGGCAGACGCGGTGGAAGGCGTTTCCCGAGCCCAGGTGGCTTCTGGGTGGCGGGTGGGACTGTGATGGGCTGGTTCCACTTTCCAGGGGCGAGCACCCTGGGGTTCTGGACACTCTGGAGATTCTGCCCTTGGACCTGGCAGCTGTCTCCCTCCACTGGCATGGACTGGGGTCTCCTGTTGCCCTGGGCTGCCCGGAGCGGGGTGCAGATTTGGGGGACCCCGAGCTGCTGCTGGCTTTGGAATCCTGCGCGGGGTGATCTCAATGCAGATCTCTAGTAAACTGCAAACCGTCGCTTCTGGTTTGGGGTCTGCGCGCGGGTCTGGACCTCAGAGGGCCCGGCCCCGGGGGCGCTGCCGGGTGGCAGGGCTGAGGGTGGACCTGGGCAGGCTGGGGGGCGCCTGAGGACTGAGCCGCCCCTGTCACCCTCAGTCGCTGGGCCGTGTGACCACGAGGACCTCCTGGACGGCGTCATATTTGGGGCCAAGTACTTGGGCTCCACGCAGCTGCTGTCCGAACGGAACCCGCCCCCCAGCACACGCATGGCCCAGGCCCAAGAGGCGGTGGACCGAGTGAAGGTGAGGCCGGGCAGGGGACGGCGGGTCCAGGGCCGAGGGCGGGGCCCCCAGAGACCCAGCTCTTCCTCCTGCCCAGGCGCCCGACGGGGAGACGCAGCCCATGACGGAAGTGGACCTCTTCGTGTCCACCAGGAGGATCAAGGTGCTGATGACCGACTCCCAGGTAGGGCTGGGCCAGCCTCCTTGGGCCGCGGGGCGAGGCCAGGTAAGGCCCCGCTCACTGCCCTCTCCCCAGGAGGCCATGATGGACCACGCCCTGCAGACGATCTCCTACATTGCTGACATCGGCCCCGTGCTGGTGCTCATGGCCCGGCGTCGGCTGGCCCGGAAGCCTGGAGCTGGAGACCGTGAGCACTGCCTGTACAAGATGTTGTGCCACGTCTTCCACTCAGAGGATGTGAGCAGCCAGGTCCCCGCGGGCTGTGCCTGGCACCCCCAGCTGCCTCCCTAGCCTTTCCTGCTCTTGGGCTCAGACGGTGGGGCTGAGAAGTCACCTATGACCACACTGTGGCTTCCTGGTGCTCTTAAGCCTTGTGGCTAAGACATAGCCACTTCAAGGCTCCACAGTCAAGGCCAATCTAATTCCTAGCAGGACTGGGAAGGTTCTAGGTGGAGGGGATATTAGAGCTGGCGCTTTGTAGGGTGAATAGGAGTTTGTAGACAAGGCCCTACCCGTGAATGCTGTTTTTGGGTTTTTGTTTGTTTGTTTGTTTGTTTTTTGTCTTTTTCCTTTTTATCGGTACCTGGGATGAACTCACGACTGCCTGCTTGCAAGGCAGGCACTTATGCCGCTGAGCTAAACCCCAGCCCCAATGCCCAGTTTTGCTGATCTCCGCCTAAGGGATGGACAGCCCCAGTTAACAGTAGTTAAGTTCATGCTCCACTTGTCCTGTGAACCTTCCCACAGCCTTTGCTGAGGGGTGATAACTGCCTGCCATTCTTGCTATATATTTCCCAGGGTTGCAGCTGCCTCTCCCCCGGCTCTCCCCAAGCCCCAGGGCAGGCAGCACGAGCCTCTCCCCCCGCAGGCGCAGCTCATCGCGCAGGCCATTGGCCAGGCCTTCGCCGCGGCCTACAGCCAGTTCCTGCGGGACAGCGGCATCGACCCGAGCCGGGTGGGCACGCGGCCCGGCCAGGGGGCAGCCGGCGCCGGCCACCTGCACAACGGCGACCTGGCGCACTTCTCCAACCGCGACAACTGCAGGGAGGTGAGGCGGCCGCCCCGCCCCCGGCCCGCCCGGCCCCGCCTGCACCCGTGCCAGCAGCTGCCCTCTGTGCCCAGGTGCGCATCGAGAAGCGGCGCGGCGAGGCCCTGGGCGTGGCGCTGGTGGAGTCCGGCTGGGGCTCGCTGCTGCCCACGGCCGTCATCGCCAACCTGCTGCACGGAGGCCCGGCCGAGCGCTCGGGCGCGCTCAGCATCGGCGACCGCATCACGGCGGTGAACGGGGCGAGCCTGGTGGGGCTGCCGCTGGCCGCGTGCCAGGCCGCCGTGCGTGTGAGTCCCGGGCCGGCCCGCACCCGGGCGCGTGGGGAAACTGAGGCTCGGGAGGCTGCAGCCTCCGCAGAGGCTGCCTCGTGAGGCCAGTGCCCTCCGTCCCGCAGGAGGTGAAGCCTCAGACGTCGGTGACGCTCAGCATCGTGCACTGCCCGCCGGTCACCACGGCCATCATCCGCCGACTGCATTCCCGAGAGCAGCTGGGATTCTGCGTGGAAGATGGCATCGTGAGGGGCGGGGCCGGGGCCGGGGCTTGGGGTGGTGTGGGCATGGGGGCGGGGCTTCAGGGCCTGTGCCATAGGTGGGTGGGGTTTGCATGGGCGTTCTATGGGCGGAGCAAGTACTGTAGGCGGGGCGGGACCTTCAGTGGTGTCTATAGGTGGGCCCTGGCTTCAGGGGGCGGGGCTGGGTCTTTCAGGGCGGGGCAAAGGCTTGTAGGGGCGGGGCTGTGGGCGGGGCAGGGGCTTGTAGGACTGTCTCTCTACGGGCCTGGGCAGTGGCTGTGGCACGGGTGGTCGGCAGCAGCACTGGGAAGGGCCAGGGCAGAGCCTGTGTGTGGGGCCTCTGAGAACACCCCTTTCCCCAGATCTGCAACCTTCTCCGGGGCGGCATTGCTGAACGCGGCGGCGTCCGCGTGGGCCACCGCATCATAGAGATCAACGGGCAGAGCGTGGTGGCCACGCCGCACCAGCGCATTGTTGAGCTGCTCACCGAGGCCCACGATGAGGTGCACATCAAGACCATGCCAGCCGCCACCTACCGCCTGCTCACGGGCCAGGAGCAGCCCGTGTACCTGTGAGCCCGCCGCCCCCACTACTGTGCCTTGGCCCTGCCGCTGCTGCTGAGCCGGCTGGGACTCGACCCCGCCTGCTCGCTCCTGGGAAATATTAAAGCTTATTCAGCAATCTCAGTGTTGGATCTCATCCCGCGGCCTGGCCTCTGGCCCCAGCTCTTCCTGGAAGCCAGCGCTGTGAAAATAGTATTTATTAAAGACCAGGAATATGGCAGGAGTGAAAGAGTCTTGGGTCCGGAAAGGCAGAGGGAGGGCCTGCAGACTGGCAACGCAGGTGAGGTCACAGGTCAGTGGCCGGACCCCAGTCATAGCCTTCTTCATCTGAGGACTCCATATCTCGGGCTCTGGTAAACTTTCTCCTCAAGGCTTCCCGTTCATAAGTCCTGGAGGTTGAGAAGGAAGAATAGAGGCTTCAGCTGGGGAAGATATGATTTAACTGGGACTGACTACTACGAGAAAGTGAGTGAGATTGGCCAGTTGTAGGTAGGGCCCTGAGAACAAACTCCTGTGCATCCTATAAAACCCCAGCCCCAGTGCCCCTGCAGGCAGCCTTTATTCCTCCCAGGAAGAGGACCTCTATTCTTTTGGCCCTGAATTCAGGAGCTTGGAGTGGCTCTGTCGCTCTCTATCATGGCCACTAGGTTACAAACAGAAGCAGAAACCACAGGTTGGTCCTAGACTGCTTTCTTAGCTCCAATGTCTGAACCTACGGGAAGGGCTAAGGACCGGCTCTTGAGCACAGAGGCCCTTACCGCATGCTGTCTTGGCGCTGCTGGCCCTCGGGGTGCCGCCTGTCCACCTGGAGGGAGAGGGGGAAAGGTTTGTGTCAGCCCCCAGGGGACAGTAAGTCTGGACTCAACCCCTCCCCACCTTCCCATGTTGTTCACAATTTTAAGTGAAAGTTGAGGCGGGGAGAGGGAAGGAGATCTTAGGTGAGCCTGTTAGATCTAGGTTTCCCCAGAAGGCTCTTGAGGGCTCCAATTTGTAAATGTGTTCACATATGCAAAGTGCTGGGAACTGTCTGTCTCCAGAGTGAGCCACCATGCACAGTGGAGCAGGTTGGGCACTGCAAAACCTTACTGAGCACATTCTAATCAAAGACATCATAGTGTTGTTCCTTTCTTCCAGTACTGGGAGTTGAACCCAGGGCCCTCGCCCTGAGCAACAACCCTTTTTACTTTTTATCTTATAATGGGATCTTGCTAAGTTGCCTGGGTTGGGGTCGAATTTGTGATCCTCCTGTCTCAGCCTCCCAGAGTGCTAGACTATTTACCAGGAGAAGGTCAGGGGACGGGGCATCCTTGGATCCCCAGGGGCAACTCCACTTAGACGGATAAATCCTGGAATAAGCATTTGAACTCCAACTGCAGTTGACAGAGACTCGGGCTCAGGACTTGAATTTTTACAATGCCATGATACTAAGATTTTGTTCTTTGTGCCAGAAGAAGAAACTGGCACAAAGGTCACAGGGCTCTGCCCTTGCGTCCCCCGCTTCTGCATGTGTGGATTCGACCAACTGTGGCTGCAGAATGTGGAAAGAACATCCACACGGAACATGAACAGCCTTCCGACACCTCTAACGCACACAGCGTCCCGCTGTCCAAATCACATTCACATGGCGTCAGCTTCCCGGCCCAGATGCTTTAAAGTCTACAAAACCCTGGGTGGTTTGGCGGGGCACACCTATCATGCCAGCACTCTGAGAGGCTGAGGCAGGAGGATCACAAATTCAAGCCCCACCTGGGCAGCTTGGAGGCCTTGGCCCCTTTAATGCATAAAGTCTGCTGGGGGGGGGGCACTGGGGCAGGGTCCACTGCCAATAGTGGTCGTGGACATCTGTGGTACCCACGGGTTGGAAGCTGTCACCATGGTTACTGAGGGGTTTTGTTTTTGTTTTTGTTTGAGAGAGGGTCTCACTATGTAGTTGAGGCTGGTGTTGAACTCGCTATGTAACCCAGGCTGGCTTTGAAGTCGCAGGGACCCTCCTGCCTCAGCCTCCCGAGTGCTGGGGTGACAGGCATGGGCCACCACGCCCGGCTACTGAGGGGAGCTCTGCTAGCTTTAACCTCATCATTGGCCCCACAGGCCGCGGCCTCCCAGCGGGTGTTCCCCCTCCAAGACCCTGGCGGGGCCCAGCCAAGCGCTGCTCACCGGGATGCCGCGCTGAGCCGGGATTCTCCCATCATCCCTCGGGCTCGGAGGCTCCTCCACGTGCACCGGCTCCGAGGACCGCGCCAGGGCCGGCCCCGAGGGCTCCTCGTCCGCGTCCGTGTGGAGCCCGCCCTCGCCGTCCGTGTAGCCCTCGCCGTCCGTGTAGACGCCGCCCTCGCCGTCCGTCTCCTCGTAGTCGCTGTTGGCGCGGCTGTCGCAGCTGAGGTCTGCAGCGCTGTCGGCCAGGCCGCGGCCGGGCAGGTCCAGGCTGTCCTCGGGGGGGCCGTCCAGCTGCGTGCGGGCCGGGACAGCGCTGCTGCGGCCGGCTGGGCGATGGCCGCCCCTGCAGCCCCGGTCACCAGCCACGCGGCCAGCCGTCTCGGCTCCGGCTGGAGCCCGCTGCGCCCGCCTCGCCACCCCGACCCCCGCTGCGCCCCGCCCCGCCACCCCGACCCCCGCTGCGCCCGCCCCGCCACCCCGACCCCCGCTGCACCCCGCTTCGCCACCCCGAGCCCCGCTGCGCCCCGCCTCGGCCACCCCGACCCCCGCTGCGCCCCGCCCCGCCCCCCCGACCCCCGCTGCGCCCCGCCCCGCCCCCCCGACCCCAGCTGCGCCCGCCTCGCCACCCCGACCCCCGCTGCGCCCCGCCCCGCCACCCCGACCCCCGCTGCACCCCGCCTCGGCCACCCCGACCCCCGCTGCGCCCGCCTCGCCACCCCGACCCCCGCTGCGCCCGCCTCGCCACCCCGACCCCCGCTGCACCCCGCTTCGCCACCCCGACCCCCGCTGCGCCCCGCCTCGCCACCCCGACCCCCGCTGCGCCCGCCTCGCCACCCCGACCCCAGCTGCGCCCCGCCTCGGCCACCCCGACCCCCGCTGCGCCCGCCTCGCCACCCCGAGCCCCGCTGCGCCCCGCCTCGGCCACCCCGACCCCCGCTGCGCCCGCCTCGCCACCCCGAACACCCCTGCGCCCCGCCTCGCCACCCCGACCCCCGCTGCGCCCCGCCTCGGCCACCCCGACCCCCGCTGCGCCCGCCTCGCCACCCCAAGCCCCGCTGCGCCCCGCCTCGGCCACCCCGAACCCCCCTGCGCCCCGCCTCGCCACCCCGACCCCCGCTGCGCCCCGCTTCGCCACCCCGAGCCCCGCTGCGCCCCGCCTCGCCACCCCGACCCCCGCTGCGCCCGCCTCGCCACCCCGAGCCCCGCTGCGCCCCGCCTCGGCCACCCCGACCCCCGCTGCTCCCCGCCTCGCCACCCCGACCCCCGCTGCGCCCGCCTCGCCACCCCGAGCCCCGCTGCGCCCCGCCTCGCCACCCCGACCCCCGCTGCACCCCGCTTCGCCACCCCGACCCCCGCTGCGCCCGCCTCGCCACCCCGACCCCCGCTGCACCCCGCTTCGCCACCCCGAGCCCCGCTGCGCCCGCCTTGCCACCCCGACCCCCGCTGCGCCCCGCCTCGCCACCCCGACCCCCGCTGCGCCCGCCTCGCCACCCCGAGCCCCGCTGCGCCCCGCCTCGCCACCCCGACCCCCGCTGCGCCCCGCCTCGGCCACCCCGACCCCCGCTGCGCCCCGCCTCGGCCACCCCGACCCCCGCTGCGCCCCGCCCCGAACCTGGTCCTCCGCCGTCCAGATGGGCCGCGTCTGCTGCTCCCGGATCACGGCCTTGAGCTCCTGGTACCAGGAGTCGCTGGTCCCGCGCAGGGGGATGGTGGCTGCGAGAGCAAGAGCGGGCGTCAGCCTGGCCCGGGCACCCCGGCACCCCCCGCCCCCTCCTCGGGGACCCCGGCACCCCCACCCGTGAAGAGGTGGCCGCTGTGCTTCTGCAGCTTCTGCGCCTGCGCGTAGAGGCGGCGGCTGCTGCGGCGGGAGGCGGGCGCCAGCCACTCGCGCAGGGCCTTGAGGGCCTGGCGGCTCTCGGGGGCGCAGAAGGCCACGATGGGGTAATACTGCACGTAGTTGAGGCGCTCGATGGCCGACGGGGTCACGTCCAGGAGCGCGTGTTTGTCCTGTGCAGTGGGGCAAGAGCAGAGGGAGGAAGAAACCCGGGTCAGAGTGAACCCCACGCTCACCCCCTCGCTGGAGGTCCACGTGGCCGGATAGCCAGGCCTCGGTTTCCCTATCTGTGACACAGGACGTCACCTGGGAGGCACTCACCTTCTCTGCAATCACCCGCACCGTGTCCAGTTTGATGATCTTGGACGGGCTGTCGACCCGAGATACGCTTTCTGTGGAAAGGTGAGGTGACTGTAGCTTCATGAGATGCCCCCGGCCCCTGGCACCACCACCCTTCCTATCTCTGTGGATCTGATGACCCTGGGCTGACCTGAGAGTGGGACCCTGCAGTGCGTGTCCTTCCCCGAGCAGCACAGCCTCACGGTCCACCCACACTGTAGCAGTAATAGGAATCCCTTCCTTTTTCCCGGCTGAGTAATATTCTGACATACACACAAACCCTGCTGTGTGTATCCACGCCTCTATGGGTGAATGCATGGGGTTTCCCACTTCTGCCTTTGTGAACTGTGCAGCTCTGAACATGGGTGTGCATATATCTATTTGAGTGACTGGGCTCGAACTTGTGGCCATCTTCCTGCCTCAGCCTCCTGAGTGCTGGGATTACAGGCATGTGCCAGTATGCCCAGGTAATGTTTGATTTCTTCCCTCCCCGACAATGGATACGGGGAATAGACCCAGTGCTTTACCACTGGGCTACACCTCTAGTCTTAAAAACAAAAACTGAGTCTCACTAGGTTGCCCAGGCTGGGCTTGAGCTCGGAGTCCTCTGCCTCAGCCTCCTAAATTCAATGCTTGATTCCTGCATGAATGACTGATCTGTTGCCCAAGAAGGCAGCACAGTGCCCCCTACTGGCCAGGCACAGGTTCCAGCTGCCACTATCTTCTGATTTTTGTTTTACTCCACCTGGTGGGGGATGGCATCTCAGGTGGCATGGACTTGTACGACTAAAGAGGTGCCACCTTCGCTGCCCTCTGGACCACTTCCGGTCTCCTCCCAAGAGCTGCCTCCAGCTCTCTTCTCTTTCCCGGAAACCATCTGTCAGATTTGGTTTACAAAACCGCTCCCGGATGTTGCTGAGTCCACAGGGCCGGAGGACGCAAGAAGGGAGGGCCTCCTGCCCCCAAACACCCCACTGCCCGGGGGTTCAATCTTACTTGAAGCCCAGCACTCCAGGAGGCTGAGGCAGGCAAGTTTGCGACCAGCTTGGGCAACTCAGCAAGATCCTGTCTCAATTTTTTTTCTTTTTGTATTTTTGAGACGGTCTAGCCGTGCAGGTCAGGCTGGCCTTCAGCTCACTTTGTAGCCCAGGCTGCTCTCGAACTCACAGCGATCCTTCTGCCTCAGCCTCCTAAGTGCTGGATTACAGGCATAAGCCACCAGCACAGCTTCCCACCTCAAATTTTTAAACAGGAATAAAAAGGACCAGAGGTTCAGCTCAGTGGCCAGTGCTCACCCAGCACACGCCAGGCCCTGGGTCACTCCTAGCACCAGGAACACAGAGAGTGGGCCTGCAGATTTCTGAGCCCTGTGCTAGCAGCAGTGCTCCCATAGCCGTGGGTCCTTCACCCCCTCTGGGCACGCCACCTGCCCCGGCTAATGCCATCCCGCAGTCCATGGCCTCACACCTGGTTTCTTACCTGCGATCTCAAACTGCTCAGGCATCTCCGCGGTCAACTTTTGCATAGCGATGTCTGCCACAGGCCCCAGGATCACCACCGGGCGCTTGAAGCTGGCTGGGGGCAGCATGACAAGAGTCAGGATCCATTATGTGGCACAGATGGTGAGGGTTTTGAACGGCTACCTGTGTACTTCTGGTATATAACATGTATAGCCAGGTGCGTGGCTGCCCCGTGGAAAAGACTACATTTCCCAGGCTCCCTTGCAGCTAGGATTGCCCACGTGACTCTGCTCTGGCCAATGGCATATAGGCAGAGCTGAAGCACGCACAGCTGGCTTTGTCCTTAAAGGGGAACTAGCTGTTATGGGGCGCGCCTTGCATTCTGAGAGGCTGAGGCATGAGGATCATCAGTTTGAGCCCAGCTTGGTCAACTTTATTTTGTCTCAAAGTAAAAAATAAGAGGTCAGGGCGGTAGCTCGGCAGGAAGGCCCCGCCGTTACCCACGCCAAGCAGGAAAATCCCTGAATATATCACGGCTGTACTGGCCGTGCTGGGGGCGGCGATGCAGGGCTGGGCCCCCTATTTTGAAGATTTCTCTCCGGATGTTGGGGTCACGGCTGAAGAGGGCACCGCAGGGCTTCCGTGGGGGTCACTCCCAGCCGTCCCGCCACCTCCCCGCCACCCCGGGTCCTCAGCTTTCTGCTGATGCCTGCTGGGCCTGCGCTCAGTCCCTCTCCCCGGAGCCCAAGAGCTGATCTCCTGGCCTTCCCACCCCGGCCCGGGCAGACTCTTCAAGCTGAGTTCAATTCTATGTATCCCTGCTCCCTCAAAACCTTGGGCACTAAAATCTAGCGCCCTACATCCAAAGTATAGACTGTTTGTACTGAGACTCGAACTCAGGACCTCACGCTTGCCAGGCAGGTGCTGTGCCACTGAGCTATATATCCCCCGCCTGATCTTCAAAGTATAATTTCAATATGTCATCATATAAGGATTACTAGTGAAACTTTATTTTTCTTTTGTGTTGCTGGGAATGAAATACAGGGTTTCCCTTTTTTGTCTGTTTTTTTGAGCCAGGGTCTCAGTAAGTTGTCCAGGCTGGGCTGGAACTTGCCACGCTCCTGCCTCAGCCTCCTGAGTGCTGGCATAGCAGGCGGTGCCACCACACCCGGCCCGCAGTGGTTTTTAAGCAACGAATCCCCTTCCTGTCTCCCCGTACCCTGGGGTACCGCGGACAGGGATCTCCGGCAGCAGAGGGGACGGGTCAGGGCTCGAGCCCCAGCCTCACCTTCTCTGAGGACCACACGCTCGTAGGGCGGGTAGTGGCCCTGCTTGGTCAGCGCCGACAGATCCTCCCGGCTACGATGGCTCGTTTTCTTGGCCCCACGGCGAAGGCCACGCAGGCGCCAGAACTCGGCCCGGGCACTGGAGCCAGAGGACGACCCGGGACCCAGGCCCGCGGCCCGCTGTGCCGCCTCCAGACTGGCCAGCTGCTCGGCCCTGGGGGCGAGGCACAGGGAGGGCGACCATGAGCTCTCTGGAGGCTGAGGCAGGAGCAGCACTGTGACTTGGAAGCCAGCCTGGGCTCCAACAGCGAGGCCCTGTCTCAGGGTCACAAGCAACCAGCAACCTGGTGGCACCAGCCTGTCATCCCAGCACTCAGGAGGCTGAGGCAGGAGGACTGCGAGTTGGCGCCCGGCCTGGCAACCTGCAGACTCAGAGGGAGCTGGCAGGGCGCTCACGCCAAGGCCTGGGGTCCGCCCAGTGCCCACCAACAAAACAAAACGAAGCAAACAAAACAACCCGCCACTGTGGCCGCTGAGCCCGGCTCGCCCTGGTGGCGCTCACCCAGATCCAGCACGGATCCCACAGGGAAACTGAGGCCGGGCACACCTGGTCTGGTTCGGGATGACGCCCCGCTCCTGCTCCCGGAGGTCTCGGTCCATGCGAGCCGCCAGCCAGAGGCTGCCCCGGGCCAGGCCGTGCCCAGCGCCCGGGTACAGCGTGTCCACCACGTGGAAGACGTCCCCGCGGGTGAAGCCCAGGCCGGAGGGCGGGCTCGGCTCCAGCTCGAAGTGCGTGCGGATGTAGAAGGAGTCGCCCACGCGGGACTGCACCAGCTTCCTGAAGACTGCGGCGGGGGTGAGGCTGCGGGTGCCACCTTCCCTCCCCCAGCTCCCCCCCCCCTCCTCCTCCATCTCCTCCTCCATCTCCTCCTCCTGCATCTCCTCCTCCTCCATCTCCTCCTCCTCCATCTCCTCCTCCTCCATCTCCTCCTCCTCCTTCTCCTCATCCTCCATCTCTTCCTCTCCCTCCTCCTCCATCCTCCCTCCTCTCCCCAGCATGGCAGGGTCCCCCCCAGCAGCCTGGGCAGCCCCTGGTGCTGGTGGCCGGCGGTGACTCACTGTCCTGCTTGTGCTGGGTCAGCAGCTCCACGTCCTCCCCGGGCGGCAGCGCCAGCAGGAACTGCACGGCCTCCTCCCGAGTGAGGCTGCGGAAGGGGGTGTCGTTCACCTGCCGGGGAGCGGTGCGTGAGGGGCCCGACACTGAGGACGGCTCTGGGTGTCCCTGAGACACAGAGGCCTCATCTTGGCCCAGAGCGGGGACCCCAGTGCCGATGTCGGGATCTGGGTGACCGAGCAGGGCGCAGTGGCGCACAGCTGTCATCCCAGCACCGGGGGAGGCTGAGGCAGGAGAGTCTCAAAAGCAAACCCAGCTGCGCCCCCACCCTGTGTCACCTGCAGGATCTGGTCCCCCTCCTGGATGCCCTGCCCCTCGGCCGGGCTGCCGGGCTGCACGCCAGACACGAAGATGCCCACGTCATTGCCCCCGGCCAGCCGCAGCCCGATGGTGGCGCCCTTGGTGAAGCGGACCAGGCGCGTGTCGGGGCTGTAGCTGCGGGCGGAGGACAGGCTCAGGCTCCACCCGGAGAGCGGGGCGCTGGGGGGCCGGGCTGGGGCCGGGCTGGGGTGAGGGCCGGGCTGGGCTGGGGTGAGGGCCGGGCTGGGGTGAGGGCCGGGCTGGGACGCACCCGCGGGCCTCCAGGCTCTGGCGGCTGGGGACCCTGTGGACGCGGCCGCTGCTCCCCCGCGGGGAATCTGAAAGACAGGGCGGTCCCCTGCACTCTGCGCCTCTGCCCGGCGTCCTGCCCCCCCCCAGGCCCCCCACACCTCGCCGCCCGCTTCTGTTCACAGGTGTTTTGTTTTTCTTTTTTTGCAACACAATCTCAATGTTGGCGCTCGCCTGTCATCCCAGCCCTCCCGTCATCCCAGCCCTCGGAGGCCGAGGCAGGAGGATCGCTGTGAATTCCAGACCAGCCTGGCTACAGTGAGCTCAAAGCCAGCCTGGCTGCACAGCGAGACCCGGTCTCCAAGAGAGAAACAGAAGACTCAATGTGTAGCCCAGGCCGGCCTTAGAATCCCAGCGATCTGCCTGCCTCGGCCTCCGAGCGGCACCCAGCCGCCCTCTGCTCCCTAGGCCGTGGCCCCACCCTGCCAGGCTGAGCCGCAGTGGCCGACCAGAGAAGCAGGGCGGCCCTCAGGCGCTCACACCCGGCCCGGCCTGTGCTCACCGGCTCCTGAGAGGGCTCCGGAACCCGAGGACCTTTCCCGTCTGGGCTCGGGGCTCTCCCTGGTGGGGAACAGATTCGAGGAGAGGCAAAGTTAGATCCGATTTTAAAAAGCACTTCAGCCAGGTGGGGTGTCGCACGCCTGTCATCTCAGCACCGGGAGGCCGAGGCAGGAGGATCCCCTGTCCAGGCTACATGACAACAGCTCGCCTCACAAAAGAAAAAACCCTCTAATTAGTCAGGCGCAGAGGCAGGACCTGGGGTCCCAGCTGCTGTGCAGGCCGAGGCAGGAATATCTCAGGTATTAAGCTCAGCCTGTGCAATCTAACAACTTACCAAATTAGTACTGGCTTCAATCCCTAGTACTGCAGAAAAAGAGGAACGGGGGCCCAGAGGCTGCGTGCTCGGTGCACCCCACGTGAGGGACAGGGGCAGCGGGGCCGAGTGCCCAGCGGGGAGCCATGACCTTGGCCCTGAAGCCCTGGTCTGTGGCCGTCCTGGTCCGAGCGCCAGCGGCCACCGCGTACGCACCCAGGGGAGTCGGGCTCGCTGGCCTCCGCGGGGCTCCGCTGCCGGTGCCGGGGTGGTGGGGGCACATGGGATGGAGGCGCCTGTGACATCTCCGAGTTGAGGTCCGAGATGTCTGGGGAGGGGACAGGTCAGCCCGTCACCCGGATGGGACATCGAGGCCCGGCCCCCTGTGCTCTGCCCCCGCCCGCCCCTCACCCTCCAGGAGAGAGTTGTCACTGTCACTGTCGCTGACGGCCGGGGGGATGTTGACCAGGAACTGGCCCCGGTCCCTCAGCACCAGCAGGGTCAGCTTCCCTTCCGACTTCTGTATCAGGCGCCGGGTGTCGCTCAGCGACAGGTTCTGGCTGGACACCCCGTTGATCTAGAAGGGACCGGGTAGGAGTGAGTGATGGGGACACTAGAAACAGATACCTCAGTGGGTGGGCTAGAAACAGACAATCTGCAGGGGTGACCAGAAACAGACACTCCCCGTGTTAGAAGTGGATTCATGTTGAGGATGGAGATGGCACCCAGAAACAAATATAACCCACAGTTTCTAGAAAGGCTACCTCACGCCATTGATAACATTTTCCCTTGAAGGTATCTGCTTTCTATCACCCCAGGGATTGTGAGTTTCTAGTGCCCCCACAAAATTGTCAGTTTCTAGTCTGTCCTAAGCCATTAGCAAGTTTCTCAGGGTCACTAGAAACAGAGAAATCCAAGGAGACACTGGAAACAATCATCTTGGCAGTGCTGTGGAAGCCAAATGCTGGGAGTCCCTGAAACAGACTTCCAAGGGAGACTAGACTTGAGGCAAGGCAGTTCTTCCAAGCCTTTGAGCCCCATGCCCCTAGGGTGGACCCAGAAAGCAACAATGTAGTCAGCTGGACACAGGACTCTGGAGCACAGCAAAGCTTGGGGGGTACTAGAAACAGCCAATCCCAAGGGGTTCCCAGAAACTGACATTTTGCAATGGATTCATAAGAGCTGGAGAAAGGGCAGATCTATGCCTAACTATCTCCCAAGTGACCAAGGCCTGGCTCTGGGGGCCTCAGTGGCACTGCCCAACCCAGCCTCAGCCTTCTGCCCACAGGGTGGGAAGCCAGGGTCACCTGGAGGATGAGGTCCCCTTCCTGCAGCCCACGGTGCCGGGCGGCCAGGCCAGAGTCCGTGATGTGCTTGATGTAGATCTGACTGCCCAGCTTGACCCCGAACTCTGTAGGGGGAGGGGGGAAACTGAGGCAGGAGGCCCTCACCCCATCAGCCGATGACAGCACCATGGCTTCCCCCCAGTACCGGGGACTGACCCCAGAGAGCACTGAGCTACACTCAGCCCTTTGCACGTTTGTGAGTCAGGGTCTCCGTATGTAGCCCAGGCTGGTCTGGAAACCTGTGGTGACCCTCCTGCCTCAGCCTCCTCCTAGTGCAGGCGTCACAGGCCTGCGCCCCCAACCCTGGCTCATTTTTTCTTTTCTGCCCAGGTCTTCTTTTTAAACATGTTTTCCTTAAATTTGAGACAAAGTCTCACTAAGTTGCCCGGGTCGGGCTGGAACTTGCAATCCTCCTGCCTCAGCCTCCCGAGTAGCCATGATGACCCCAGCTATCTGCATCTCTTCCCGTGTCTCGAGTGATGGAGCCACAGGGGACCAGGAGGCGCAGGGCCTGGGGCCAAGCGCAGCCACGTGTGAGCGGGCTGCGGGCCGTGCTGGCCGTGCTGGCCGTGCTGGCCGTGCTGGCCTTGCTGGCCGTGCTGGCCGTGCTGCCCGTGCTGGCCGTGCTGGCCGTGCTGGCCTTGCTGGCCGTGCTGGCCGTGCTGGCCTTGCTGGCCGTGCTGGCCGTGCTGCCCGTGCTGCCCGTGCTGGCCGTGCTGGCCGTGCTGGCCCCTGGCGCCCGCACCTTCACTGTTCCTCCGCTTCACCAGCACGGACTTCACGGGTTTCATGGCCACGTCCTGCCGGGGCAGCCGCTTGTACCCCGACACCAGGGCCAGCCCGTCGGCCTCAGATCCGCTGCCCGGGCTCCTGCGGCCCTGGCTGCCGGCCCGGGTCCGGCGTGCTGCCCTTGGCCTGCGGGAGCGCTGGCCCCAGGAGCGGCCGGAGCCGCTGGACGAGTCCCCGTCGTAGCCCCCGCCCTGATCCGCCTCCTCCTGCCGCCACCGCTGAGCGTCCTCCTTGTCCGAGTCCTGGTGGCCCGGGCCGGGGGCGGCCGGCTTGGTGGCCGGCAGCTGGACCTTCCGGGGCCGCTTTACCGTCTGGGGGGCAGACAGGAGGGTTCAGCCAGGGTAGGGGGTGACTCTGGGTGACCCCAGGCCCTTTGCACTGAGCGACGCCCCCTCCCCTCGGTATTTTTATTTCCGGGCAGCCTCTTGGTAAGTTGCCCAGGCTGGGCTGGGCCTTGGGACGCTCCTGCCTCAGCCTCCCACGGTGCCGCGTTGGGCCTGGGCCACCGCTCCTGGCTCATGGCGTGGTGCCCAGCGGGGTGGCCTCCCCTACCCACTCACGATATTGGCCATCCGGGTGCAGGTCTTCAGGAGCTGAACGGCGAAGGCCGAGGTCATATTCTCCACAGAGACCCCATTTACCATGACCATGTGGTCCCCCATCCTGAGGGAGGGGTGAGCGGGCTCAGGCGGGGGCCTCACTGGGTCCCCACGGTCCCCGGCACGTCTTGACCCACAACGCCCAGCTCTAACCTGCCAAGGTCCCCCGGCCCTTTAGGCCTCAGTTACTGCATCCGTGAAATGGGGCCAGCTGGGAAATCCAGCATGGACGACGGACAGTGAAGTGACAGTCGGGCCTTTTTGCTCTTTTCTCATTTTTTAACTTGGTTTTTCCCCCGCCTGACCTCACCCTCCCAGCCCCCAGCCTGCCTGTGGGCAGAATGCTCCTCTCTGCAGGGGAACTCAGTTCAGCACTGGGGAACTCAGCACAGCACCCAGGCTGCCATCCACAAACACAGGAAAGAAGATAAGAAAGGACGAGGGACCTTGCTGGACCTGGAGACACCTGAAAATATACACTGGACACTTTGGCCAGCTCTGCCCACTGCGATGCCAGGTGGCCAGGGAACTCTAAAGTCAGATCTTCCCGTCTACGACCCCTGCCTTCTCCCTGTCCCCATGAAAGGGACTCGAGTCCCTTTGTCCCGGGCAGACGGTCTCAACACGCTCTCTGCCACGTTGCCTCTCCCCGAGCCCGGTGGCCTCTGCTGGTTAATTATGACACATGCGGTTCAGGCCGGACTCAAACCTGCCGTGGAGCCCAGGCTGGCCGAGATCCTCCTGCCTCAGCCTCCGAGTGCCGGGATGGCAGGCGTGCGGCACCCGTGTGGGCTTTCTCCCCAGGTCCGTCTGTCTGCCCCTCGCTTGCCCCTGTTCCTCTTCCTGGGCTCAGTGGAGTCTTTTTCACCCGTCAACCCCTCAGGTCCCAGAGCCATTTTAGCCACAAAATTTCCAGCAATCTCAGCCACCACGAGCCCCAGGGCCACAGGGGCCACCACAGACCAAGAAGCAGCTGGGGACAGGAGGGCGGGGGGCAGCACCCAGGGCAGATGTGGCCTGCAGGGGCCAGGCGCTGGGCCCGCCACGCCCTCGCCTTGCCTCGCCCGGGGTGACCCGGTGCTCACCGCAGCCGGCCCTCCGCTGGACCTCCCGGGATCACGTCGGACACCACCACGGAGCCGCTGGACGCATCCCGGCCTCCGGAGATGGCGATGCCGAAGCCTCGACGCGGGTCCTGGGTGACAGGGTGTGGGCGTCAGCGTCCCGGCGGGGGCACAGGGACAAGGGCACCTCTGGCACCCGGGCAGGGCCTGCTCACCTTGGAGAGGGTGGCCGTGTGCTGCTCCCAGATGGTCACCTCCTCCATGTCTGCCACCTGCTGGAGGGGACAGGGCAGGGGCATCAGGCCTGGCCCTCATCCCACAGCCCGTTCTCCCCAGAGCAGACACCAGAGGGCGCTGTGCCCTCCCTCCTCCCCGCTGGGCCCTCTGGGTCTCCCACCTTCCTGGGACCAAAGCCCAAGTCCTCCCCCAGCCCACAGGGCCCTGCACAGCCCATCTGTCCCCTCCATTCCTCCCTGCTTCCTCTGATCCAGCTACAGGGGCTCCTCAATGCTCCTACACTCTGCCAAGTTCCATGCTGCCCCAGGGCCTTTGCACGGCTGTGCCCACCACCTGAACCTCTCTGCCCCAACTTTTACTGGCATCTGTCTACACTGCACTTCCCAGACAAGGTCACCCCTGGCCACCATCTGCTATTTCTACTCTGTGTTCCCCCACAAAACGTGACCCCAAGATACTGTCTGGACCTGAGAGGGCAGAGATCATTGTCTGCCTCCTCCAAAGCCAGTCCCTGGATCCAGCAGGGACCCTGTCAGTATTTGCCAACACAATGGGTGAGCAAAGGTTTCCCTGGTGCCCATAGCATCTCAATTAACTGGAGGGGTGCAATCTCCCACCCCCATATTCCGGATGGAGAGAGAAGCACAGAGACTCACGCTCACCAAGGGAGGGCAGACCTGGGGTTCGTTGCCTGTCGCTCTGCCCCCCACCTTTTTATTTTTGTTTTGAGACAAGGTCCCAGCCCGGGCTTGAACTTGTGTGATCCTCCTGCCTCAGCCCCCCCAAAGTGCTGGGATGACGGGCCGCCATGCTTGGCTTCCAGAAAGGATCTGTTCCACGCTTTGTGTTTTATTTTCCCTGATTCAGGGCATGCGTGCACAAGGAATTTTGATTTCCTGGCTTCACCTTAAGCAATGTCCCCAGGGGGCCAGGGGACCTGGGGGAGGAGGGAGGCAGGTGGCCCAGGCGTGGCCCTGCCTGTGTGACTTATCTCCCTGGATACCAGGGGCTTTGTGCAAAGCCCTCCAGGCTCCCTGGTGTCCCAGGGATTAACCCAGCTGGCTGGCTGAGTTTCCCGCAAACCACAAACCGCTGGCCCTGGCTGGCTGTCCCCTGTGTCACCAGGGACGCCCTCCTTGGGATTCTGGGAGCTGTCCCCTGTCACCCAGGCCCTGGCCCTCTGGCCACCCATCATGCCATTCCAGACCCTGGCAAACTCCTATTCATCCTTCAAAGCCCAGGGGCTACTGTCTTTCTCCAGCAATCCAGCCCTCCACTCTTACACACGCTGCAGCCTTCCCTTCGGTTCTAGAGTCCGAATCCAGCTCTGGCTCCCGCCCGGCCCCCTCCATGTACTCCTCAGTCTGGGGCCTCCCAGGATGGGCACGGGGGCAGCTGTAGCTCAGTGCCCGGGATGGAGGAGGAGGACTGGGCAGGTGTCTCTGGAGCCCCACCCTGGCCAAGGTGAGCTTGGGGGAGACTTGTGCCCGCCTCCTGCCATCTGCCCGACACAAACACCTGGAGGAGCCGCCCCGAGGGAGGGCTGGGCGGCCGAGTCAGCCAGCCTGGCACGCGGCTCCCGCCCCCTCCCCGCCCTGCCTATTCAAGGACAATGTCCCCGCGGGAGGCTGGGGGGACAGATTTCTGCTGCAGGGGATCAGGCCCCTCCCACTCTGGGCTACAGGAAGCCAAAGTGCTAAGCCTCGCGGCGGGGCTGGGGGCCCTGGGCTAAGCGCCTGCCTCAGTTTCCCCTTCTGGGGTCCCATGCAAAGAATGTCTTTGCCCCATGCCACGCTGCCCAGGCTCCTTTGCTCTTGTGCAAAATTGGGGCTCCAGCCGCCCCCCCGACAGTCACCGTGCAGTCACCCATAAACCGTCCTGCTCTAACATGACGCGAGCCCATTCCTCAGACTAGGGGCAGAGAGGGTGCGGTGCTGCCCCTAAGATGCCCAGCACCACTGGTACAAAAAAAACAGTGTTGGACCCCAGATCTACACAGTAAAGGAGGCAGAGTGGGGGCGGACAAGCCCCCAGGGGACCCCGGGCTGGCCGCCTCGTGCCTCTCTGGGCCTCAGTTTATCCATCTGTTTTATAGGTACAAGATGTTCTCAGCTCCTGGGTTCGACTGCCAACCCCGCTCCCCGCCTCCTCCCCGTCCTGCCCGCCAAGAGTTACTCGCCTGGAATCTCACCGCCATGGTCCACCCCGGGGGCTCTCCGGCGGCCCCTGGCCCGCGGGGGGCCTAGAAACAGCCAACTGGGCCGCACCCGGGGCAGGGGTGGGGGTCGCGGCGGGCTGGGATCCCCGCTTTGGCAGCCTGCGGCCCGCTCTGCCGCTCCCGGCTGCACCTGCCCCTCTTCCTCCTCCAGGTCGCTGGTCCGCCCCGCCCCGGAGCGGCACGCCTCCGGGAAGCGGCCTCAGCCCCGCGGCCTCCATCGTGGCCTCCAGTCCGGGACGTGTAATCCAGGCCGGGTTTTCCAAACCGCCGAGCCTGCGCCCGCGACAGGCGGTACAGAGCGGTCCCTGCTGGGCTGCGGGGAAAACCAGGCCTGGACCACAGCCGCGCTCGGAACGGAGCGGGAGGCTTGCTGGGTTTTCCATCCAGGAAACGGGCCCATTTTGAGGGGCGCTCTCGGAAAAGGAGAGTGTTGAGGCCCAGGAATGGCTGCCCCTGCTCGGGTCTCCCCATCTCCAGCAGGCCGGCCCGTTTCTGGGAAGTTTACAGCTCCATTTCCCAAAGGGGAAACTGAGGCCCTGGAGGCCGGGGCCGCAGGAACTTCGTACTCAGAGTTCTGCACTCGGTGTCCACACCCCGCCATTCCTCGGCCGGAAGGGCACGGCGGGCAGGGCCGGAGGACATTTTTGTAGGCTCCTGGGGACAAAGATCAAGCCTCCTTCCACCAGCCCAGCCTCGCCCTCTGGAGTCCTCGGTCGGACTTCCACCTGCGGGGAGGCAGGGCAGCCGTCGCCCGAGTGGGCCCCGCGGCTGCGGGCTGCACCCCAAAACAAGGTTAAGAGACAGGAGTGCAGCGGAGAGCTCCTGTCTCTGCAGCATGGGGGAGGCTGAGGCAGGAGGATCTCCGGGAGTTGGAGGCCAGCCTGGGCTGTATGGTGAGTTCAAGGCCAGCCCACATAGCAAGACCTTGCCCGCCCCCAAGAAATGAGTGAAGAAATCAATAAGCCTAATTCCAGCTGAGCCCCATGTAGCCTACGGTAGAGGGTCAAATTTAGACATAACCCCCAGCCCCATTAGTCAGCTCTGGGTAGGGAGAAAAGGCACAGATTATGAGAAAGTGCGGGCAGACAGGCAAGTCCTGGAGTGGGTGTTCTTGGGAGAGAGGGGCATCACAGCTGGGGTGTTGAAGATTGGTGAAGAGTTTGTCACATAACTGAGCAGGTAATTCTGTATAATAAAACCTGTGGGACCCCCCCCCAAAGGCCCCCTGGAGCAAAACACTTTTGCCCCGAATCCCTCTGAGGACCCATCAGAAGCAAGCTCTCACCCACTCTTTGCTCTTGCTGTGTGTCCTCAGGGAAGGTTCTTACCCTCTCAGCCGCCCCTTTGTGCATCTAGAATTGGGGAACACAAAGTCTCCTACATCCCAGAATCCTTGGGAAGAATAAAAGGGGCCTGGAATAAGTGCTTGCTCTCATCTGCTATCCTGAGCCTGCTGTGTGACCACAGACAGGTTCTGTGCCTCAGTTTCCCCACCTGCAAATGGCAATACTAATTGTCCCTGCCTCCAAGGCTTAACTGAGTGATTATGCCAGATGCTTGGAAAGCCCTCACCGCATAGCCGAGAGCATATGTATAATTTTTTCCATCTTTTTTAGACAGGGTCTCGCCATGCAGGTCAGGCTGGCCTCCAACGTGCAGCGATCCTCCTGCCTCAGCCTCCCCGGTGCTGGGATGACAGGCCTGGCGGTAATGGTGTCCACTTCCCCACCACTCCGGTCCTCCAGCTCACAATAAAAATCCACCCTGTACCTGCCACTATGATCAACCAAGCTCAGTTATGTGACAATCAGCCACACAATCAAGAATTCGATCAACAAAGTGTGAGACACCTGCGGAGGCCCAGTCCAGAGGTCGGAGCGCAGGAGCCGCAGGGCCAGCGTCCAGGAGCTGGGGACAGCGCGGTGGTGCGGGGTGAGAGAGTGGCCCCTTCTTAGTGGCCCTGAGGAGACCAGGCCTGGGGTCCAGGGACTGGGTGGGGGTTTGGCAGGAGGCGGATTTGCTTGCAGGGAGCAGGCTGGTGTCAGGTCAGTGACCAAACAGGTCTGACCGGAGCAGGGCATGGCCGGGAGCCGGCCCTGTGCTATTTATTGGGCACCACTGCATGCCGGGCCGGGCTGTGGAATGTGTGGGGACAGACGCACGCCTGGGATTCCGGCAGGCACTCGGGAGGCTGAGGCAGGAGGATCACTACCAGTTAAAGCCAACTCTGGCAGAGTGAGGCCCTGTCTCAGCCCTCTTCTGGAAAAAAGCACAAACTAGGTTCCTGGGAGCCCCTAGCGGTGGGAGAGGGTGCAGGGCCAGGGGGCTGATACTCTTAGCGGGTGGCACAGGGGACGGATATTATTAGGGGGGGCCGGGGTGACAGGCGAGAGAGGAGGCTGAAGCAGGCCGCTGTGAGCAGCAGCACGGCTATGCAAAGGCCCTGGGGCAGCTCAGAGCCCATCGGGATGCAGGCGCAGTGAGAAGCCCGGTGGCTGGAGCAGAGGGAGGAAAGGCGGAGGGGAAGGGCGGGCCGTGCAGGGCCCCGCGGGCTGCTGGAGGATTTAGGCTCTGGTCCAGGGAGGTGGCCGCCACGAGGGCCCAGCGGGAGGACCGGCCTGGTGCTCAGGGCGCCCTCTGGTGGCCGCTGCGGGGAGGGCAGGCTGTGAAGGGCGTCGGGCCCGGGAGGGCGGGGCAGGCCAGAGCCCGGAGGAGGCGCGGAGAAGCCCAGGGACTGGCACCGGGAGCTCGCGGCCCAGAGGGCGTGGGAGACCCAGGGGCCCCAGAAACCGCCCCGGGGTCCCCCATCCTTTACCCCTGTGGGTTATTGGTCAAAGCGAGGAAATCAAGCTGGGCGTGGGAGGCTGAGGCAGGAACACCTGGGGTGCAAGTCCCGCCTGGGCCCCACAATGTCTCAGAGAGAGTCTCTCTCAAAATGGAAACATTGAAAAAATAAAACAGCGGGCTGGGGATTTAGCTCAGCGGCATAAGCGCCTGCCTTGCAAGCAGGCAGTCGTGAGTTCGATCCCCGGTACCGATAAAAAGGAAAAAGACAAAAAAAAAAAAAAAAGAAAGAAAAAAGAAAACAGCTCAGTGCAAAGGCCCTGGGGCCAACAAAAAAAGAAAGAAAGAAAAAACCCAACTCAGAAACCGACCCTGACACAAGCCGATAGAGTCAGCTCCCCCCTGCCCAGGCTGTCCTCAGACCTGGACCGGCCAGGTGCTCCAAGGTGTCTCTCTGTGAGGCTTCGCCAACGAATAGATGGGGTGACTGATTTGGGGACCCCCAGGAAGTTTTGGGGAGCAGTCGGGACCGGTGTAGAGGCCTGATGGGAAAACCCAGCCAGAGCACAGTCCCAGAGCCAAGTGGGCATTGGGGAGGAGACTCGGGACTGGGGGTGTTGGGGTGGCACATAGGGGGCGCTGGGCACTGAGCGGGGGACCGGCCTGAAGCCAGCGCCCAGCACCCTGCCCAGGTGCTGCCCCCAAAAAGCCCTCTCGGTCCAGAGTGGGAGCTGAGGTGACTCAGGACCCCCACCCCGCCCAGCCCACCAGGGACCCCAGGACCTCCCCACGACCCCTACTTGGGGCTTCTCAGTTCTGACCTCCTTTGTAGCTGGGTCTAATTCTGCCTTTTGGAGGGAGAGGAGGGGACCTTGGGGGAACCCCGGCCTTGGCGCTGAGCTGCACCCCGGCCTGTGTATATTTGATTCTGAGCCAGGTCTCACCGAGCCATGAAGTGGCCCAGGCTGAGAACTGGAGACCCTCCTGCCTCAGCCTCCCAAGTACTGGGTGTGACGGCTCCATCCCCCCGTCCACCTGGGCCCCGAGAGTCCAGCTCTGCCCCAGCGACCCGGCCCCCTGGTGCCCGGCCAGGCCCGGGAGGAGGCCGGAAGTGGTGGCCGGTGGCGGGTGGACTTTCCCCCGCGCAGCCACCGTGCTGGCCGGCCCTGCCTGCCGCTCCGGACGCCGCTCCCGGCCGGCGTGGCCCTGTGCAGCCCCGGGCAGTGGCTGCGCCCCCTCTGAGCCCGGTGGGACCCGATCCTGCGCTCTGAGTTCTGATTCGGGCGGGCGCCTGGCTGTGCCACACCCACCCGGCCTGGCATCTACCGTTTTATTGTTCCTGGTTCAGTGACACAGTGACGCGAGTCCAGGTCACACAGAGCCGGAAACCCAGATGGGAAAGTGGCCCCAAATCTGCCTGCCCAGTTGTCTGCGCCCCGGGGCCACAACGCCCTGGGGTGACCTCAGTGCCAGCCCCGCTCCCCGTGCCCGGGGCAGGACGCGACCCTGCCGCTGCCCTGGCTGTGCACCCGTTTCCTGGGACGGGGCTCTCCGTGCAGCCCAGGCTGGCCGGGACTGCAGAGAGCCTCCCGCCTCGGCCTCCGGGCTGGGCTGACAGGCGGCTCCCGGGCCTCTCGGGTGGAACAAAGCGGCCGGCCGAGCGCAATCGGACACTGGCCTCTCCGGGAAGCAGCCTTTGTCAACTTTGTTTGGAAGCAGGTGACCCAGAAAAACCGCCTGTCACCGCCGCCCGGCCTGGCCGAGCTGGGTCCTTCACCATCCCTGGGTGCCGGCCCCCCACTTTCTCGGCTCTTGAAGATAAAGCAAACCTCTCGTCAGGCTCCTGGGGCTCCTCTAGGACTGCGACACCCCTAGAAACTTGGGGGGCCCCAAGGAAGGCCCAGGGGACACGGGGGGGAGCCACCTGTGCCAACAATGACCCTTTGGGGCCGACGGCTGGGCCACTGCCAGCTGCTCGGAGTCCCTGCCCCCCAGGGGACACTTCGGGCTTCCCGGGGGAGCAGCGGGGCCTCGGGGTCCCCGGGAGGGAAGCTGTGCCCAGACTCACCTGCCTAGCGGGGTGCACGGGGTGCACGAACTCCAGGCAGGCGACAGGAGCCCAGACCGGGGTCCCCGCCTCCCCTGGGCGGCCGGAGGGGCCCCACCTGCAGCTCCGGCCCCGGCCGGCTCCCCCGGTGGCCCAGTTTGTCCTCCGTGGTGGTGGCCACAGGCACAGGTCCCTCTCGCAGCAGGGCTGGGAAATGGCCCGGGCGGGCGCAGGCGGAGGGCGTGTGCTGTCTGTGTCGCAAGGTGTGTTACCTCACGTGGGAGCCACCGGCCTTAACCCCTGCCCGCCCAGAGCCCGGGACACCGCTGTCACCTGGGCAGCCGGCGGAGGCTGGAGGAGGAGGCCGAGGCAGGAGGGTCCAGTCTGCAACAGGAAGGACAGGATCGGGGCTGCCCCGGGGTCCCACCCGGTGCTGCTGAAATCAGGATAAAATCAGGGCGCTGGCACCCACTTGTTAGGGTTATTTCCAGGACTGGAAGCTTGGGGCTGCGCGGGTGCGCGGGGTACCCAAGAGTGTGCCCATCGCAGCTGGTCCCCACATTCCATGGGGCTTTTATTCTGGAGGGGGGGTCCTAATTTTTCTTTTTAAATTCTTTGTATGATTGATTGACTGGAGATGGGGTCTCGCCATGCAGTTCAGGGTGGGCCGGAACTTCCTGTGTGGCCCAGGATGGCCTTGAACTCGTGCCTCAACCCGAGCTCTTGGCTTGAATGAACCAACAGCCTAGCACAAGTGAGACCCAGGCGGCAGACGTTCATTGCCACTGTGGCCACCAGGGGGCGCCGGAAGTCAGGTAGCCCATCACACACTGGGTGACCTCAGTTTTTCTTTCTCGGAAATGGGTCGAGGAAGGACCGTGGGACGGAAGGACGGGGTCCAAAAGCCACTCTCTCGCCAGTTTTGGTCCCGTCCTGTCATTCCCTGCCTACCCGATCCTGCCCCCCCAGCCTGAATTTTGTTCATTTGGGATTTTGAGACGAGTGGGCTGCTTTAGGATCCCCCTGCCTCAGCCTCCTGAGTAGCTGGGATCACAGGCCTGTGCCACTTTAACCTGCCATAAATTTTTATTTTTTTATGTTTGCATTTTAAAGAACTGAGTCATCAGACAAAGAAAGCCAGCGGCCTGGCGCTGCCACCCTCCGGTGCCCCCACGCTCTTTGGTTCCCCTCTGTTAAGCGATTATTCTGCCTGTGATTTCCGCATGTCTGAGGCCCATCTGTTCAGCAGTTGATTTTCCAGTTGTGGCTTTCGGTTTTTTAAAATTTGCTTCCTTCTCACCGCTGGCACCATGATCCGACCCCTGCCCCTCCCGGGGCCGGAAGCCAGGGCCTCACACAGGCCCGGGCTGGGCTCAGGGCGAAACCCTGGTTTAGTGCCATAAAACCCAAAGTGTGAATCAGGTGCTGGGCGTGGTTGGGGTACACCTGTCATCCCAGCACTCAGCAGGCTGAGGCAGGAGCGTTGCTCCAAGTTCGAGACCAGCCTTATTTAATTTTTTGGTACCAGGGTTGAACCCAGGGCCTTTGCACTGAGCTCCAACCCTGTCCCTTTTATTGTAGTTTGAGACAGGTCCTGGCTAAGTGGCTGCATTGCCCAGGCTGGACTCGAACTTTCGATCCTCCTGCCTCAGCCTCCCAGGCTGCGGGGTTACAACAGCAGCAGTTATGAATTCCACTGGGAGAGCTCCTTCCTTCCGGGCTGGAATGGGGCCCGGGCCCGGGACACCCACAGATCCGAGCGCCGCCCCGCCCCCTCCGCGCTCCTGCCCCCCAAGCATCAGGGTTGTCATTGCCACTGTGGCCAGCAGAGGGCGCCAGAAGCCAGGCGGAGCCCTGGCCGCCGGGGTCTCCCGGCACTACCGTCTCCCAGCTGTTGGGGGCGCTGTTGGATCCCGGGAACGCGTTCTCGGTGGCCCCGCCACAGGGTCACAAGTTCGAGCCCGGCTCGGGGAATTTGGGGAGCTCCTGCCTCGAAGTAAAAAAAAGGACCAGGGATGTAGCTCAGGGGCACAGTGCCTGCCTGGCAAGCGTGCGTGAGTTCGAGCTCCCCGGACCAAGAAAACAAACAAAAACCACAAAAAAGATGTCCCTAATTTAGGGAGGCATCACGGACAAAGGTGGACATTTAATAATACACTGCTCGTGGCTTCTTATGAACATTACTATATGGATTGGGCACATATAGAAACGCCTATGACCACGGCATACTAACCTTTGTTTAATATTGATATTTGTTTCATATTGTTTACACATAATTGTTATTAGCCGGTGACATTTACATGAACACTTGTTAATTAGGTAACATGTAAATATACAAATATGTATATCAATGTAAAACATAGGTTTATGTGCATATAACATAATAGGCACAATAGAATCCACACAGAGATTTATGCTTTCCACATATTTATGCGATGCATATATGTGAACGCTATTATGTGAAAAATGTACCACTGATAATATGCAAATATAGATTTATGTGTGTAGTTATTACATTTATGTTAGTCATATCTTATTATGTGTTTTTGTCATGCATCATACATTTATTTGTGTCATGTTTTTATTATTCATTTGAATATCATTATGTAAATAATGTAATATGGTAGGAGTGTATAATTATACAAGCAAATATAAACATTTAATACTTATGTGCTTTCTTTTTTAAGACAAGGTCTCACTGTGCAGTCCAGGCTGCCCTGAGCTCACTCTGTAGCCCAGTCTGGGCTCGAGCTCCCAGCGACCCTCCCGCCTCAGCCTCTGGAGTGCTGGGCTGACAGGTGCGTGCTTTAACTGGCAGCACATTTGTAAAGTCAGTTTGCTGAGTGGGGTAAACCCACAGCTTGGTGGGGTGGGAAAGAGGGGGGCAGGGAAGCCTGGGGGGGGAGTGGCAGGGTCCCGACTTAGGGTACCTCCTGGGACTTTGGAGTCCGACTCAGGTCTGAAAGCCACTCAGTTCAAGGGACAGAGACAGGAGGGGGACAGGCTGTCCATGACTCCGAGACCGGCAAGCCACCTCGAGGAAGGGTCAGAGGTCAGAGGTCAAAGGCAGCCTCCGTGTGCCCCACTGGGGGACTGGAGAGGGAGATGGGACCCTGCGAGAGGGGATCTGGACCTCCCGGGCTTCGGCACTGGAGGGCAGGGTAAACCGCGTCCCATCTGAGCCCACCGCGACAGGCAGCGCTTATACAGCGCCCCAGGATTTTACTGCAGACCAGGTGCGGCCAGGCCAGGGATGAAAGGCCCCGAGCACAGGGCGGGAGTGTTCATAGCAGAGTTTAGGGAGGAGAAGGGGGCATTGCTGAAGGGGGTGCAAAATCTGGGGTCTCTGAGTAGGGGGTCTGGGCCAGCTGGTAGGCAGAGCAGTGTGGAGTTCACGGCAGGCACAGCTTGTTTTTTGTGGATTTTTTGCAGAGTCAGCTCTTGGCAGTTGTGCTGTTGGGGCAGCTGCCGGCTGTTTGTTGAGTGAATAACTGATGTGCTTGAGGGAGTTTTCTCTCTTAGCTGGGGGGGGTCCAAGCCACAAGCACCCTATACAATTTTTATTACTCCCACATAAGCATAATACGGAAATATGAGCACAGATATTTATCTTTATCTTTTCTTTTATTGTCTTTTTGAGACAGGCCTTGCTGCATAGTCCAGGCTGGCCTTGAACTCACTGTGTAGCCCACCCGGTTTCCTGTCTCAGCCTCCTGAGTGCTGGGATTACAGGAGTGTGCCCCCACTTCCAGCCTATCTCTATTTTTCGTATTATTTTTGTATGAATCTGGGCATTTATGTAAACATTAACATGTAATAAAATAAAAATAGTATACATATTTTTTTTTTTTTTTTTTTTTTTTTTTACCGGTACCAGGGATCGAACTCACATCCACAGGCTTGCAAGGCAGGCGCTTATGCTGCTAAGCTAAATCCCCAGCCCCAGTATACATATTTTTAAGAGTAAAACGTGTTAATACAACTAATGAATAGTATGGAGAAGCTAACACACGCACATTCACGGTGTATAATGGAGGTAGTTGAGCCTGTCCTTCGGTGGGCGGTGGAAACGCGTTTCACTCCTGACAGTCACTTACTGGAACCCGCCGCGACGCCTCTCCGTCTCTGGACAAGAGGGGGCGCTCTCGGCCTACCTGGGTCGCGCCGACAGTAGACCACGGCCCCTAGCCCCTATTGGCTGCGCGATGCACGTCACAGATGTCCCCGCCTCCCTCCCCGCCCCCGAGCTCGGCCCCTCCCTTCGCACTGGGCCGGCAGCGCTTGTTGTTCAGCGGCGGCGGCCGAGCTCGGGTGCAGCCTCGGGCCCGCCGCCGCCGCCGGGACGCTCGGCCATGGAGCTGGAGGTGCCGGACGAGGCGGAGAGCTCCGAGGCGGGGGCCGTGACGGCCGAGGCGGCCTGGGCGGTGGAGAGCGGAGCGGCGGCAGGTAACTGTTCGGCCCTGCGGCGCTCCCCTTGGTTTGAATGGGCCGGCCGGCTCCCCCCGCCGCGGCGCAGTGGGCTCGTCCGGGCGCGCAGGGGCCGAGGGCGCGCGGGGGGCGTCGGGCCGGAGCGGTCCACTCGGGGGCGCCCGCGGGGGTCTCCGGACCGGAGCGGTCCACTTGGGAGTGCGCGGGGGGGGGTTCGCCAGGTCGGAGCGGTCCACGCCAGGGGCACTCACGGGGGTCGCCGGGACGCTGGCCGAGGGGCGCAGGGCTCGCCTCGCTCCGCCCTTTCCGAGGATCCTGGGGGGCCGTCGGTCCTCAGAGACGGTTAAAGGGCCTTATCTGGGAATCTGTGGGTGGAGCGAGATGCTTTTAGGGTCCTGCAGGAAAGAGGGTCTGCTGGTCTGCCGGGGACCCCCATTTGGGAGGAGGGGGCGTTCTCTGTCCTTAGAGGGGCTTGAGAATGGCATCTCAGCCGCTCTGGTTGGTTGTGTGGGGGATGCTGGAGAAACCCCATTCTGTCCTAGATGCGACCCCTGCCCGGCTTGCTGGAGCCCCCACCCCCGGGATGCACATCGCCCAATTGTCACCTCCCAGGCCTGCCCCCCACAAGCAGTCGTCACCTGTGTGATCTTGGACCCGAACACCTGCTGGTGGGAGCGGGGTCCTTCCATCTGTGTTGGCCTCCGGCTCACTGGTCTTTGGGCCTCTGCCACCCCCAGTCTCCTCCCTGGCCGCCGGCTGGGCCCCCGGCTCTGGGCACCGCTGTGTCTGCCCCTCCTCTGCACCTCCCCGGAGGCCTAGCTCGCGTCTCACGCCGCTTCCTTCCAGGTCACAAGCTCCCGGAGAGGAAGTGTCCGGATTTGCAGAGCCCTGCTGCCCCCGGGCGGCCCGCCCAGGCAGCCTGTGCACGGGCACCCATCCTCCTCCTCCTCCCGGGCCTCCTGAAGCTTCCTTGGCAGGAGGGTGGGCGAGCAGGAGATGCCGGCTGCCTGCCGGGGAATTGGGGAAACTGTCTGAAGCCAGAGCCGAGAGAGCGAGGGAGGAAGCCACACCGGGTAGATGACCTGGTTCCTTCCTGGCTGCCATCTCATCGGTGCCCAGGTGGGGCCAGCAGCAGACAGGCCCAGGGGAGGGCTGAGCACCCCCTGACCCCCTGCCGCCAGCAGCCTCCCAAGGAAGCAGACTCATTAACCGCAAGAAGGCCACAGGGGACGCATTGGGGATTTGTCAGGGCCTTGGTGATCTGACTGGGGACAGATTGGGGCCAGGAGATAAGGAAGGGCCCCTCCCTGTCCTGTCAGGCCCTGCGATCCACAGAGATCTGATTCTATCAGCTGTCTCCCCCGCTGACCCTCTGACCCGTTTCTCCTGGTGTAGATGCTGTGGAGTTTGGCTAGTGACCGTCCAGGCCGTTTCTTTTTCCTTTCTGGTTTTTTTTTTTTTGGATGTACAGGGGATCGAACCCAGGGCCTCACACTGAGCTCCATCTCCAGCCCCTCGTTTTTTTCAGTCATGTGTTACCCAGGGTGGGCTCAAACTTGGGATCCTCCTGCCTCAGCCTCCCAGAATCCTGGGATACTAGGCGTGCCCCACCACACCTGGCCAAAATTCTTTGTTTTGAGGGGTGTCTGCTCCATGCCACACAAGCACCACCGCCCCCCCCCCCCCCGGGACATCCTCGAATGCCCTCAGACACCGCCCACAGTTACCGTTCACTGGGACAGAATCCCCGAGCTAAGAATCCTGATACTGTGTCTGATCTTCTGTGATTGGTGCACTTTCTGTCTGTAGCAACCTTTTTTGATGTTTAGAGACAGAGTCTTGCTCTGTGGCCCAGGCTGGCCTCGAATTTGTGGTGACCCTCCTGCCTCAGCATCCTGACTGCTGGGATGACAGGCCCTGCACCCCCATGCGTTGTGTAGCAACCTTGAAATAGTTTGTCCCCACTTCTGGATTAGCGGTCGCGAGGCACCCCAGAGCTACACTGCTGTGTGACCCTCGCGTGCCTGATCCTCGGGGTCCCCGTCTGTAAAGGAGTGGCACCTGCTCCTGCCCTGGGACTCTGGGTACTTGGCGTGTGGTGGCCAAAGGTGACAGATGGGAGGACCATGCTGATGCTTCCCAGGACGCCTGGGCCCAGCCCGGGATGTCCCAGCGGCTGTGACTGCGGTGTTGATTGTAATCCTGGCAGCTCTAGTGAGGGGCGGGTAGGCGAGGCAGGGGCTCTGGTGTGTGGGGCTCCCGGATCCCGACGCCCAGCCACAGCCCTGGCCTGGTTCCCTGGTGGCTGCAGGAGCAGGCTCTGGAGGGTTGGGGCTTGGGGCCATCTGCCCGGGCCGCCCTCTCCCCCACCACCCTATCTCCTGTGGCCCGCTCCCATAGCTGATCTGCTAGTGAGTCACATTAGCCTGCAAAATGGACCCAGAATCTGCCCACGTCTCCCCCTCCTCTGCCTCCACCTGGTCTAGCTCCTTCATCCCTAGCTTGCTTGGACCAGCACACTCATTCTGGAAGGATCCAGTTAGGAACTGGCTGGGGTCTGGTCTCTCCTCCGCCCTCAGCCCTCCAGGGCTCCCACCTCCCTGGAGCCAAAGCCCAAGTCCTCCTGCAACCTGCAGAGCCCTGCACAGCTTTCCAGCCCCTTCCTGTCTCCCCTCCTCCCACTGGCTGTTCCGGCCCGCCCCAGGACCTTTGCACGGCAGTGGCAGACACCTGGATGGCTATTTTTCTGAATCTGTCAATTACTTTTTTAGTTCCTTCAAAGTTTAACTCGGATTTCTCCTTGTACTGAGCCCTCACTGACCTTGTGGTAAGATAGTCTCCTTTCCTGTCTTGTGACACCCTCCTGCTTTTTGTGACTGTAGCACTCGTCGACCTAGATGGCTTTGCTGTGTTTCCTGACCCCTCTCCCCCTTTCCCTCCGAGAGTGCGGGGGGCTGGGACCATGTGCGGCGTCCCCAGCACTGGCACAGCCCAGCACACGACAGGTGCCCGGCACACAGCAGGTGCTGGGAACACGGTCCAAGGATGATGTCAGGGCAGGCAGAGCCACCTGGCCGCCCAGGGCTGAGTCACTTTTTTCTGCAGCGCCCGGGCTGGAACCCAGGGCCTTCCCGCCGAGCTGCATCCTCAGCCCTGCGGGGTTTTATTTTAAGACAGGGCCTGGCTAAGTTGCCCAGGCTGGGCCCAAATGTGGTGCCGTCCTGCCTCGGCGCCCGGGGTGCTGGGAGACATGGATGGCACCGGGGAATCTCGGGACTCATTGCCCCCTGGGAGCTGTGAGTTAACAGGTGAGGGAGGAGGCTGGGGATCCGGGGGTGGCCCATGGTGGCTGCCCTGTGTCTAGTGTTGGTGCCACTTTTTGTCAATAAAGTTTTTTTTTGTTGTTGTTAATGAAGTTTTTTGTCAATAAAGTTTTATCAGCACGCGGCCGTGCCCATGCACTGGCATGCGGTCCTTGGCGACCTGCTGCTGAATCCAGAGCCAAGCGGGGGCTGGAAGAGTTCACGTCCATCCCACTCGGGAAGCGTTTACTGGGCCCTGAGTAAAACTGCTCTGGGCAGCGGTCAGTGCAGAGAGGAGAGCAGAGCCGGGTGTGGGGGCCGCCTGCCATCCCAGCATTCTGGGAGGCTGAGGCAGGAGGATGGAGAGTTCAAGCCCAGCCTGGGCAACTTCCTAAGGTCAAAATACGACTAAAAAAATGTCTGGGGCTGAAACTGAGGGCAGAGACCCTGTGCTGTGTCCCAGTTCTGGGGAAAAAGACAAGGCGAGACAGAGCAAAAATGAAATGGGCTGTCACAGTGTCACTGAGGGAGCAGGGCTGGCAAGGTGAGCGAGGAAGTTGTGTCTGTGGCTTGAATATTATCAGCAGCGGCAGCAACCTGTGCAAAGGCCCTGGGGTAGGATAAGCCCGGTCCGTGGCCCATCTGAGGTTGCATGGAGCAGAGGGTGTGGCCCGCGGGGCAGAGGCACCAGCTGGCGCCTGAGTGTGTGCCCAGGTGCCTGGCAGCAGTGAGTAGTGTCTCGGGCCCTGTGTGACTCCGAGCAGGTGATGTCCTTTTTTTTCCGCAAGACGAGACCAGCAGCTTCCTAAGAACCCCTCAGGCAGCGACCAGTCTGGCTGGTCCCCAGGAATCTGTGGGACCCGGGTGTTTACAGATGGGGAAACTGAGGCTCAGGAGGGCCATGGAGGTTCTCAGGCCTGCCGGCGGCCTTGTGACAGTGGTGTCCCTAGAGCTGTGAGGACCCTGCTGAGGATTCAGGAAAGGGGTGCGGAGATGCGTGACCTTGGGAGTAGCCCGAGGGGCCCCCACCTGTGTGCACCCCACAGCTGGCCTCCGAGGATTGCTGGGCCCTCCCGGTGCTTGCGTAGCTGTCAGAGCCGGGACGCGGCCTTCCCAGTGAGCCCATCTTCAGTTCTTTTAAATACAGGGTCTCACTGAGTCAATCAGTTTCCTACATTGAGCTGGAGCTTGTGACCCTCCTGCCCCAGCCTCGCCGAGTGCTGCTGTGGCCTGTGTGTCCCACCACCCGGGGCTGGTCCGGTTTCCTTTTTTTTTTAAACAAGAAAAAACAAGAGTCTCACTGTGCAGTTCAGGCTGGCCTTGAGTTGACAGCGATCCTCCTGCCTCAGCCTCCTGTGTGCTGGGATTACAGGCGAACACCACCAGGCCCAGCTTTAATGCTTCTTTGTTTTTCCGGGAAGTTTGTTCCTGCGGGGAGGAGCCGAGGGGACCAAGCCTTGGGCAGGAGGCGGTGGTCGTGGGGTGGCGGATGGGGCTCTTCTCAGCTGCCCGCGATTCTGTCTGAGTTGGGAAACAGTCGCTCTGCCTCCGGGGCGTCCTGCTGCCCTTGGCTGCAGGCCCCAGCCTCCCGATTCCCTCGGCCGGCTCCGGAGCCGCACAGGTGACCTGGGGCGGGGGGCGCTAAGAAACGGAACCCCGGCTGGCGTGGTCTCTGTCTCTATCTCAGTGAGGCGGGGACGGGGCTGGGCTCGCTGTGTGTCCTGTTTATCTCAGGATGCCGTGGTGGAGCCCGCACCCCCTACCGGGCTGCACCCCACCTGCTGCCGTCCGCCCTGTAAATCTGCTGCAATGCAAGCCGGGTGTGGCGGTGCACAGCTGTGGTCTCAGTGCTCTGAGAGGCTGAGGCAGGACGGTCTCCAGTTCAAGCCCACCCTGGGCAGGTCAGCTGCCTGAGGAGACCCTGTCTCTGAGAAGAGGGGCCGAGGTGTGGCTTGCCAGGGAGGCCCTGGGTTCAGGTCCAGCGTGCTGGAGAGAGAGGAGTAAAATGCAGCGTGAGCCTGGAGGAAATCCCGGCTCCGTCGGTGTCGGCTGACCGTACTCAGCCCTGCTGCCCAGCGTTTCTCTGGGAGACCCCGCATCAGGTGCGCCCAGGCAGGACTCACCGCCTCCCTGTCTGCCCTGGGGCCGCCCGCCCTCTGGCTGTGCCCAGGGACCCAGTGGCGCACGGCTGGGCGCTGGGTGGTGTCCGAGCTGGAGGTGGAGCCCAGGGCCACCCATGCCCGCCCAGCGGGGCGCTGCCCTCCCAGGCTGCCCAGGCTCCTCCCCCGGGTGGGGCTCCCTGTCACCCAGTTACCCAGGAGGCTGAGGCAGGAGGATCGCAAGTTCCAGGCCGGCCTGGACAGCTCGGTGAGACCGTGTCTTCTCCAGAGTGAAACAGGAAAGTTGTGAGGGTCGCTCTGTGGCGGAGGCCCAGGGTTCCACCCGACACCCCCTACACACACACACACACACACACACACACACACACACACACACGACACTGCGGCCCCACCTGCAGGGCTCACAATGGACGCTGGCGTCTTGCTGGGCCGAATGCCTCTCCCTGGACCCTGTCCCCTGTCCCCGGGGTCCTGACCCGCCGGCCGCAGCAGGCTGTGCCCAGGAGCTTCGCCCCGGGACCTCGGTGGTGGCTTCAGGGCTCACCTTTGCTGCGTCTCAGCCTGTGGACTTTTTTTTTTTTATCTTTTGAGGCAGGGTCTCGCTGTGCAGTTCAGGCCGGCCTTGAGCTCACTTTTGTAGCCCAGGCTGGTCTCGAACTCGGAAGAGATCCTCCTGCCTCGGCCTCCCGAGTGCTGGGATCACAGGCAGGCGCCACCACGCCCAGCTTGGCCTCGGGATTTTGAAAACTCCTGGTGTCCCTGCAGGGCTTCCTGTTTACTCCGGGGAGTTGTGGGGGAGGGACAGGGACAGGACGGTGTCGTCCCAGGAAGGGACGGAGGGGAAGAGGGCTGAGGTCGGGGCCGCCCAGGCCGCTCCCCGCAGCTCTGATTTCCTTTCCTTTCCCCATATGAGGCATCACGCACAGCCGGGTGGAAGGAAGCACTGCCGGCCCCAGGGTCCCCCGCCATGTCCCCGAGGGTCCAGTAAGCGGGCCCAGCTGAGTGAGAATTCCCAGGCCCCCGCTGCACCTCCTGATTCACCATTCAGAGCTGTGTACTGG